CGAAAGAAAAGCGCGTGCACGATCCGTGAATTTGGGCCGGTCGGCGGCGCGAAGGTATTTATGAGAGAGAGAGTGCAGCGCCGGGCGCGGGCGTTGGACGTGCGGTTTATCGGGGCGCCGCACCACGGCCTGAGGGGCAGGGGGGAAAAAATTTACGTGGCCGGAGTGGGGTGGCGCGAGTGGCCGGGGCGGGACGGCTTAACGGGGTTGTGGCGGCGTGGCTCGTGGGCGGGCAAGCAAGAGGTGGCTGGGGGGGGTGCCGCTGCAAACGAACCGGGCCGCCACAACCCTCACCAGTGCATGCATCCGATGCGCGCACACTTGCTGGAGAGATGCTTTGTGCGTCTCGTCCACCACTCGCCTGACACGATCGAGCGCAGTCGACACTACACCCACGGAGTCGACAGGCAGCCAGCAATTCACCTGGAGCGGTGGGCGAAGCAGCACCTCAGCTTACACCATCGATGCAGCGAGCGACAACCGCCACGACACGCTGCGACTCGAGCCATGCCCTGCCCGCCCTGTCGCAAACAACGCGACGCAGCTGCTCCTCGTGCGACGCGGCTGCCCGCACCCGTCCGGCGGCTACAAGAGTCGTACCTCACGCGCCGTCGCGAGCGTATCCTCTGGAACCGCACGGAAGCTGCGTGATTTGAGTGACACGACCCGCTCCACCCGATGGGCCGGGAGCCCGTCTGGTCGCACGAGCTCGGGGACGTGTGCGCCTACGTATGTACATGACCGGACGAGGCGACTTGGCGTAAGAGTGTTTACCGGCTGTGTCGCGACCAACGACGGGCAGCAGGCTACGGTATGAATCTGCTTCGTAGACGATGCCTGTCAAGCGGCGCGTCTGTCGCGGCGTTTGTATATGGAGATGGCTTCCTGGCGGGCACCCTGGCAGCCAGGCCGGCCTCTACATACTACACGCGCGTGACAATGCGATCACACGCTGCTCATGACCGCACGGTGCAGCACGGTCTCCCCCCCGTAAACAGTAAATCCTCGGATAAGCCGTTGCGCACGAACTGTTCCAAGTCCAGACGCGCAACGCGCGCGAACCACAAGCTCGTCGTCGCCGTTTGGCGTCTTGCTGTGGCGTCCCTGAACACCAACAGCGCAGCCAGTCGCGCGCGGCGCTGCTGTCGCCGCCGGGACGCCGGAGGCTTGGGCTCTGCACTGCGTGAACGGGCCCACGGCGACGGACGCGCCTGAAATCGCTCTACCGGGGCTCATGCACGGTGCGGTGGGCGCTGGATGCGCTGCCGTCGCACGTCGCCAATCAGCAAATTTCCGCGACATGGCCATCCGTGGATGGGACCACCGGAAAGCGCAGCGAGGGTAGCGCAGTGTAGGGTAACCTGGTCGTCACCCGCCAGCGCCGGAAGCGGCCCCAGCCATGGGGTGAGTGGGGCGAGGCAGCCAATCAGCGCGCACGTCAGCTCCGTCGTCTGAGACGGTCGCAATCGTAGCCTCGCGTCCCCTGGTCAGAGCAGCGCCAAAATGAGCTCATCAAATGCGCCCGGGATGCCTGGAGCCTGAGCCCGGAGCCTGGGCCTGGCACTGCAGCGACCGACCGTGGTGGCATGCAGCCGAGGGCGGACGAGCGATCGCAGTCAGATGAGTCATCCTTGTACCAGCACGTGATCGCTCACCTGACGCCTCTTATCGCCAGATTATGTCATCCGCCTCCTCGACCGTCCGACTTGTGGGGACGCACCGCAGGCCCAGCCAGCCAGGCCCATCCTGACCGGGCGGCCCAAAAAAAAGTTGATCCATCGTGGTGAAGCGGCCGTGAAATTTTCCCACCCATTCTCGCGGCTGATATCGCAGGCATTTCGACGCCTTTGCACCGCCCGAGAGCACTCTTCATCGACAAGCATTTGCTCTGCGGCTGCGTCAATTGCTCCACGGCCGCCGGCATCGCAAACGGGTTCCCCCCCTTTGCTCCATTGCCATCCTACACACCACCGGCATTCACACGAGCACGCTTTGCTCTCGTGCCTCCCCATGCCCATGTCGACAAAGCGCAAGGCGCCGGCCAAGCTGGCCGCCCCCGCGGTCCGGTCGAGCGCAAAGATCCCCACAAAGGCCGCGGTCAACGAGGCCAAGGCGTCCGTGTCGGGGACGGATGCCCTCCAGAGCTCGCAGATGGAGACGATAGAGATTTCGTCCGACGAGCCCAGCGACGAGGACCTGTCGGACGAGGAAGAGGACCAGCCCGCAAAGACCAACGGAGAGGAGGCCGCGCCCGCCCCTGCTGCCGCTATCAATGGCAAGCAGGCCGGCCGCGACGGCGCGGACGCGGAAGAGTCAGACGGAGAGCCCACGTCGCCGTCATTCGGCGAGCTCCTGCGCGACAACGGCGCCATCGACGTGCCCACGCTCCTCCAGCAGTCCAGCACCGCCAGCAACAACAACGCCGCCGCCCAGCGCCCGCGGACGGCCATCGTGCCCCCCTCGCACCAGTCCCTCACGACGGTTCTCACCCAGGCCCTCAAGACGGACGACACCGACCTCCTCGAGTCCTGCCTTCACACCACCGACCTGACGACGATCCGAAACACCATCGAGCGCATCGACAGCTCCCTCGCCGGCACGCTCCTCACCAGCCTGGCCGCGCGGCTGTACAGGCGGCCCGGGCGCGCCGGCAACCTCATGACGTGGGTCCAGTGGACGCTCGTCTCCCACGGCGGCGCGCTCGCCTCCCAGCCCAAGGTGGTGCAGAGCCTCAGCAGCCTGCAAAAGGTGCTCGCCGAGCGAGCAAAGGGGCTTAACAGTCTCCTGGCCCTCAAGGGCAAGCTGGACCTGCTGGACGGCCAGATGGACCTGCGGCGCAAGATGCAGCGCGGCTCTGGCGGCCTGCCGCAGCTGGGCGACGCCGACGAGGACGCCGAGGACGATGAGGACGTCATCTGGGTGGAGGGCGATGCCGACAAGGAGCTGGCCAACGGCACGTCGCGGCCGAGGAGAAGACGGAACCAACACAGCGACGACGAGGACGACGGGCCCCTGGCAAACGGCGTCGTGGGCGACTCTGAAGACGAGGAAGAGGACGACGACGACGTCGAGGAGGACGACAGCGAGGGTGACGACGGTGACGAGCCGCTGGACGAGGACGAGGTCGACCACGACGACGTGGACGAGTCGATGGGCGAGGACGAGGAGAGCGACGTCGAGGCCGCGGCGCCGCCGTCCAAGATGCAAAAGATGGCGCGCTCGCCCTTTTCCAAACGAAAGTGAGAGTGGCGGCCAGAGGGGAAATGGGAAGACAGGCACTGCATTCGGCGTTGGTTCATGTAGATTTTTGGGCTGTGCAAATACAACGGTTGATACCAGAGGTGCGCGTGGCAGACCGTGGTGATGTCTGTCGCTGTCATGGATGTACACGGAGGAGTGATTGATGCTCTTTGGAATCGTCTTGTCTACTTGGGCGCTCGCTGCAAACTACCTGTGGTATCCCAAGGCCGGATCGCACGCACACAGCTCTATCTGGTCGCGCGATGCCTCGCCTGCCCGCCCGCACCCACGTCCCCACGAGCTGCGGCTATTCATCACCGCCAGCCCTCAACATCCAACACGCGGCCACACGCCGCACGAGAGCGCAAACAGTTTTCCAACACGTGCTGAATCGCAACGCCCGCAACGATGCAGAGTGTCAATGCCCCAGCCGCCGCATACACAAAAGCCCCTCCGCCTTCCCTGCATTCTAATGCCGCCCCAACACGGCAGTGTAACCGGTGCAAAAAAACGCCCGCTGTCCAAGGTGACCATGTGCCATCCGAGAGGAAGAAGTAGAAAAAAGAATATAGATAAGAAGGTGTTGGTGGTGTGCCGAGATGATTGACGATGCCTCGTGTCACGTCATGGCGAGGAGGACCCCTAGATGGCCCAGCTGCCCCTGCGCTCCCGGACGCCCCAGGCCAGCGGGTCGAGGTTGTCGAGGTTGGGGTGCTGGCGCGCCCACTCGTAAATGTACGTCTTGAGGGCCCTCCAGCGCGGGCACCGCGCGTCCTCGGGCGTGCCGTCGAGGCACATCTCGAGCATGTGACCCTTGGCCATCTGCCGCTCGTCGTCGCGGCCGAGCTCCTCGACGCTGACGCGCGTAATCTTGGAGAGCTCGTCGTCAAACGACCGCGCCATGGCTGGGTACCCGAGCGACAGGTAGTTGTACACCTGGGTGACGAATTCGTCGTCAAACTCGTGCAGGATCTTTTCGTCGCGCTCGGCCTGGGCCTTTTCGCGGCGCAGGCGCTCGTCGAGCCCGTGCAGCATGTGCAGGCCCTTGGGCTGGCCGCCCTTGCTGTTGAGCTTGTGCTGGTCCGCCCGCCAGAGGCTCGGCGGCGGCGAGCTGCCCGACGAGCTGTTGGATGACGACGCGTACAGCGAGCCGGGCTCCTCGCTGAGCGAGTCGTACGCGAGCGGCTCGCCCGGCGTGCCTGGCGCCAGCGGCGTGACCATCATGGGCGCCGGGTGCAGGTCGGCCGGCACGATGAAGTCGGTGTTGGATTCGGACCGGAAGCAGTAGCCCCTCCAGAGGCCGCCCTGGCCCGACGCGTCGCGGTTCTTCTCCGCCGAGCCGCCGTGCTCGCGGAACGGGTGGTCCGTCTCCAGCTTGGTGTGCTTCGGCGACGGGCACCGGCGGAACGTGAGCTCCTTGCCCAGCATCGGCGGCGACGCTGCCTGTCGCATGAGGTGCAGCTTGGGGTCCTCGGGCTGCAGCCCTAATGAAGCAAACGGGCGGCCGGCCCCGGGGTCGGCGCCGGCGCTGGGGGCGAGGAACCCCGGCGCGGGGCGCGACTCCGGCGGTCGGCCGTCTGCGGCAGCCCAGGCGTCGGCCTGCCGGTCACCTCCGAAAAGTCGGTGTTGCGGCTCGGCAATGGGGCTGACGGCCCGGCGCAGCGACTGCATCTCGGCCATTGAGTCCCGCCGGTCATCCGGGTCCAGCTTGTTGGTCGTGGTCCACAACGGGTCCGGGGGCAAGGAGAGGTCCATCCGGTCCAGGTCAGAGTCGGTGCGCAGCATAATGGCATCATCGTCATCTTCATCCACCGCCATCTCGTAGTCGTCCCGGTCCTCCGCAATCTGCTCGGCATGCTCCTGCATGTGCCGGTGCCACCAGTTCAGGCCGAGATTGGACGACGACTTGCGGCGCAGCCTCTGGCCGTGGTCCTCCTGGGCGTCCTCGGAGGCGCCATCGCTGCCGGAGCTCTCGTGAAAGTAAAAGTGAGCGACACCACCCTCGCGGGCGCGGCTGTTGGGAAAGGCGGCGAGCGCGGCCTCCTCGATCTGGCGCGCCGCCTCCCTGCCGGCCAGCTCCAGCAGGTACTCCTTGACCCCCTCATCTTCCGTCTCGCGCCGCGTCGGCGGCATGTGACGGGCCGGCTCGTCATCCTGCGAGTCCCCGCGTTTCCGTCGGGGTTTGGGCCTGGCCACGTAGATGTGGTTTGTGTAGGGGGTGATGTCAGTCTTGTCCGTCGGCCGCGTGGCGGGACCGGGGTCGCCCGCACGCCGCGTGCGCCTCGACGTCTCGATCAGCTGCGGCTTGAAGCGGCGCCTCTGCTGCTGCGGCGCGAGCCCATGATGCTGCAGCAGATGCAGTTGCGGCGGTTGCAGCGGCGGCGGCACGTCGGGAATTGCCGGCGACAGCGATCGAGGGGAGGGTTCTGGCGTCAGCTCCGGGTTCGGCCCAATGTGACCCTGCGGCTGCGGTTGCGGTTGGTGTTGCGGCTGTCGCTGGTGCTGGGCGCCGCTCTTAATGGATTGAAACGTCGTCTCGAGGGGCACCGGGGCGAATCGCCGCCTCGGCTCGTCCGGTTTCATCGTGGCGGACGGCGCGGTGCTGCCCCGTCGTGATTGTTTTGCGTCGGCTCGGTCGCGGTCGCCGTTGGAGTCTCAACAAGGGGGCAACGGTCTGTTGGGCCCACGTAACAATGGCGGAGTGAGGGGAGGGGGTTCCCAGCTACGAAGCAATCATGCTTCAGCTCGGGCGATATCGGTGACGGGCGCGCGGCAGCGGCAGCGGCAACGGGGGCGGGATGAAAGTCAAATCGCAGACGCTGAGCGAGGGTCGTGTGCGATGCGGTGCGGTGGAAGAGGTGAGCAACGGTCGGTCGACGATGGGATCTTGCACAAGGCGAAAACGGGCTGGGGGCACAAATAACAGCTAACAGCACTGGGTAGGGTAGTCTATTGAACGGGGACCGCCCGGCCTGGGCCGCTCACGATGGATGGCCATCATGGCAGACTGAGTCGTTCTGCCAGTGGAGTGGGGCGCCGCCGTGGGCATCGTGGTGGGGTGCAGATCAGGTCCAGGGACAGTCCGAGAGCGGTAAGCGACAGGGTCTGCACTGTGCCGGGCGCGGCGAGGGTGACGCCTCGAGTGCCCCCGTCTGCAGCGGCCCGTCGTGTGACGACGTCTCACATGGCGGTGCTGCCTCGGCCGCCCTCGCACTGTGCAGGTACGCCGCCGTGCCTGGCGACCGTTTTTCACTGGCCGGCCCTCTGCATTTTCAGGGCATTGTGCGTCCCCTGGGCGCAAACTCTCGCGCCAGCGTCAGGCGACCGTCATGGCAGATGCCGCATCTCGCCATCTGGCCGTGGCCCTGCGAGCAGATCTCCCTACCGGTGGGTTGACATCATTGCGTTTTGGTCGCGAGATGTCCGGCCGCCGAAACAGGCCGTTGTCTCTCCATTGTCCGCCGAGCGCGCGCGCGGGTGCTCGGGCTGAGCATCCGCTGCGCTGCTGACTGCTGACTACTGAAGGCTGGTGCCACCGCGAGGAATGGACGCCACCGTTTTCGACACCGGGCAGAGCGCCCTTTGTTTCGAGCGAGACAGCGCGCAGCAGAGCGACCCAACAAACACCCTGCAGCTTCAGGGTCAGGGACCCGAGGGGCCCAATCTCGCCCAATTGCGGTCCGGCGAGGTCGATAGTCAACCGCTACCAGCTCCCGGCAAGCTTCCGCGTCAGCAGGCTAATCCCACCGTGCCATGGTCGGTGGACGCCGCCCTCACCGACAATGATTGATGAGCCATGGCCGGGCACAAACAGCTCTCGGACAGGAAGGTGGCATATCGTCAGGAGGAAGCCATCACGTTGGGCGTGCGGAGCGAGGCACTGGACGATGGACGCCATCGTGACGATCCTCCGCAATCTCAGTCGCCACAGCAAGCCGGGGCGGCAAATTGCGTCAATCTTGTGCGTGGGAGACGACATTGGCAAGCCCAAGACCAGGTCCCTTGCGATCAACTTGGGCTATCACTCTCTTACCCCGTGTAAGTGGGAGCTCACCGCTCGTTGACTGCCAAGAAGTGCGAGTGCATGCAGGCGAGGTCCCGACTCGACAACTCGACGCAAAGACCTGCCTACCCTACATCTGCCGACTCACAACGCACGATGAATACGCAAGGTGCTGTCTTTGGCCCACCACTGGCCAGTTGAGCTCGGTCGCTGCAGTTGGTGACTCGTGGCGCTGCATTTGCAGCTTGTTCGAGCTGCCAGCTCATCCTGCGCGCATCGTGAGAACAGCCAGCCACGTCTCGCGTGGATTACCTGCTCCCATGTTGGTGGACGTTCCCAGTAGTCCGCGTCCAACAGATTCATCTCATCGTCTCTGGCCGCCTCGCAAGTTGTTGGGAAGCCAAGGGCTGCAGCCACTCGATGGTCTGCAAGCTGGACCGCGAGACCGCGTCGGAGCTCCAACATACGAGTGCCGGCACGCCACCGTGGGCTGTCCGTCTAGCTCGTAGCGTGCCAGGCGTTGGCGCCGCCGCAACTCGACATCAATTGCATTGCTCCGTGCTTTGTACTCTGCGCAGCACAGTACCACCAAGACGAGGGATACGGGTTCGACTTGTCAGATGCGCCCGAGCAGTCAATCGTCAAGGGCAACGTGGATGACCCTTTGTAGTGCTTGCAGCTGGACGGCCTCCGTCTGGCGCCGCCTCCTCTCCACACTTGACACTGACATCTCCACACAACGCCACTGCGGCAGACGGAGCCGTAAAGTGGCTCGTGCTCCCGCTTGGGAACACAATAAGCCTCGTGCGCGCAGCTCTGGACGACCTGCAGGATCGCGACGAACAAAGAGGGGAAGGGAAACAAGAGGGGTAGGAGAGCAACAGGAAGCACAAAGGTGCTGATCAAGTTGCTGGGCCGCCGCCTGTCGTCATGAGGAGCGCGGCGCGAAGCCGGCATCCGCGTTGGCGCCGCCCTAGCTGCCGTCCTGCGTGGCTAGACAAAGGGATCGCCGGGAACCAGGCCTCGACACTGGAGACGCGATCTCGATGCAGGTTCCGGGCGGAGATGCGCCGGACACAAGCAGAGGGCGACGGTGACACGGCGTCGCGACAGTCGACGACGTGTGGCACCGCGAGCCGGCTCGCCCTGCATGCGCATGCCGGGGCACAGGCACGGCAGCAGAGCACCGCAATCTACAGACACTGGATGGGACGAAACGACGCATGCGACGCCGTACACACGTACAGACGCACAAGGTACGAGCACGCAGCGTGCCGCGCTGGCGGCGACGGCATTGGCCTGGGTGCCGAGATTGGTCGCGATGCCTGCATGCTGTCTGACGCACGCCGCGCCCGACATGATTCATGGGCGGAGGGCAGGCGACGTCGTGGGCCGATGCGACTGCGAGGCGGCATGTCTCGTCGAGCGCGCGCGGCAGGTGACTGGCGGGAGGCTCGGTGGCCGGCCCGGCACTTGAGCTCGGATGTCTGCGGCCTGACGGCGCTGATGCAGACGACAAGATGCGAAGCAGACGGAGATGCAATGTGGCCAAAGGCGGCGGCGCATACGGGCGACTGGAGAGGACATGTCGAGGGTTCCGAGTCGTCGTCGGTCTCGCCCGTGAGACAGGCAGGGCGACGAGACGGACGGAGAGGCCGCCCAGGGGCACGCATGCAAGCAAGCAAGCAAGCAAGCAAGCAAGCAAGCAGGCAAGGACAGACAGAGACGAGACGTGTGTTGCTCGTGTCGCGTGCGTATTATTAGCGTTTGCGTTTGCACCTGCAGCGTGCCCTGAAGAGCGCCGTCCAGGTGAGTCCATGTTGGATCCAGTCCCGCCGGGCCGGTCCCGTCTTCGTCTCGCCTGCTCCGCGCTGGGCGTGGTTTGACTTTGGTCGCGACAGGATGAGCCGCCGAGCAACGAGCCCCGAACACGACGGTCGAGGGCGCGCGATGTGGGCGACTGGACGCGCCGTCGTGGAGGGTGGCATTCGCTGCAGGGGAAGCAGTGCCCGCACGTACGAGCGAGCGGCGGGCACAACCTGGATGAAGCTGTGCGGTGCGACCATGGACGGAGCACCACCACCTCAGCAGCGCGAGACTGAACCACAGTGGAGGTTGGTCGGCGCAGCAGCCCGCCGGCCTGAGGCGGTGCAACCTAAAAACAGCACCCGCTGAGATTGGCACTCGTACCTTGGACTCGGTCGACGGGACAGCCGCCACCTCTCCATCTTGCTTTGATGGCCTCTGGTGGGTGGGTTGTCGGGGCCAGGGGGCGGCCGGGCCCACTGAAGCGATTCGCTCCGTCCGCTGGTGCGGCCTAGCAGGCATGGCCTGGTTTCGGCAGCGGGCGAGGTGAAGATCTCTGGTGCGTTATCTCGCCCGCACGGCAAGCAGGCATGCGCACCGCGTCCATGATAGCGAGCGATGCGTATCAGATATGGACAGGCGTTGTTGACAAGGGCGGGCGGCGGCAGCTTGGCCGAGCGGCGGTGCGACCGTCTGCGCTCGGCCGGCCGGCGAGCGCTGCACGGCATCGATCGAGCACGGCATGCCGCGACGACATGACCTGACAGCCGCGGGTGCATCCCGAGCCTTGGCCGGCAGACATGGAAATGAGAAGCCGGGCTATACTAGAGGACTGTACGTGTACGAGTAATCAGAGTGCGCTCCAAAAGCGTCCAAGGTGTCGCCGTCAGCGAAGCGGGCATCAAGGCGGGCCTCGCGGCATCGCCAGAGTGGCACCGATGGAATCCCTCGCAGGGATGAGGTCAAGTCAAGAGCGTGTCCACTGGCCCTGCCTGGCCGCTGCATCCATCCATCCAAGCCATCCATCCACTCCATCCCAGCCCGGCGCGCGACAGGGGCCCCGTCCTTGGTGGGACCGCCCACGAGGCCGTTCTCGATCTCGCCCGGCCGAGGGGCCAAGACGATGCACGCGATGGGTTAAAAAGAATCCAGCCTTGACTTGATCCGACCGGGCCTGCTCCCCTTTGGTGCCTTCTGCAGCCACACGAGCCGCGCGGGCCCGGCTGCGACTCTTGCTCGTATTTCATCTTGTCATCTCGTTGCCGGCCGTGGCGCGAACGAACGCGTCTCGACAGAACCTGCGCCCTGCTGCTGCTGCTGCTGCTGCTGCTGCTCTCGACTTGGACGTTCGACCGACTGTCAAGTTGCTTCTGCGGCCCCTGATCCGCGCCGCGCGCTGCTTCACCACCTCAGCATAACAGCCGCCAGGCACGCCCGCATCGCATCCCGGCAGCCATCCCGCCCCAGCAAACCCCGACGCCGCATCCGTCGCCCGTCGTCGCAAACAAAAAAGTCAATTTCTGGGCCTGCCACCGTGCGTTCCAGCCTGCGACAGGCGCCCCCGGCCAACACGCCCCTCCCCAGACCCTCATCCGCCTCAGGCGGCCCCCCCCTTCCCAGGGCCCAGGGGCATCCCGTGCACGCAAATCGGAGACGTTGTTTTTTGCGTTTGTTTCTTTCGGACGACGCTCGCTGCCCTGGACCTGCGCATCCCCGTGGCGCACGCATCCGCATCGGGGCGAGTCCATTGTTTGGCCGTGTTTGGCGGTTGGCCCAACTCGGCTTCCTTCCTCGAGGGCGACGACCGAGCCGGGAAAAAAAATCCGGCCTCTTCCCATCTTCCTCCCCTTGACCTTTTTTGTCTTGTCCACGATCCAACAGACGACGGCACTCGCGCAAGTCTTTCGGGCTCTCCTCTGCTTTTCTGCCCAAGTGTCAGTGTCCCCCCCCCGTTACGTTAGGCCGCACGCGCCACACCTCCGGAGCGCTCCCCTACAACGCATTTCTCGTCGGGCCTGGCGAGGAATGAGCCGGTCCCCATCTCCAGCTCGCACCCCCCCGGCGGCGACGCTGCTCATGTCTCTGGCCGTCACGAGACGCCTGATCACGCAGAGACACGGACACCTTGCAGCACCCCCACCCCCAGCTCGGCCCTGCCGCATCTCTCGATAGAGCCTGCGCATCGTTGCGAGCGAGCGAGCTCGTGCGTGCGAGCGTGTACCACCACCAGGTCGGGCAGGGCAACGGCCTCGACGCTCATGTGTAGCACCTAGCATTATATCGAGTTTCACTCTGTCCGTACAGCAGGCCGTCGACTGAAAAGGGCCGCTTCCCCTTTGGCCCCCGTCTTTCTCCTCTGTCCCGCGCTCGATAGCCCCTTCCATAACGGCGTCGAGCGCCATGGCGGCATCACCGGCTTCTAACGAAGCGGCGGCCACAGCGCCAGCAACAACACCGCCGCAGCACGACGGCGGCGCGACGTTTGAGATTTCGCCGCCCGCGACCACGAGCCCCGGCTCGCCGCCCATCCGCTCCGTCACCAACCGCGTCGCCACGCCTCTGAGCCTCTTCCTCGACTCGCCGTCGACGCGGGGGACGACGACGTCTAGCGGCGACGGCGTAAAAACTACCGGCGCCAGCGCCAGCAACACCCACGGCACCACCGGCGATGCACGCAAGCCGAGGGCGGACCCCTTCGCGACCATGTCGCCCGCAGAGACGCCCGAGCCCGCTGTCTCGCCTGTTGTTGATGCGGCGGCGGGGGGTCGCGGCGGGAATGATGACGATTCTCGACGCTCGCAGGCCGTCGCCCAGCTCATTTCGGCTCCGGGTCCCAGCGCACACGCCAGCAGGGCCCGTGGATACGAGCCCCCGTCAGCCGCTGAGCCTCGGGACCGCCTCCCCCAGATGACAAACTCTACCGTACACTCGCCCCCTGCCGACGGCGAGCATCGCCCTCAACCTCACCTCTTTCAAAATCCCCATCATCCTTCACACCAGCAGCATCCCCCTCTCTCCGACGCCCAGCCCCTCCGCACCGCCAGCGTCAGGGCCGACACCAAGATCGCCCACCCCAAGCCCATCTCGAGGCCAGTCTCGGTCGGGCAGCCCGCCGCCGACCCCAAGCTCCGCACCGTCGCCTCGGTCGGCAGCAGCGTCGCCCACCTCGAGGCCACCGCCGAGCGCCTGTCCATGACAAGCTCCATCGACGATGCCATCCGGGATCTGCACGGCGAATTGAAGCGAAGCGATAGCAGGCGCTCCTCGAACCTGGCCGCCAGCGCCCGAGCCGCGTCCGACGCCGCCCACGACGCCCACTACAACAGCAGCTCCGAGGCCGCCGGCCCCGTCAAACGCCACCTGTCCACGTCCTCGTCCATCGTCTCGACCAACATTGCCGCTCGTCAGGGCGGCTACTCGCCCGCTGCCTTTGTCATGTCACCCAATCACTCGCTCACGACGGGCCGTCTCCGGTCGGGCTCCCAGAACTCGGCCACCGGCCGCCCCGACCTCGACATTGGCACCATCCTCTCGCGGCACGGCCCCGGCAAGTCGTCGGTGAGGAGCGTCCGCTCCGCCAAAATGTCCCTCGCCGAGATATCAGAGTCGGAGCCCGTCGCCCTGACCGGGGAGGCGCTCGACGCCGCCGACAACGCGCCCCCGATCGAGGATCAGATTGACGAAAGCGAGCTGCGGATACCGCCGGTCGGCGAGGACGTGCCGAGCACCGCCGCCTTTCACGAGATGCTGGGCGATAGCGTGCACCACACCGCACCCCACGCCGGGTCCGAGCAGCAGCCCGCCTATCAACAGCTCAGCCAGGACGACGAGGACGACGAGCAGCGGCCCGCGACGCCGCAGTCGTGCAACACTTTTCAGCAGTGCCAGGACGCCTTTGTCGACTTTGACGGCGTGCACTGGGAGCCCGAAGTCGAGGAGGACCTGTACGTACCGCCCGAGATGGAGCCAGAGCTGCCGACGCCGCGCCCGGCGCCCGTCCGCCCGCAGTCGTACTTTGACCCCGAGACGGGGCAGCAGATGCTGTACTACCCGGCCCGCGTCCCTGCAATGCTCAACCTGCCTCCGAAGCTGTCCCACCGGCCCAAGGCGACGCAGCGGAACCAGAGGCGGTCCCAGGTTCTCTCCGCCATGATGGACCTCAACGCCCAGCCGGCCACGGCCCAGCAGCCGCCGGCCTCGCCCGACAAGAGGGGCTCGACCTTTGAGCTCAACAACCTCACCAGGAAGCCCGCCGCCCCCGAGCGGGCCTCTTTCCTTCCCGATCCTATCGAGGGCCAGCGCAACTCGTTTGACCTGTCGCAGTTTAACTTTGCCGACCCGGAGACCAAGTCGGAGAACGGGGCGGAGGAGGAGGCGCCCGAACCTGAGGCGGCCGCAGACGAAGCACGGCCCGTATCCCACGATGCGGCCGAGAAGCGCAAGTCTCGCATGTCGGCGTTGCTGAAGCTGCCCCCGCAGCTCCGCGCGAGCGCCTTCTTCGACCTGCCCCCGACCAACGCCGTGGATGTCGAGATCAAGGATGGGTCTGCCATGGCCACTCTGGACAGCATTCTTGACGCCTCGGCGAGCGCGCCCGTCAACGCCTTTACCGACCACCTCCACGGGGGCACGCTGGGGCCGGAAGTGTACGGGAAGACTAAGAAGCACAAGGCCCGCCAGTCGACCGCGACCCTCACCGGCCTGTCCCCAGGCCCGGAGCCCAAGAAGCGGTCGTCGTTCATGTGGCTCGGGAAGCGCGCGACCAGCAGCCACAAGGACGACGAGAAGAAGCGGCCCCATACAGTGGCCGGCCCGGCTGACCTCGACCGGACAGAAGACGCCGGAGCAGCCGCCGACGGCAAGTCCACCGCGGGCGACAGCGCGGACCATGTAATTCGCGTCGGCGTGGAACCTGAGGACGGCGAAGAGCAGGACGGCTCGGAGGAGGACGAGGATGCCGACGCGTACCACGGGCCGCCTACGACGCTCCTCGCCGAGCTCCAGCTGCGTAAGCAGGAGCAGCAGCAGCGCAAGAAGAACCTCGGCTCGGGCTTTACCAACGGTATGCACGCAACGCTCCTCGAGATGGACACGGTCGCGGAGCAGCAGCGCAAGGAGCGCAACAAGAAGCGCGTCAACCTCGCCTGGGAGGACCCGCTCGCCCACGAACGCGAAAACGGTTCCGACGACGAGGACGTGCCCCTCGCCGTCTTGGCCGCCATGCAGCAGGGAGCCAAGAACATGGCCGACCTCGAGCGGCCCATGGGCCTGATGGAGCGCCGCGAGCTCGAAGACAACGAGCCCCTCAGCCACCGACGCGCGCGCCTCCAGGGCCTTGAGCCGCCCACCGTGCTCCTGCCGAACCGCATGAGCGTCATGTCGTTTCCGGCCTTTAACAGGGGTGCCCAGAACCGGTCACCGTCGGCCCGCGGCCACAGCCCGGCGCCCGAGGAGGAAGAGGTCGAGGACGAGACGCTCGAGGAGCGCAGGCTCCGCCTGACCGGCAAGGACAGCAGCAGCGAACTCCCGCGGGCGCGCCCCGTCAGCAGCACCTTCTCCGCCGAGCTCCTCAGCCAGTTTGGCGACCTCGACGACGCCAAGGACAAGACCGCCGAGGGCAAGGAGGCCAAGGCGGCGCCGGCTGCGACGAACGGCGAGGACGAGACCCTCGGGCAGCGGCGCCGGCGGCTGCAGGCGGAGAGGGAGGCCCGCGAGCGCGAGATGAGCTACGGCAACCTCGTCGGCGGCGACGCGGCGCAAAAGGCTACCAACCGCCTCAGCCTCGCCAACATCCTGTCCGCGCACCCGAAAAAGGAGCCCGAGCCGTTTGCTCAGGAGCAGGCGCAGCGAGCCGAGGACGCGCGCGGCGCCATGGAGCGCGACATCAAGCTGGCGGCCATGCGCAAGCAGATGCCGCAGACGCTCGAGGTGCCCAACGTCGACCGGTCGGGAGGATTCAGGGGCGGCGCGTACAACGACGGGACCGGCGGCTCCAGCCTCCTGGCGGCCAAGAACGCGTACGAGCAGCAGCAGCAGGAGCAGAAGCTGCGCGCCGAGGACGAACGACGCGCCGCCCGGCTGCGCGACGCCAAGATGGCCGCCATGCGGGAGCAGATGCCTCAGACCCTCAACGTGCCCAACGTCGACCGCTCCGGCGGCTTCCGTGGCGGCGCCTACAACGACGGCACAGGCGGCGTCACCCTGCGCGGGGCGCGCTCGAGCCAGTCGCTCAACGTGCCGGGGCTTGCCCAGCCTGCGTTCGGCTACCAGAACCGGTCCAGCGTCGTGCTCAACAGCGGCAGCATGCTCGGCGGGCCGGTGCAGCAGCCGGGATACGACGCCATGGGCATGGGCATGGGCATGGGCATGGGTGGCATGGGGCCGTACAACGGCATGAACGCCATGGGCTCGGTTAATAATTTGGGTGCCATGGGCTCCGTCAACAACCTGGGGGCCATGGGCTACAACAACATGAACGCCATGGGCTCCTACAACAACCTCAACGCCATGCCCTACGGCAACCCCGCCGCCATGGGCTCCTACGGCAACATGAATGCCATGGGCGGCCTGTACAACGGCAACGCCGGCATGAGCGTATACGGCGGCAACATGATGGGCGGGATGCAGATGCCGATGCAGATGCCCATGCCCACGAGCTCGGGCTCCGTCGACCGCGTCGAGCAGTGGCGCCGCAGCGTCCACCCGTGAGCTTGACCGTCAGGCGGTCGACTCGCAAGACTTTTTGTATCATTCCCTTTGTCTGGGCAGGGCGGATCGCACCGGGACTGTTTTGAGTAGCGTGCAGTATTTGGCCCAAGCATGGCGAGGCGCTGGACGAAGGAATCACTTGGCATTAACATCAGGTAACAATATCTATCTAATACGGGCGTCTCGACGCCGTGGGGATGACGGGATACATAGAGGCGGATCACTGAAATGGACACGTTTCAAGCACCTCACTTGTCTCTTGCACACGTGAAGCGGCGCATTCCAAGCGTGTACGTCTCTTGTCGTCTATTGAAACAACGCCTTCAAGCCTGTACGGCTCTTGTCTAGTGAAGCAACGCTATGATTCCAGCACCGAGTACTTTTGCTCGGCCTGCTCGAGGGCGCGGTGGAGGGGTATCTCGGACAACTTTACGACCTTGGTGCCCTTGTAAAACTTCCAGATCAGGTACGCGCTGATGACGAGGGGAATGTCGCTGGGCAAGTCAGCACGAGTCGAGACACGTTGATACGAGACGGGCGCTTACAGATATGCAGAGACGAAGCTGCTGGGGTCCCAGTTGCCCTTGGTAAAGACCTTGAACCCGGACGTGAGGAGGATGAGGACGCACATGACAATGGCAAAGTACGACGTATACACTGGGAGCTGTCAGCTTGATCAGACGCACAACGGGGCGAGACGTACGCGTCCACGAGTTGTACCACGGCAGCCTCGTCAGGGGAATGTCCTGCCGCTTGAACGCGAGGCGCAGGCGGATGTGGTTGAGCAGGATCGCAATCCACGACACGAGCACGCCGGCCGCCGTCAGGTCGACGAGCCACCAAAACGCAGCGAGGGCGCCGCTCGACAGGCTCATGAAGCTGAGAAACATGAAGGCCGTATACAGCGCGACGCAAACCCAGGGGACGCCCCACGACGTGGTGCGCAGAAAGACGCGCGGGGCCTGGCGCTTCAGGGCGAGGCCGTACAGCACGCGCGTGCCGGCCAGCAGCGCCTGGTTGGACGAGCTCCACGCCGACGTGATGACGACGGCGTTGACGACGGACGGCACGGCCGGCAGGCCCGCGGCCTCGGCGGCGATGACGAAGGGGCTCTGCGCCGCGGTGCCGCTCGAGCCGTCGAGCCGCGGGTCGTCGCTGCGCACCAGCATGCCCACCACCAGGATCGCCAGCATGTAGAAGAGCACGATGCGGATGAAGACGTTTTTGCACGCCGCGGGGATCGCCCGCCGCGGGTTGCGCGTCTCGGCGCCCGCCATGGCAATCGACTCGACGCCCGCAAACGAAAACACGGCCCCCGTCATGACGCTCCAGTATCCCAGGAACTTGCCCCAGTTGCCCGGCGCAATGTACTCGACAAAGGGGCCCGGGTCGCGCCAGTAGCGGAAGTAGACGGCCGACGTGCCGGGGACGCCGCCCAGGTCGATGACGAGCCCGAGGATGATGAGGAAGACGACGAGCAGGATCTTGAGCAGCGCGAAGAAGAACTCGACCTCGCCGAAGACGCGCACAAACGCGAAGCCCACCGCCACCGTCACGACGATGAAGCACACGATGAAGACGGCCGGGCTGACGTCCGGGTGCCAGAACTCGATGAGCACGCAGATGGCCGTGATCTCGCTCGGGATGCTCAGCAGGTTGCCGTACACGAGGTTCCAGCCCACGGCGAACCCCCACGCCGGGTCGACGAGGAACTCGGCGTGTCGCACAAAGGCGCCCGTCACGGGCAGCAGCGCCGCCGCCTCACCGAGCGCGAACTGCACCGCGCATACGATGATGCCGACCGTTGCGTAGCCCAGCAGCGCGCCCAGCGGGCCGCCCGTCTGCACCGCGCCGCCGAGGCCCAGGAAGAGGCCCGTCCCGATGGCGCCCGCGATGCCCAGCATGGAGAGGTGGCGCTCGTGTAAGCCGCGCTTGAGGTCGCGGTCCTCGGCCGTGGTGACGAGGTCGGCGTTGTCGTCGGGGAGGCCAGCAGTCGAAGAGCCCATCGGCGGCCCAGAGCGCGTTTCCGCCCCGTCGTCTTGCATCTGCCGCTGCCGCTCCAGGTCCGGCGTGAACATGTCTTGGGCCGCAGACGATACGCCCCCCTTGGTGTTGGTGTTGCTGCCCGGCGGCGCAGCCATGGTGCTCTCAACCCGCGGCGCAGATTTGTCGTCGTCGCCGTTGACACCGTCGCCCCTGCCGCGGCGGGAAAAGAAGCCCAGCCCAAACCCCATCTCTCTCTGCGTTGGCGATGCCCGGCCGTTGGAGTTTGCGATTATGTCGCGCAGGTCAGACGAGCAGGCAGCAGCAGTCGAGTCTCACGGGTGAGACATGCATACAGCCCGGACCTCCCAGCCAGCCGCAAGATCAGCAACACTGACTTGACTGAGGAAACTCGAAAACTCGTGGCTCCGCGCCGCCGGCGGGAAACTTTTCCTTTATCCACCGCATGGTTTAGCTTATCGCAATGCCCACTTGGGATGGTGTGCTCGTCCCGCCCGTCGAATCCTCCCTGGCCCGTCCCCCACATTCTGCAGCGTAGCGTCTGCGTCCGGCGAAGCCCGGCCGTTGACAGCGCGGAGACGAGAGTTTTTATCAGGCATGACGGCTGGGGCGCCGGCGCCCAGGGCTGGCTCGCACCACATGGCATTTTCGTGGCATCCCGCCTTGGCCCCGAAGCCTGCCGGGCGCCTCTCGCGGGACGGATTTGGCGCGAATCTCGCCGCGAGGATTTACCATATAGAAATAATACCAAGAGGCTTGAGATATATAATATACGATATATTACGCGGCGTAATACAGTGTCAATTTAATGCGCCGAAACCCGCGGGCTTAAAGACCGCTCATACCGCTCGTGGTCAATCGCGCTACTCCAGTCGGCGCCCAACCCCGCGGGTTTAGCATCGAGTCCGGAACTTGAGCAGACGGGAGCAAGAATCACGGGTGGACGTCGAGTATAAAGATGGGAGGTCGGTCTGGTCTCATTGAATGATTCAGCCAGAGTGACAATCAATACATTAATATTCACCAGTGACAATTATCTCCTGCATCCGCCTATATACCAAACTATACCAAGCATTTCCCACGCCAGAGAATAACAGCAAAGATGCCTGGGACAATCAGCGTACTGCAGCAATTCTTTTGCCCAGGAAAGCCCAGGTTCACGGAGCAACATGTGCCAGACTTGACGGACAAGGTGCGCCCACGCCCTGCCCCCCCTGCCTAAGCGTATTGTCCGGCACGCACAACCTCGAGACTAACAACTCGCCATAACAGATTGTCGTCGTCACCGGGTCCAACACCGGCCTCGGCAAGGAGATTGCGCGCATCGTGTACTCCAAAAACGCCACCGTCTACATGATGGCGCGCTCAGAGGACAAGACGCTGGCGGCCATGGAGAGCATCAGGGCGGACGTTCCTAACTCCGGCGGTGCGCTGCACTTTATCCGCCTCGACCTGTCTGACCTCGCGAGCGTCAAGGCCGCCGCAGACGCCTTTTTGAGCAGGGAACAAAAGCTTCACCTCCTCTTCAACAACGCAGGCGTCGGGTACCCGGAAAAGGGCGCGACAACAGCGCAGGGCCACGAGCTGCAGCTCGGCGTCAACTGCATCGGCCCGTTTGCCCTAACAAAGCTGCTGACGCCGCGCCTTGTGGCCGCCGCGAGGACGTCGCCCAAGGACAGCGTGCGCGTCGTCTGGGTCTCATCGTCGGCGGCCGAGGGCGTCAACCCTGCGACGTTTATGGAGAGCCTGGCCAAGATCCAGACGCTGGGCCAGCTGGACCAGTACAGCCTCAGCAAGCTGGGCAACTACCTGCACGCGGCCGAGCACGCGGCCCGCTACAAGGCCGACGGCGTGCTGTCGGTGTCGCTGAACCCGGGGGCGCTCGACTCGGAGTTTTGGCGCACGCAGGGCAGCGTCACGACGTGGCTGCTGCGCCGGACGCTGCTGTACCCGCCCATCTACGGGGCTTACACGAACCTGTTTGCGGGATTCTCGCCCGAGGTGACGGCGGACAAGTCGGGCAGTTATAGTGAGTGCCCCAAGTCATGATGTCCATCAGACAAACATAAGCTGACAGTTAACGTTAGTTGCTCCTTGGGGCCAGCTGTGGCGAGTCTCCAAGGACATGCTCGACGCGGCCAAGACCACGGCTGAAGGTGGGACTGGAGTTGCGCGGGAGTTTTGGCAGTGGTGCGAGGAGCAGGTCGAGTCATACATCTAGTGCTTGTGTCCTACTTGTCTGCCTTGAAGTTAATGAGCGTTTTGTCTCGCGGCTGTCTTGCGTGGAGTTGCGCGTGTTTACAGGTATAGAATAGACTATAGCGTTATTTTCTGATGTTCGTGCTCCAGCCCCTAATACACTACCAAATGAAAATCTGCCAAGAGAGTTGCAACTTGTGTTGCCTGTGCCGTGCTCGGATTGCGACGGCAACCCATAGACTCAAGTCGCTCGCTGTTGCCTGCCGCAAAAAGACACCTTCTGAATCCCGACCGGCGGCAGATTTTGTGCGACACCATTTCCCTCCGAGGACCTGGCAACGTGTCGAGCGGACCATTTCGCCCGCGCTTTGACCGTTCCATAACGCAGCCTGAGTCTAGCGACAGCGGCCTCCATTGTGGGCTCATGCGTTGGTGGACAGATCTAGGCCCTGAGGCCCGATGCGGTAACCTCTTCTCAATCTATTGCAATACTCTCACTCTTGAATGCAAATAGCGCCGCAGGGGTCGCCCCGAGGCTGAGCTGGGCTCACCAGAAACGGATCGGCAGCACCGAAGCGGGCTGGACTGGACTGGACCCACGGGAGCGGCCGCGCGAGGCGATTCCCCTGTAGTTTCCGGGGTTGGGGCTCAGCTCGCCCCGCGATGCCAATACATTGGCACCGGGCGGGTTAGTCTGTCAGCACTGAGCAGCCGTGTAACTGACGATGCATTGTGACTGACGCTGCCCAATGTTCTCGAACACCACAACAATCGATAGTAGCATCGTGAACCGAGTTTGGTAGGTCTCCACGTGGACAAGTTGTCGGGTGCCCTCGTCGGGTGCCTTTGCGCAACTATATAAGTCGTAGAGGTTCTCGTAGACATGCTCTCATTCAGCACACACTCTCATCGGCAACTCGAGGCACTTTCAGACAACTCCCTCTCAATCCAGTCTCAACTCACACTCCTCCACGATGAAGGGAACAGCCACCGTCGCGGCCTTGGGCCTCTCTGGCCTGGCCTCGGCCGCCATCTGCAACAACAACTGCGGCCGCCAAGTTGCGGGAACGGCTGCCGGCAAGGTGCCACTCGAGACTCGCCGGGCCATGTGCTCGTCGTTTCTGGCCACGACGACGACGGTCACTCCTCCGTGAGTTGCTTCACTTTAACCTCTTAACGCCACGTTAACTGACAGGACTCCGCAGTGTTGCCACGCAGACTCCTCCGGTTGTGTACAACCGCAACGTGCACAACCGCGCAGCGGCCTCGCCCACTGTGACTGGCGATGTCCCGGCTTACGCGACCATGTGCTCGAGCAACGTCGACTACTGGTCCGCGTGCCAGTGCTTTGGCATCGCGCCCACGACCATTACCGTCACGGCCCCGACACCCACCACTACGCTCGCCACGCCCACCTGCACGCAGGGCGTTGAGTACGCCCTGTGGGTGTTTGACGCCGACTCTCCGCAGGCCGAGGAGCTGGGTATCGCCTGGCAGTACTTCCCCGCGGTGAACCGCAACAGTCTCGTCGCAGGCGTCACCCCTGTCCAGAGCGGCGTCGTCGCGCAGGTCGGCTTCCCGCAGTGGATGGACTACAACAACCCGCTGCGGTTCGACGGCATCTCTGGGCCCGCGGGCACGGGTATGGAGTACAACGTGCTCGAGCACCGCGGGTACCTGGTCCCGTCCGCGGCCGGCACGTACGCGTTCCAGTTCAGCTCGGTCGACGACGTCGCGGCCGTCTGGGTCGGCGCCCACGCCAAGAGCGACATCACCACGAGCCAGTCGGTGCTCAACGGCACGCTGGGAGACTTTAACCCTCCCCTGCGGTACGCCCACACTGTCGCGTCGGCGGACGTGGGCAAGCCCGTGCCGTTCCGCGTCTTTTGGGCCAACGCCGGGGGTCCCGCCGGCCACCTGTGGAACGTGGTTGACCCCAGCGGCGCGGAGGTTTTGGGCTATGGCACGCAAAAGAATAAGCAGATTATTGCGAGCTGCTCGGGTGCTGGCACGGACGCGCCTGCGTGGCCCGCGTGGACGAGCGAGTCTTAGGTACGTCGAAAGGAAGCGAATTGCAGAGGCTCTGCAAAGAGCATATAGACAGATCTCGCGAAATGAGACTTAAAATGAGACCTATACAATCTACTTGCCACAGTGAGTGAGTGTTGCCTTTGCAGGTCAGACTGGCCGAGCGGTTATCAAGACGGCTTTGCTTCTGTAGCAACGCTCCCTACAGGAAGAGGATTCCTGCAAGACGAGGCGCCCCCGAAGAACCCCCGAGGGAAAACACCAAACAAGAGCAGTAAGTCGGCGCGGTGTAGAGCTCCGTAGCTTTTATGCCTCGCATGAACACCGTGGCTGTACAAGACGTGGAGAAGACTCCTCTACACAATCCGTACATGTAAGGCGTGCAAGTACTCGGTGTAAGCGCCAACGCCGAAACCCGCGGGTTTGAGTCGAACCCCGCGGCGCTCGCGACGACTTGCAGCGTCAGCACGCTCACCCCCGCGATCTGACTGCACCACTGCCGAGAGCGACTCGAGCTGAAACCCGCGGAGAGTGACTGGCGAGGTGCGCAATGGCGTACAATCCAGCCAGGTTTGCCGCAGATTCAGGGGGCTTGATCCCGGCCCCGTACGGGCGAGCGTGCGCCGGCTGCGCGCGTGCCAAGTGCAAGTGCTTTTACCAAGAGGGGGGCCAGACGTGCGAGAGGTAAGATGCTGGCGTTTGTTGGCACGCCGTACCCTCTCTGTCCGGATCAGTGACAAATCGACTAGATGCCAACGCCTCGGGAAGCAGTGCGAGCCGGCAGTCGCCGTGCGGAAGCGCAAGGCGCAGACACAACCGCCGCCGCCGGTTCCGTCTAGGCTCGAGGGGAAGCTCGATGACATTGTCTCGCTGCTTCGCTCGCAGGCCGCTCACAAGGAGAGCCACGCGAACACCCCGTCCATGACCGACGGCTCGCCCTCGGCCGCGAGCGTTTCCGCCACCTATGCGGCTGTCTCGCCTCCGACCAGGGACCCAGACGTTGCCATCAGCACTGTATCAAGCATCGTCCATCTCTCACGCCCGTCCGAAGATGTGACCCCGTCGCCCGTCGCCGAGGACGTCGCCGCCCATAGACTTTCGCCCAGAGTGGCAGAAGCGAGTCTCGACGACTTTCGCCGCTCCTTCCTGCCCATGTTTCCATTTGCATACATTCCGGACTCAATGACCGCGGCGGACGTCTGCCGTGGCAAGCCGTTCCTCTGGCTCGTCGTCATGGCACTCAGTAGCAAAGACGTCTCGCGACAGTTTGCAATGGAGGAGACCATTTGGCACATAATATCGCAGAGGATCGTCGCCGAGCATCTCGCCGATCTGGACCTGCTGCTTGGCGTCATTTGCTTTGCCTCTTGGTACTACCCCCTGACTGCCGAGTGCCGTCGACCATCCAAACGCTCACATGCACCGTGCCAGGTCTCACTACTTTAAAAAGGACAAGCCGTTTATGACGATGCTTTCGCAGCTCGCGGCGGCGCTTGCCATGGAGCTGAATATCCATAAAGACGTGCCGCAGGCACGCACAGCTCGACGCGAGAACTTGACGCCGCAAGTCCGCACCATGGAGGAGCGGCGGACCATGCTGGCCGTGTTTCATCTAACATGCTCGTGAGTTTCCGTCGGAGCCACTCGTCCAAGCTAAACTGTTACCAGCACGTGGACGGCGTATAGGAAGACGGAGCCGCTTCGTTGGACACGATACCTGGAAAACTGTCTGAGGATGCTGCGCGACAACGCTGAGACGTCCTTGGACGTCACTCTGGCGACCCAGGTTGAGTGTCAGCTCATCGCCAACAAGTTGACTTGCGCCGGCTTGGACGAGGCCACGGAGCGGGATGCGGGCGCAACGACTGCGGTATTGGTCAACGTCCTGCTGAGCCAGCTGAGCGGGATCCGACGAAACTTGCCTCAGGGGATTCAATCAGAGAGTGAGCGAATGGGCCAGCTCTCATGCGTCAAATGCTAATGGTGATCAGGGGCAGTGCAGTTCTATCTGAGCCACACCGAGATCACGATCCGAGAGGCGCTTGCTGCGAGACCGCGTACGGAATCCGCAGACAGCCTCATGCAGTTCCGTAGGCTGGAGGATCTGGAGCTGCTAATGGGGAGCGCCGAGAGGTGGCTGGACGCCTTTACGCACATGCCGCTGGCCGACTGGGTCGGCGTCAACGTCGACGTCTTTGCCCAGTTTACGCACACCCTGGTGGTCGTGCTCCGGCTCAACACCGTCAGCGAGCCCGGCTGGGACTTGCAAGAGTCGTGCCGGCGCGCCGACGTGCTGGAGATTTTGGACCGGGCGTGCGACACCATCGACCGCGTGCCGCCGGCAATTGGCATGGTGGACGCGAAAGGACCGCGATCGGGGCTCTTCTTTAAAACGACGTACCTGCTCAAGGCCATCAAGTCTTTGTTTGTGGCGGAGATGGGGCCGAGTGCGCTGGCGGGCTCGCGTCCACCGAGTATTAACAGCGGGATGGACGAGGCTGACCCCGTTGCAGAGGACGGCGTCTCGATCCTGGACGACTTTCTGATGAACCTGGAGAACGAGCCCTGGCTTTCCGACATTTTGGGTCCGTCGTGGGATGCGCAGTTTGAGGGTGCCATGGATATGCCGTTTGGAGCGGCCTGACGATACTTGCCATTCGCTAAACCTGCTTGCTGGGCGTATCGAGGGCGAGGAGGTAAAGGTGCGAAAAACCGGGCTCGAAGTGTTGCGAATCGAGCAACTTGCGACCGCTCCAACAGTTGCAGACCTGGACAAAATCTGGAATAAAGTGCAACTTAAGGAATTCCAGAGTCAGAATAAACGTGACTTAATTCTGGGACCCATTGTCATTGTTTTGACGCTGTTGTAGCCGAGTGTTCGGCGCCACCAGATCTGAGGGGTTTGCCTGGTCCGTCGTGTGCGCGCTCACAAACTGCGCATGTCGCTTCGCCATGAATACATGGCACGACAGGGCGCTCTGTAGACCCAAAAGTAACCCGCCGCGTGTAATCGGTTGTCTTTGAGGGCCGAAATTGGTGGTGCCAAAACCGCACGTGTAGCGGACGTGCACGTCTCACGTTGAAGCAGTGCCCGTGCTTGCTCGCGAACTCTCACTACGCAAATGGGCGGCAAATGACCGCAGCGGTACATCTTGACTAATGCGACGAGGTCCCAGGCCATCACCCAGTGTACTGACCATGATGAGACCATCGGAGTCGGGCGTCGCCACGGGTCTGCCGGCCGTACGTAATGTATAGCTATTTCGGCCGTTGAGAAACTCGGTCGAGAGGCGCACAAGATTTATATATTGGCGCGCTGCCTCCCCAAGAGTTGCGCTGCCAGTCGTCTCTCAACTCTCTGCACCTGCGCATCATTCACCATGAGGCTCACCATTCTCTGGGCCCTTTGGCTCCTCGAGTCTGCGACAGCAATGCGACTGTTGCCGTCCAAAAACGACAAGACAGAAAAGGTCTACATCCTGCAGTCTAACGACGTTGGTTGGGCAGAGCTGGGTCTCCGCCTCCTCAACGATGAGCTCCGCGCCAAGGGCCACGAGGTCTTTGTCTCAGCACCCGCCGAAAACATGTCCGGCCAAGGTGAGATGATATGACAGTATCTTTTGCACGCCGCTGATCAGACCAGGCAAAATGGACAAGCCACCAACGCCCCGGACCGAGGCGTGCCACTACGACAGCTGTCCCGCCGGCTCCAACCTCGACCACGGCTTCAACGAGACCCGCCCGGACCTCGCGTGGGTAAACTCGTACGCCGTCACGGCGACGCGCTTCGGCCTCCGCGTCTACGCCAAGCAGCACTGGAAAGGAAAATGGGCGGACCTCGTCGTCACCGGGCTCAACGTCGGCGCCAACCTGGGCGCCGACGTCGAAAAGTCATCGACGTGCCAGGCCGCGGCGTGGATTGCCTGGAGAGACCAGACGCCGGCGATTGCCTTTTCGGCGGCGACCCGGACGCGGCTGCCGTGGAACCACCAGCCCGTCCCCGACATCAGCCGTGTACACGCCGAGCTGGCCGCCATGATCACCCAAAAGATTATCGACGGGGGCAAGCCGTACCTCCCCAAGTTCAGGTACCTCAACGTCAACTTCCCCGCGCCGCACGAAGGCTGCTCCAAGGTGTCTGATTTCAAGTTTGTCCTGAGCCGCATCGCGGAGCCGGGGCCCAAGGACAAGGACGTAGAGTGGTGCGGCACGCGAAAGCTGCCTCTGGAGAAGGACGTCGTTCAGAGACAGGGCTGCTTTGCCTCGATTAGCATGGGCAACACGGACTGGTCGTCGCCCTCGACGGCGCAGAGCGAGCAAAAGGCGGTCTTGAAGAAGCTGCGAGATGTCCTGAGCTGCCTACCCGAAAAGGCATAGAGCTGGGAAGCTCTGCGATATGCCGAGGTGCTTGCCTCAGAAGGCGTAGAGGCAGCGAATTAACAACGTGCGGCGGCATGTCTCCGGGGTTGATGCGAGGGTGACGATGATGCTTTAAGCTCGCATAGTTGAACGAGACTATTTACATAACTGACGACTTGATGAGCTCGTCGCGTGAGGGAGTCTCCTTGATCATCGTCTCCATTTCAGTCGTTGAACCGAGGCGATTGCCTGCTCGACCCCAGCGAACCTGAGCTCGTCCATGGTTTCCGTCCAAACCTGCTCTGACAACTCTTTGCCTCCACTATAGTACCATCGAGCGAGCCTGCAGGGCGGTCAATCTCTATGCGCAAAGAGTCGTCAGCTAGGTGGTAGACTTACCCCGCGACTTTGCAGTTCATCAGAAAGCACCCGTGAGACTCTGTGCCGTGTCGGAGGGCCGCATCCACATACGTCGCCGCTCCCCGTGCAACCGGCCTGCCGCAGATAGAGAGAAACGCGCCGGCGAGCAAGCGCACAATCCCGGTTGCGTCTCTCGAGAGGCCAGTGCCCTTGGTGAGCCCCGGGTCCACCATGTTTATGGTGATGGCTTCAGGGTCGACCATGTCGGCCAGACGGACGAGAGCCAGCTGGCACAACAGTTTCGACACGCCGTACCTCTCAGACGAGTTGAACGGCGTAACGTTGGTGTCGTCGAATGATGCCAGCAGTGGCCGCTCGTCTCTGTTGGGAAACGAACACAAGTGCGCCATGACCGAATTGACGACTGTAAGCCGCGGAGGGGCGCCGGAGGATTTGGGCTTCAAGACTGGCAGTAAGAGAACGGCAAGAAGGACCGTGCTCATGTGGTTGACCTGCATGGTCCTCTCGTGGCCTGTCGCCGGAACGGTGGCAAAGTGCATGGGCGAGATGCCCGCGTTGAGAATGGCCACGTCGATACGCGGCAGCGACTCGCACTTGTGCACGAAGCCCTGTATCGACTCGTACGACTCCATGTCCAAGTGCCAAACGTCGATTGTGGCGGACGGGTTCACGGCTCTAAGTGTTGCAGCAGCGGCCTCGCCCTTTTCGAGCGACCGGACAGCCATGACGAGGCGCGACAGTCCGAGACTCAGCAGCTGCGCCGCAGACTCGAAGCCGAGACCGGTGTTGGCGCCGGTGACTATGGCACACTTACCGTGCACATCTGGGTATGCCTCGGCAGTCGGCAGCTCGATTGTTGTGCGAAACTGGTTTCGAAAGAAGACGGGCAGAAAGTTGGTCGGCAGGGGCGGCATGTCTTTCGAGGGGAGGCGCTGCTCACCCCCCGTGGCAGAGTCTTTGCTGTGCCGAGGAGACATGTTGCGAGCAATGTTGGAGGTTCAATCTAAAGGGCAGAAGTTATGGTCGAAAGACGCAAGTGTCAATCCCAAATCACGGAGTCAAGACTTCTTCCCATTGAAATGTTCCGGCGTGCCAGATCTTTTATCTGCTGCTCATCATCGGTCACTTACACGAGCGTCGTGGGCCAAACTCCGAAACCCGCTGTGGCGCTTCCATAAACGGCAACCGAGCTGTCTCCACCCCGGCCGGGATCACCGGTGACGATCCGTCATGCTTGGTTTAAAGCTAGCAACCGCCCATGAGACTGCTCGCTCGGTTGCCCTTTTCAATCATGATGCCGCTCAGTGACGATGCCGCCCAGAGCCAACTTTCGCACGCTCTCAGCCAGTGACTTTGACCCCAAGACGCGCGGGCTCAGGAACCGCAAGGTTGTCGTCAAATCCAAATCGGGCTGCCGACCCTGCAAGGTCAAAAAGGTCAAGGTGAGTTGCGGTCCGCGGATCCGTGACAGAGGGGCAGGCGCTGACGGTCCAGTGCGACGAAGAAACGCCGCTCTGTCGCAGATGCCGGCGAAACAACAGACAGTGCTCCTATGACCCGGCAAATTCGGCCTCGTCGCTGGCCGTATGCCGTGGATCTGACCCTCGCTCAGCGCTGCCTGGCATTGAACGCCCCTTGTCCGCGGCAGACCATGGCTCGACCGTCCGCATCCTGCATCACTTTCACAGGCACTGGGACCACATCTTCCCGATGCCCTACGACAGCGAAATCATGGAGCTGTCCAAGTCGAACCCGCTGGTCCGCAGCACCATCCTCGCCGTCGCCGCCTGCCACCTCCGGACAGTCGCCCCGGCGCGCGAGCATCAGGTCGCCGAGAACCTGCAGCTCTACCTCGCCCTGCAGTGCTACCGCAACGCGCTCGGCACGCCCCGAGAGCGGCTGGGCCTCACGGACATCAACACGCTCCTCATCGCCGCCACGCTCCTCAACATGGCCGCGTTTGCGCTGCCCGGCGCCGAGGCGGACGACCAGCCAGACCCGTCCGCGTCGTGGGTGTTTAGCACACGCGAGGACCGGCTGGGCTGGATGGCGCTGCAAGCCGGCCTCCGCCCGCTCCTCATCGCCATGGCGCCGTACCAGCCCCAAATCGCAGACTACCTCGGATCCGTGTTTCTCGGCGTCGACGAATCCAGCCTGCTCATCCGCCGGCTCAGCCAAGTCCCGGACAACATCCCGAGCCACTGGGTGGCGGCCTTTGGGCTGCACGGCGTATCTGACAATTTTGGCTGCGAGTCCACCGACGCATACCGCGTCCCGGCAACGGTACTGGCAAACCTCCGCAACCTCGAGCCGGTTCCGCACAACGTCTTTCTCTACCTCATGTTCATGGGCAAGACGCACGGAGAGTTTCGCGCGCTGCTCCTGCGCCGAGACGACCGGGCGCTTTGGCTGGTTGGGTACTGGCTCGGGCTCATGTGCCGCTTCGACGGCCTCTGGTGGTGCCAGCAGCGGGCCAAAAGGGATTATGAGGCCGTCTGCATGTGGCTCGACTGTCGGCAGCTCATTAAGAGTAAAGGCAGTCTGGGAGACGTCTGGGTAAATCTGATGCAGGATTTAATGAAAGTTTCAGAGCGTTCCACATAGCGAGCTTATTATATAACTTAAAGACGCTTAGTTAAAGATACTAATTAACATATTAAGTGGCAACGAGTATAGAGAGTCATCGATAATTTGGACATGTACATGATAGAATCGTCAATTTCCTATTTAGGCAAGTGCCCACTTCGCGGCCGACATGAGTCCTCCGGCAGATGCACAGCCGCAATGGCGCTGAGTCGCTGACGACGTCGCCGGCGTTGGCTGCATATAAAGACGGCACTTAGCGACGCTTGTCTAGCCGGCCTGCGACGCGCACGTCTGTCTCACCGCTTGGCCAGTTCAAGCGTCCCTCAACATGGAGTTCTTTCGGTCGCCAGAGTTCTCGGCGCGGGTCGAGCAGCTCATGAAGAAGCACCACGTCCCCGGACTGGCGGTGGCCGTCGTGGACAAGGAGACGACGGCCTCAAATGGCTGGGGCGTTGCGCGGCTGCATCCGCCCGAGGCGTGCACCGCCGACACGCTCTTTGACATTGCCTCTTCGTCTAAGTCGCTCACCGCGGCGTCGGTCGGCCTGCTGGTTGCGGACGACAATCACCCGAGCGTCAAGTACGACGCCGTCATGTCAAAGCTGCTGCCCGGCGACTTTGTGATGCCGGGCGAGGGGTACACCGAGACGGTCACTGTGGAAGACGTCTTGAGCCACCGGACGGGCATGGCCGCGTAAGTTGCTCTCGTGACATTCACCGGGAGATGCTAATGACTGCAGCCACGATTCCTCATACATGAACTCGGAGTCGTCGTGCCCCGACGACGCGAAATCTGTGACGCGGAACCTGCGCAACTTGCAGGTGGGCACTCCGGTCCGCTCAGGGTACGAGTACTGCAACATGATGTACACGGCCGCCACGTACCTGGTCGAAAAGGAGACGGGCGTCAAGTTTGACGACTTTTTGGAGTCGCGGTTCTTCCGACCGCTCGGCATGGGCTCGTCCAACCTCGGCGTCAGGCGGGCGCAGGCCAAGGGGCTCGGAGATCGTCTCGCCACCGGCCACGTCTGGAGAGACGAGGCGAACAGGTACGACGAGTTTGGCTGCTGGCACTGTCCCGAGGCGCAAGGAGCGGGGTCCATTATGACAAGCGCCAACGAATACATCAAATGGGTTAAGGCCATGATGAACCAGGAGGCCCCAATCACCAAGGACATTTACGAGGGACTCATCAAGGCTCGGGTCATTTCAAACCCAGAGTACGAAAACATGCGCCCCTTGACGTCTCCGACATTGTATGCAACGGGCTGGGAGGTGCACACCTACCGCGGGCACATGATTGTGTCCCACGATGGATCGGTGCCAGGGTTCGGGTCGACGCACCTTTTCCTCCCCGCGTTCAAGTTTGGCGCAGTCATATTCGGCAACGCACGGGGAGCCGGGGCTGTCGCATCTATCCTGACATACGAGCTGATTGACGAGCTGCTCAAGGTGCCGCGCGCGGAGCGGCTCGACTGGGACGACTTCGAGACACGCCTCCAAGAAAAGGTCAACGACACCGAGGGCTTGGAAAAGGAGGTGCGCGAGGAGCTCTGTCCTAGCCTCGAGCAGCCGGAGCCGCAGACGCTGCCCCTGAGCGGGTACACTGGAGAGTACTGGAACACGGGCTACCACGGCATGACGCTGGAGGACAAGGACGACAAGCTCTTTGTCGACGCCACGGACCGGTCGATGGGCTTTACGCTGACGTTTGAGCACTTGGCTGGCCAGAGCAAGTACATTGCGCACCTGAGCGACATGTTTGAAGGAGGCGCCGACCCGCTCAAGGCGCAGTTTGAGCTGGAAAACGATCGAGCGGTCCGGATGGGATTGCATCTCGAGCCGGAAATAGATGAGTTCATCTGGTTTGACCGGGTTGAGCAAAAGTGAAACGCCTTACAAAGCATAGATGATGTAGCGCGGCAGAGTCAAGATTCAAACAAGATCTATATACATTGAATTGGACTAGAGCAACCTGCACCGAGAGGAGCCCCTTTTGATATAGACGGACAGTCTAAAGTGCCTCTACTGCCTTACCAGCTGTGCATCGTCAGCGTGTTCGGCCGCCTGGTGCGCTTAGGCATCGCCCTCAAAGTGCTTCATGGCCTCCTCAATCGGCATCTCCTCGAGAACCGTGTCCGACATGACGTGCACGTCCTCGCCGTCGACATCCTCCTTCCAGGCGTCAAAGTGGGCGGCCACCTTCTCCTGGTCGTCGACCTCGCGGGTAAAGTTGGAGGGCGTGTCAATCTTGGTCAGGGAGCCCAGCACCATGCCAGAGCCGGTCCTGTAAAACTTAAAGAGGGGCTCCTCGTCACGCTTCTTGATGGACTTGTCCTGGACCTGGAAGCCGTCGTTTTTGCACTTTTGGTTGCTGCAGTACTTGACGCCGCGGGAGCCCGGGTTGCCGAAGCCGACCTGCAGGCTGTGGCTCTTGAAGCCCTTCTTTCGCCAGCGGCCGTAGACGGTCTGCAGCGCCTTGCCCTGGCGGGAGTTTTCGACGGGCGGCACGCAGCGCGAGACCTGGTGGCCGTTGGGGAACTTGCTGTTGCTGGTCGACGCGAAGGGGTACTCGTCGCAAGACGTGTACTTGCCGCCGCGGTGGCCGGGCCCCTTGCGGCCCTTGTTGCACTTGTTGCCCTTTTGGCAGCCGGCCGACAGGCGGCGCTTCTTGGCCGTGTCGTCGCTGGGGTCGTCCCAGTTGAGCGCCTGCGAGAACGTCGGGCTGGCGCAGCGGACGGCCCAGCACATGTTGGTGCAGACTTCGGGCATCCTGTTGCACAGAAAGGTGACATCTGGGGGCGTTGCGGCGACCTGGGGGGTTGTGGCCAGCCACGCGGCGGCGGCAAAGAGAAGAGTCTTGTAGGACATGCTGGATCTTGTGCAATGCTAGAGGTTGCAGATGAAAGCTGCTTTGTGAATGTGATTCTCTTGACTCGAAACTCGCTCTTATATACGTAGAAGCCGCCCCCGATCTCAGGGATTCAACTCGTGCTTCCCCTGAGCGTCGCTTACATGTACACGATGGACATCACGAGATGGCTCAGCTCTGTTGATCATCCACACTCTTGCTCCATCCACAGCATGCGAGACCTGCACACAATGCCATTATTGGCTCACCTGCTGCTGTGGCCCCCTGGGCGTTGTGTGTGATGCTCTCAGCATGGCGATGCGACGCTGCGTGAGATTGATGGTGGAACGGTCGCGGTGCACGACCTCGGTCCTTTGCCGAGCGGCAGGAACAATGTGCGGCTTACAGTGGTTCTCGAACAAACGAACTCCGTTTTGGCGATATCCAGCGACTATGCGCGGTGGAACTCGTCGGCCTCGTTGGGGGCGAAAGGAGTCGGGGCGTGGTCGGGCGACGGCCCGAACGGGCCTGGACAAGGCATCCCGGACGGCAGCTCCGAGTATTTCAGGAACGGCGCGGCAAGGCGCGCGGGAGCCCGGCACTGCAAGGGGATCAAGGTGGCATGTTCGAGTCATCAATATATGGAGAAGGCGACGATCGATCCATCACGGCTTACATGCGGCGACAAAGAGTAATTCAGCTGCGTTGCACAGCCAGCGTCCGATCTGCACTGCTGACACAGAGTACCACAATGAGCTCATTGCGTGCATATCGCACACGCGCGGCGGGCTGGTTTGCGTTGGCTGGACGCCGAGGGGGGGAGTTGCAGCCCACGTCATGTCGTCACAGCCGCTTCACGCCGCATCCCCGTCTTTTGTCTCCTCCACTCGCACAAGACTCGCCTGCAAGACAACGTGAACAGAGCATACTCAACTGAGCCGCAAAAATGTCAGACGACGAGCGACAGGGCCTTGCCTTCAAGGTGTACATAACCGTGCCCGGGCTGGACGAGGCGACCGTCATCGGCGCGCTTTGTGATGACGACGAAGAGGACGCGGACAACTTCAAGGTCGAAACGCTCGTGGGGCAGTCGACGCAGGCAGTCATCCGGCACCACCGTGCGGGCAACCACGGCGAGGACGTCAATTCCAAGCTGCTCTTGGTGTTTGACTCGGACGATCTCGAGGAGCGCGGCGCGCTGCTGGTGTCGCTGGACGAGTACCACGGCTTCGACGACGGCGTGCGGTACGCACCAGAAGACGCCAACAACTACATCAGCTCGCTGAGCATCGCCAACGAGGACTGGTACACGGTGCGGCAGGACGTGCCCGAGGAAAAGACGGAGGCGGCGCCCGTCGAGTGGTTCGCGCTGTACGACGTGCTGCCCAAGGAGCGCCGGGCCGAGTTCGACGCCGCGCTGCTGGCCATGAACAAGGGCGTCCAGGACGTTGGCGCGGACGAGCCCGACGAGGAGGGCGACCCGGACGAGCTGCCGCGGTTCTACAAGGCGGCGCGCGCGGAGGGCAGCGACGTCGGGCGCATCAGCGACGGGCACCCGGCCTACGCGGAGGAGCACGGCGTCGACGCGGCGCGCTTTGCCGTCGTCGACGGCGGCTACAAGGCCGAGGGCGCGCTCATTGTCCAGGTAGAGCCTGAGAGGGACTCGTTTCGCTGCAAGGGCGAGGTCGCGGGCGAGGTTTTGCGCTGGATCTTTGTGAATCTGATGACCTGGGACGAGGCCAAGGAGTTTGCCGGACGGCAGTAATTGAGCGCTGTCGTTGGGAACGAGACATTGCAGGTTGCTGGCTGGCAGTGAGTCAAGGGGCAGGTCGTGATGTAACAATGCGAGGCAGGCTCAAAGCATCTGCACGTCAATCGTTTTCATCTACATAGCTGAGAAATCTATGAAGCACCCCCATGTCTTGCAACGGCGCCGGTCAAGTCTTCGGTATTCGTTCTGGATAGTCGCGCCAGGTGCCGTATCGCGAGTGCAACGTCGCGGACCAATGGCGGCTCAAGGCGCTGCGTCGTGGAAGCTGCGCAGAAGCTGACCCTGGGCTTGGCTAGCGGACAGGTCATAAGCGGCAGGTGAAGGAGCGTTTTAGTCTGCTGCTCGGCCGAGTGTGCTCGCGGTAAATGCCTCAGGAGGATGAGCCGACTCAGGGAAGCCGTGAGGGCTCTTCTGCACGCGAGCTGACGAGCGGTGAGGTGCCTCGGTCGTCATTCCCGAATCATCTGCTTTAAAGACGACCGTCACACTGTTGTATGGTGTCGTGGGTTTTCGCAGACAATGGTCCCGGCGTGGAGGGTCGCGTATCGACGTCTGGACCTGCCGGCACAATTTAGCCGAGCATGGGGAAGCTGCTCGTCTTTGTGTTGCATCGCAAGGGAACTCGGTGCTACTCAACGTATGTACTCTAGTGAGTCTAGTCTAGCCTCCACAGCTCTCGTGGCCGTACAAGCCGAGTTGCTTATCTGCTGGCGCCAAGGGAGTTTAAGCTCAACGGGAGCAGCGCCCAGACGCGAGCGCCGCAGCTGAAACGGAAAAGGAAGCCAAAGAACCTTCGGAGACGGCCGCCTCGACCCCAGACGGCACTCAGATCCGCTGTGACACGTCCCGCCGTGGCGCCGATCGCCCAGGGACCGGACCACTAGGACGTCGATCTGCGAACACGACCTTCCAAGATGCGCAACGAGTCCCGCTGCCGCCGTCTCACATGGCGGTGATGGCGCGCCTTGAATGGTTGGACGGATCTGTGTTTGGCCGTATCACGCGGCCCTGGGCTCTTGGATGGGGGGGTCACCCGGCTGGCTCGTGTCGTGGGATGATGGATCAAATCACCAAAGCGCCGCGGGAGCCGGCACGGCCCTTGCAGGTCGTGGTGGTCGTCGGGACGATTCTAGCAAAGGCGTCGGTGGGTTGATCGTCCCATGTGCGTGATAGACACTTCTATTTAACTTGGACGCACACCCCGACTTGATGAGTTCACCTCCTCCGGCAGCATCGTCGAACAGCCCGCCTCTCCGCAGTCCGCCATAGCCCACCGCCACGATGCAGCTGACCCTCGGCTTCCTCTCCCTCATCGCGCTCGTCAGCGCTGCCCCGGCCGACCTGGCGGCCCGCGCGGCGACGACCTGCGGCAGCACCTCGTACTCGGCCGGCGCCGTCGATGCCGCCTCGTCCGCGGCGTGCACCTACGTTCAAAACGGCGGCACGGCCGGCAGCTCGACGTACCCGCACCGGTACAACAACTATGAGGGCTTCGAGTTCAAGGGACTGAGCGGCCCCTTTTACGAGTTCCCCATCTTGAAGTCGGGCAAGGTCTACGGCGGTGGTGCGTATAGACGGCGACATATAAGTGTGAGCAAGTCTAACACATCCCAGGCTCTCCCGGCCCCGACCGCGTCGTCATCACCCAGAGCTGCCAGCAGGCCGGCCAGATTACGCACACCGGTGCCAGCGGCAACAACTTTGTCGGGTGCTCGGGCACGAACTAGGCTGGAGAGGTGTGAGGGCGACTACGATTTGAGTGGCATGGACTGACGAGGGCAGCCACGGGTCTGCCAGAGCTGTTGGCTTCGCCGAGTGGCACCTTGACTGCACATAGATGATTGGGTCCTGTACATAGTTGCGAGCGACCATGGGCTGATGACCTGGGACGAGGCTAAGGAGTTTGCCGGACGGCAGTAGTTAAGCAGCCGCTATTAGGAGCGACGCAACGTTGCTAGTTGACATATAGCAGCGATTCAAGAGGCGGGTTGTGATGGAATTATGCAAGACTTTCCAAGGCACCTGTAAGCCAATCGTTTTGATCTATATTATATATGGCCGAGCAACGTACGACGCCGTCCCGTGTCTTGTCAAGTCACCAGCTGAGGCCTCGGTATTCGTTCCGGTTGGTGACAGTCAAGAGCCGCATCGAGAGACACCAGCGCAGACCAATGGTCGGCGTCGTGGAAGCTACGTAGAAGCCGACTCCGGCTTGGCCGGCGGAACGGTCAGGAGCGGAAGGTGAAGGAGTGTTTAGTCCGCGGTCGAGCGCGCGCTCACTGTAAATGCCTCTAAGAGAGGATGCGCATTGAATGCTCCAGCCTTCTGCTGTCCACCGTACCGGCTTGGCGGTGACTTGGCCCCCGTCATGGCGCGCTCACCTGCTTCAACAGTGGCCGCAGCCGTCGTGTAGGTGCCGGCTTGCACCCAAGTGCCGGTCCCGGGGCATCATCTGGTTGTGGCATTGTGGAGGGTGGCGTATCGGCCTCTATACGTACCGTCACCGTTAGCCGAGCATGGGGAAGTAGCTCGTCTAATCTAAAGAACGTCGCATCGAGAAAGGGGCACGGGGCCATTGCCCAGCAGACGGCGCGTACGTGGCTCTCGTGGCCCGTACCGGCGTACAGGCCGAGTTCATGTTGGCCATCTGCCGGCGCCAAGTGAGCTTAACTCTACCGGAGCAACGCCCAGCTGCCACCGCCCTGCTAAATCGAAATGGAACCTTGGAACCTTCAGAGGCATTTGATCCGTCCGGCCCGTCCCGCCGCAAGGGCGATCGCCCCCAGGGGACCCGATCACTAGGACGTGAATTTGCAAAGGACGACCTCCCATCGAGTCCCGTTCCCGCCGTCTCACATGACGGTGACGGGGCCCCTTGACTGGCTGGACCGAACAAAGTTGGGCCACATCACGCGTCTTAAGGTCTTTGCGTATGGGATCGACCGGTGGCTGGCTCATGGCTCCCGTGGGATCAAACGTTGATGAAGGCGCCGCGGGAGCACAAGACAAGGCCCTGGACGTCGTGTCAATCGATCGGGACCATTCATGCCACGGCGTCGGCGTATTGACCGCCCTAATACGTGGGATGTGCCGTGGTATACGCTTCTATTTAAGATTGGCTTGCCCGCGACTGAATGCCCGGTTCGTGTCCCCCAGGAGTGTAGTCTCTGGTGTAGAGCCATCAGTGCTGCTCCTCTCCACAATCCGCCTTCAATAGTCCCTACCGTCACGATGCAGCTGACTCTTGGGCCCCTCTCTCTCGTTGCTCTCATCAGCGCACTGCCGGCCGAGCCGGTGGCCCGCGCGGGCACGAGGTGTGGCTACACCTGGTACTACGACAGCGCCGTCGACGCCGCCTCGAGCGTGGCGTGCAGCTACGTGCGAAGGGGCCGTGGCACCGGCAACTATCCGCACCAGTACAAGAACTACGAACACTTCCAGTTTCCAGGGACAGTCCCTCCGTACTACGAGTTCCCACTGCTCGCGTCCGGCAGAATCTACGTGCACGGTGCGTGAGCATGGAGCCCTCTCAGGCACACTTGAGTCGTAACACGTTCCAGGCATGGCTGCCGGCCCCGACCGTGTCATCATCGCCTACAACCACAGGACGCGTTTCTGCCAGCCGGCCGGCCAGATTACGCACACCGGGGCCAACGGCAACCACTTTGTCGCCTGCTCGGGCACGTCCTAGCCTGGAGAAGTGTGCCGGCAACGACCCCTGAGCGATCTGGGTTGACGCCTCCATGGCTGTGCTGGACCTGTTGGCTGCGCCGAGCCTCACCGTGACTGCACATACCTTGATCGTGTCCTGGACATAGTTGCGAGCTACTATGGGCTGATGACCCGTCCTGTCGCCCTGCAATGACCTGCAAGCATGCTCTCGTGTTGAAGGGCGCCACCTACATGGACTTAACATGGAGCGAGTCTCTACATTGAGCGACGCACTTCATACCAAGCGAAGAGAACTCACTTCCTCGTCCCTCGCCTGACCACCCTGTACCGATCAATGTGCCTGTAAATTCCAATGCAGTCTATGGCCACTCAGATGGTGTACCGGAAAAAGGGCGCGCGGTCACCCAAGTCGGCGTGCCGCCTCCTCTCCAGCACTGAATACGCCTCCGGGCTCTTGTACACACTATCACGTCGCGCATTCTCCTTGCGAACGGCCCACGACATGAAGACGGCCAGCAGGCAAGCGCCGCCCGTGATGAGCAGCATGACGCCGTGCCCAGACACGAACCGCTCAGCATCGTCATGCCGGACAACGAAGCCGGCGACTGCGCCTCCAAGATTGCCCTGCGGGAGGTCAGAAATGTTACTCGCACAACGCGGAGCAGACTTACGAAACCAATGTGCATGGCGATGCCGACGGCAAGTTTGGTCGACCCGCCAATGTTGTTGGCGTTCCACGCAATGTCCTGCGGAACCACGGGGTAGATGCCCATGCATACGAGGAAGCAGGCAAAGTACTGGACGACTGGGTCGTCGACGGCGCCGAGGATCGCGAAGCCGACCATGCTGCAATGTGTTAGCGCGCGCGCGCGGACCATGATAGGGGCAAGACGTACGCCACGACGCAGAAGCCAACAATGTAGACGCCGCGCTGTCGCTGCCTGTCGGCCGCCCATCCCGCCGCGAGAATCACCAGACAGGCAGCCGCGTGCGGCGGCATCGCCATGAGAATCGCGTTGTCGTCGCGAAAGCCCATGTCGTCGATAATGTACGGCATAAACGCGCCGATGGAGTAAAGTGGGATGGATATGCCGACCGTCATGACCATGTGCACCCAGATGTGCCAGTCGAGAAGCGCGCTCTTTACGTGGATGAACTTGAAATCGTCGGAGAGGTGGCACATGTCCTCGATGAGGCGGTGCGTGACAATCTTTTTCTCCGACGGCTTGAGGAACTTGCTGCTGTCGGGATAGTCGTGCAGCAGCCAGTACGAGGCCCCGGCTGGCAGAGTCAGTGACGGAACGCCAAGGGTGGAGGAGGCTGCGTACCGACGACCAGCGAGACGAGGCCCTCGAGGATAAAGATCCACGACCAGCTGTTGAGGCCGGCGACGCCGTGAAACTCGAGTATGGCGTCGCCGATGAAGCGGTTAAACGAGCTTCCTGCGACGGCGCACGAGTAAAAGATGGCGATGCGGAACCCATACTCGTACCGCGTATACCACCTAGTGAGGCTGGACGACATGGTCAGTCGAGATCTCTCTCAATATGGTGATGCGACTTACTAGTATACGACGCCGGGAAAGATGCCACCCTCGGCGACGCCCAGGAGACATCGCATGACGAGAAGGCTCGCATAGCTCTTGATAAAGGCAATGCAGATTGTGACTATCGAAAAGAGGACCATGAGCGTAGGTATCCATATGGACGGCCGTACGCGCCGTAGGACCAGATTTGACGGGATCTGCACAATCAGGTAAAACGGAAAGAAAACGGAGAGCGCAACCTGGCCAGTGGTCAGCGCCGCATGATAGAAACATATCAGAAGGTCGTAGGCCGAAGGGATCGAAACGGCATCAGATGGCTGTCAGTGAGGCTCACATTGTAGTCGTGCTTGCCCGTCATGTGCAAGTCCTCCATCAGCCCGTCGTGCCTCGCGTTGCCCAGATTCGCGCGGTCGATGCACGAGAGCAGGTACAGCAGGCAGATGATGGGCATGACGTGACGGTCGATCCTGTAGAGGATTTGCCTCGTCTTCCATCTTGTGAGCCGCTGATCCTCGGCCACGTCTTCGTGATGCGAGGCAAACGTGCGCGCGCTTTCGGCAGTCGGCGCCGCGCTCAGCTGGAGGCTGTCGTCGGTGAGATATCCCTGTTTGTCCATGGAGTCGTGCCGCAGCTCCGGCGGAGATTGCGAGAGCGTGAGCGGAATCATGGCGTCGTCGAGAGTACATGTACGTGCAAGGCGTGTTGCCGAAGAAGCGGGCTCTTGACGTGCAGGCCCCTGATATCAGACTGACAGCCGGCCGGCCAGCATTCACGCCTTTAGAGCAGCGGTCGCTCGCAAAAGAAGAAGATTGATATATCCACCGCGAGGAACGCACGTACACGCGGCCTCCCCTGCCCAGGGCTGCCCTGCCATGGTGGGCATGTCGCAGGGACAGCGCTCCATCGCCGCGGGTCGATCATAGCTTATCTGCAATCAATGAGATGGCCCTCGTCCGAAACATGTGAGACAGGAGAGCCGGCCTCTGGCTTGGAGAGGCGGCTCCGCCATGCCGAGTCGCCGGCGACAGACACCTCCTGTCAGTTCCAGAAGCACGGTGAGCTGGCGGCCACATTGATCTCAGACTCGCCTCATCAGCGGCGCGGGGCCATGATTAGCTGAGCATGAGGCCATCGACGCAGCGACGAGGAATGCAGATCCCGTCGTGTTTATATGCCAATCGCCCGTTGACGTCGACGGCGCAGGCGTTTGCCGGCAGATCCAATCCGGACGGGATCCCACCCTGATCGCGAGGGCGTCGAGCTAGAGCCGCGGTGCATGACGGGCCGCTAGGTGCTAAAATCTCCGTTTGGCCACATCTGCGATGGAGGAGCGTGCCGGGCCTGGCGTCCATGGCGGCGTTGGACGATGCCCTGGCCTGGCCAGAGGTGATGAGTTGTCTCAGTTTGATGTGAGACCTCCTGGGGGGAGACGAGGACGCGCGGACGCTTTTCCTTTTTGGCGGGCTGGACACGAGGGAGAAAAGCTTGGCAGACGAGGACGGAATACAAAACGGCATCAAACAATGCGTCCAAGAAACTGCGTGTCAATTTGCCGTTGAAGCAAAACCTACGGCTTCACGGCATCCAGTGGCAGTGTGTGAGGCAAAGGGGGAGGCGGCGCACGATGCGCAACGGGGCCAAGGGTGGCCCGGCCCGTCAATTTGAAAAGCGCCCAAAGCAAATGTGGCTGAACAAGGGTGGTCCTCTCGAAACTACCTGTACATGTCCCGGCATCTCGCATCCGAAGCTCGAGGGCGCATGCCTGGCTACGGCGCCGGGAGGGCGGGCAGCTTGGACGCCCCTGGTTCTGCGTCGCCCCCGGACTCGGCACCGGCACCGTCATCTTCATCATCATCGTCGTCGTCGCTATCGGGCCCCTCCTTGACGGGCAGCCGGGACATGAGAATCTTGGCCATTTCGCTCAGCTCGACGTCGACGTGCGGGCGCGGCCTGAGGTCGTCCCCGGCGTTGTCGACATCTTGCTCCTCCTGCTTGGCCCCGTTCTGAGCCGCCTTCATCCGCGACAGCACGTCCCATGAAAAGGACGCGGCAAACGTGAGGCCCGTGAAGAGGAGGCTGACGACGACGAATATCCAGAACTTGCTGATGGCCTTGAAGCTGAGGCTGTCGTCGAGGCTGAGGAACGGCATGCTGAACATGGCCTGCGCGGGAGTCAGTTCGCGCTCCGCGTCGTTGGAGACGGGGCACTTACGGCAACGGTCGTGGACGGCAGGAAGCACATGGTTATCAGCGCCAGCCGCCTCATGTACCTGGTGTCCTCCTTGGCCTGCTCGGCGTACTTGTGCATCTCCTCGGCCTGCTTCTGGCTGCTGCGCGACACCTGCCGCATGTCGATGAGGCTCTGCCGTACGTAGTCGAGGCTGTTGTTTTGGACGGCCACCGCGCACTGGCCCGTCAGCAGGCGACCCGCGCAAGGAGCGGGTTATACTCACATTTCGTAGTTCGGCGTCTAGGGCCTCTCGCAAGGCGGTAAACGTGGTGAGGTTGTCGATGAATTCCTGCTGCGAGTTGTGGGCAATGTCGCAGGTGGCTCGCAGCAGCTCGCGCGACGACTGTGGAACGGACAGCTTGCTTGCCGCGCTTGCGACGGCGCCCGCATGGTCGAGGACAGACTTGAGATAGACCATGTTTGTCGTGGACACGAATTGGTACTCGCTCGCGTGCGTCATGCTCTCCGAGTACGAGACGTTTTTGCGAGCATCGCGCAGTGCGCCCATCTGATCCATGTCAGCGCGTGCTCACCCCTGTAGGAGGGAGACTCACATTGCGGTGTATGGAGCGCTTGATACTCTCCGTGCAGTTGTGCCAGTTGTCATTGACCGTCATAATGAGCAGCGCCTGCAGGTACAGCAGCTTGAGCTCGCAGGATACGCCCGCCAGGTCCGCCCGGACGTACCCCTTGAGCGCCACGTCCGTCTTGCTGATGCGATCCTTGGCCACAAATGCCAGCACCCTAAGCGGCGCGCAAGTGGCATTCACCGGCGTCCCGACGGCAAAGTAGGTCGGGTAGGACGTGAGCAGCCCCCAGGGCCAGGCGCCGACGGGGATCCGCCAGCTCTGCCAGCGGACACCGTCCGCGTTCACCTCGAAGCGGTCGCCGCCCTGGTTCTGCACGAGGTGCCGGTAGATCTCGCCCGGGATGCCCCACTCGCGGACGACGTGCTCGAGGGCGTCCTGCGTCTGCAGCGGGTTGAAGCCGGTGAAGGGCACGACGACGATGCAGTCGTCTTGCGGGCCGAGCTGCGAGAGCGGGTCGTGCAGCAGGCTGCTCGGCTCGGCCTGTCCCGTGCGGTATACCTTGGCCTTGTTCACTGGCGAGTACTCGACAAATTTCATCTGCCCGAGGGCCTTCTCGCCCGTCTCGTAGAAGGGGTCGAATGTCGACGACATGTTGTGCTCGGCGTGTGTCGGTGGATGTTGCGCTGTTGGCAGGCTTCTGCTATCGACGCTGTGTTGCGCTCTCCATGGCTGCCATCAGAGCGGCTCGAAGCATTACATTTATGCTGCGACTGGCTTACACGCGACTTCAACTATGCGGGTGCTCGGTGCCGGGACGAAGCGATAGCGCGGGCGGCTTGCTTGCGGCTGAGCACGCGTGGCAAGGTGCAGGCGACCCTGGATCGGTTCGCCCCCTGGTTTGCCTAGCGCCAGGCTCTATCGAATCTGCAGCATCTCAGCTCGATGGTCAGGTAAAATATCGCTCACGGCTGCGGCGTCATCTGACCACTGGGCGTGGAAGCGCGCGTGGCTATCTCGCAGCCGGCCGCGCCTCACTGCCACCTGCGGCTGGGGAGCCAGAGACAGCCATATTGATCGCGAGGCCTCTGGGCGCCTTGCAGCCACAGGCTATAAGGCGACTGGTGGCTTGGGTACTGCCTGGGACGAGCTGTCCTCTCGCGGCGGCGGCCTCCTGTCCCGACAGGGGCGCGCTGGGCATCATGACGACTGCCGTTCGCGCGCCGACAGGCGCCGCTGCGAAGCAGTCGACCACTCGACAGTTCGAGCAGGATCGCAGACGTGCTTCGCCAAGGCACAGCTGTAATAGGAGCATCACCAGGCATCGGGTCACAATACAACGTACTATAGGCGCTGTTATTCTCTAAACCTGGGCCGTCAATCTACGTCGTCCTCGGCCAAGTCTCTTTCCGCCCGCGTCCCCTTCCAGCTCACGAGGTTGCAGAGCACCGGAATCACGGCAGCCAGGGCGGCGCCGGCACCCAGGAACCCCGCGGTGACGCCGAACCCGATGCGGTACCCCGGGGCGTCGGTCGACGGCCAGATGCGGCTGCCGTAGACGCTCGAAAAGTTGCCAAAGGCGTTGACCATGGCAATCACAATGGCGCGCTTCTCGGGCGGCAGGACAATGACGTTGCTCGTCCACGTCAGGATCAGCGGCAGCGCCGTCCAGATGCCCGCCGCGATGAAGCAGAGCATGACGTAGCGGACGACGGCCGTCTGCACTGCGACGCACACCACGGCGCACACGCATCCCACGGCCAGCGGCCCTGCGACGTGCCACCGCCGCTCGACGTGGCGGTCCGACGACCACGCAGTCAGGTTGCAGCACGTAGCCGCGACGGCGTAGATGGGCACCGTCATGTACTGCGCTCTCACCGTGTTGTAGCCGAGACTGAGCGTAATGGTCGGGATAAAGTACGAAATCGTCCCGGACCCGACGTCGAGCATAAAGAGCACCACAAACAGGTACGTGCGCGGGTCCGAGATGGCCGCCAGGAAGGCCTGCCAGTGGCTCAGATGACGTCGACCCGCCGAGCCGTTGGAGATGCCGTCGTGGACTATGCGTACCGTGGCGAGCAGGCGCTCCTCGGGCGTGAGGCGCTTCGACGTCGCGGGGTAGTCGAGCAGCACAAAGTAGGCGACGAGGGCCACGCCGACCGTCGCGACGCCCTCGACGATGAACAGCCACCGCCACCCCGCGATGCCGTGCGCGTCGTGCAAGTCGGACGTGATTGCGCCTGCGAGGATCCCCCCAAACGCGCCAGACACCACCGAGGCCGTATAGAAGATGGCGAATCGCTTCCCTACCAAGAGTTAGAACTGCGTACCGCGGCCAGGGTCGGGCGCGGGACTCGACGTACCCACTTCCTGCTTGGTGTACCAGCAGCTCAAGAGGAAAAGCACGCCGGGGAAGAAGCCCGCCTCGAGGCACCCCAGGATGAACCGAAACGCCAAGAGGGCCCCGTAGCTCTTCGAGATGGACATGAGCGCGCTCGTGGCGCCCCAGACCAACATGATTGTTGGGAGGAAGATGGACGGCTTGCTCCGGGTGAGAATCATGTTGGACGGCACCTCGCAGATGAGATAGCCAAAGAAAAAAACGGAGAGCACCCAGGCGTATCCGTCGTCGGTCAGGCCCAGATCTTTAGACATGCCGGCAATCTTGGCGTTTCCCTGCGCAGAGTCAGTGCCGTGCTCGCGTCTCCCCGGGGCACCGTGCTCACAATGTTGGTCCGGTCAATGTAGTTGAGAATGTACATGGCCCAGAGCATCGGTAGAAAGTAGGCGTCAATCTTCCTGACGAGCTTCTTCTCCTCGTCCGAGCCCGGGACGTAGCTACGCAGAGCCTCGGCGAGGCCATCATCTTGTCGAGGGGGCCCTCGGCTTGGCGCCTCCTTGACCTCGACCGACGGAGACTTCACGGGCTCCATGTCGATGCGGCGCGACGAAATGCACGCTGAGGACGGAACCGGGGAGGCAAGCACGAGACGAGCAGGTGTGAGGAGAGCTAGTTACTCGACAGTCCACGATCCTACTTATATCCTGCCGCCCCGTTGCACCCGTCACGGAGCCGTTGCCCCGTGGGGTCGCACAGGTGCCGTCGCGGATGGACCGAAACCTTGTTCGACGGCGTTTGGTGGCTGGACGGGCTGCCAATCCAGGACCCGTCCCGACCACGCCATGGCCCGCTTGCACTTGGCTTGTGCGTCCAGTGGCAAGCCCTCGTGGGCTTGGGTAGGATTCGCCGCTGGGCCGGGTGGATTGACCCCAGCAGCCGGCTGGAAGCTAGCCGCCGACTGCCGGGGAGGGGGGGATGCGGGATTCTGCCCGCGCGGCACGGCTTCACACCCACGTTCAGCGACTTGCATATAGACTTTGCGGCGGTCGACAAGAGTGGTATCAATTTTTGTCGTCAACCTGGCATCTGCGAATTGAGCGCGTCGAGAAAGTTGAGCCCGTAGTTGTCCGATTCCAAGCCAAACTGGTTGGGCATCCCCGTGCCAAACATCCAGCTGTTCCAGTCCGGCATCATCGGCTCCCCGGCCCAGTTCTGTGGCGTCGGCTGCCCTGCCTGGGACAGTGACTTGATGGTGCTGGCGGCGTTGCGCTCTTTAAACTTTTGGAGCATGCCGTCGAGCCCGCGGCCTAGAAAGTGCGCCACGTGGCGGACGCAGGGTCGCGTCTCTTCGAGCAGGGCCACGATACCCTCAATCAGAGACACCACGTCTTCGTAGCGGATGTTCAGGCTCGCGGATCGCCACTGGGACTGCGCCTTCATCAGGAAGAGACAGGCGTACGCAATGGTGGTGAGCAGGTACAGGGGCACGCCGATGACGGCCCTGCGCATGTCGGGGTCGTGCAGCACCAGCTCCAGGGCCGCCGACGCGCTGGATATCGCGAGGTTTACAAAGTACCGCCGCTCGGGCGACATGCTGTACTGCTCGTCGGGCCGGAGGCCGCGCAGGCAGATGGAAAAGAGCTGCAGCCGGGCAAAGTGGTAGTGAAGAATGACCCCCTTGGCTGGGTACTCTGAGATGTACTTGTTGGGTCCTGCAGAGCCGTCAGTAAACGCCTACGACAGGGAGAAGCGGCACATACGCAATCGCGGCTCCCAATGGTTGCGCCAGTGCCCCAGGTCTACGTCGAAGCGCCGCAGAATCTCAAACTCGTCGCTCGCAATCATGCGCGACCTGTCCGGGCCGAACGCGTGGTATATGCGGCTCAAGATCTTGAACACGCCCACCTGGCTGTGCAGCCGAAAGTCGGACTCGGTGATGCCCGGCAGCTGGAGGAACGTCTCGTGGCAGGTGATGGTGGAATTCTCCGTAAACACCGAGGGCCGCCCGTACGCGACGCTAAAGTGGTGGTCGCAGACGTATAGCAGGTACCACAGCCGCGCCTCTTCAATGTACTGGGGCGCGTCCCGCAGCGCCTTGGCCGAGAACTGGTGCAAGTTGAGCTCCGTGGCTATTCGCACGGCGAGCCCCGACAGCTTCCAGCTCAGGTCGGACAGCCAAAAGGCGCCGATGGCGAGGCCACGCACGTCGTCGAGCGTGTGGTAGCGGTCGAACATTGCCTGGCTGACGAGGTCCAGGAAGATGGGGTAGCACACGTCAAAGGCGCGACCCTCGTCCTGGGCGTGCAACGCCGTCACGGCGAGGATGGCGGCCGTCAGCAGGCTCGATGACTCGCGTGCCGAGGCCAGGGTATCGTGGACCAGCGCGATGCCGCCCCAGAGGTAAGCGTTGAGCGTCTCGCCAAACTTGACAAACAACTTCTCGGCCTCTTCCTCGCTGAAGCGGCCCTGGGCGATAAAGTCGTGCTGCAGGGAGCGACTCGACGGGCGTCGGCCGCGCGCCCACGGCTCGTTGCGGATGTTGCGCAGCTTCGTCACCTCAAAGAGGCTCGCCATGGGCGCGTTAACCATGGCCTGGTCCTCCCGGTCCGGCGCCTCGGCCTCGACCGAGTTTTCCCTCGTCATGCCCGTCGGGCGGATGGGCCGCGGGCCGGACGGGGGGCCCTGCGAGGGGGCGGCGCCGCGGGCGACGTCGGGGCTCTGCGAGAAGCTGCTCCCGTCCAGAGATACGCTCGGGACGCGGGGCACGCCTGACGACTGCGGCAGGTTGAGCACCTTTTGCACCTCGGCCAGGGCGGCCTGCAGCGAGTGCATCTGCGCCTCCATCGTCTTTTTCCACTCATTTTCATCGTCGAGCAGCGTCTGCAGGCTCTTGTTGACGATGCAGCTGAGCCCCAGGCGCGCGCAGCGCACGCACTGGTCCTGGCCGGGCTCCAGGTTGCATTTGATTTTGCGGTTCTGGCATGCCTGGCCTGCGAGACGGTTAGCAAGCGTCTCTGTCACGTTTGGGGGGCGTCGTGTGTGAATCGTCATAGTGACGACTCGAGATTCACGAACCCCCATGTCCGCGACATCACCCCGCGGTTCGGCAGCAACAACGTCGACTTACACGCTCGAATCTTTCTCGAAATCTTCGGCTGATGCTCGGCAGCGTCCTGGGACGGACTGGACTGCGAGCCGTCGGGCCTCGCGCGCTTCATGGCGTCCGATCAGATAAGACAACGGGAGCGAAGGCCGCCCTGGGGAAATGGGGCCTGCCCGCAGCAGTGGCAGGTGTCACTGGGTCAGTGCGTGCAGAGGAGAAGAAGCTGGGGGCGGGGCGGGACAAAAGCCGGTTCTTGAGCTGCCCGGCCAGCCACGGCACGTGCCCCAGACGGCGCGCGGGTTTCTCCCCGCCGGCGCCTGCGCTGCAGCGTCCCGCGCTTCCCCACGCCGCCGCTCCACCACGGCCACGCATAATATCCGCCGTGGCCCGGCATGGCTTCAGCGAGCCGCTGCCCGACGCCATTTAAGATTATAGCATGTCTGCCGCCGGCTCCTTTCGTGCATCGTCGGCTCCTGTCGCGAAGCAATCCTCCTAGGCAGCCACGGTTCGACGGTGACCATCACGATGCCCGCCACGGTTGGCTTCCTTGGCCTGCCTCCCCCCAGCTGGGAGCTGGCGCGGCGGCTGCTTGAGGGCCCGCGCCGGCGGGAGTATCTCGTCAAGGCGTTTGATGGGTACGAATGCCATGCGTCGGACGGCAATGCATTGACAGCCGGTGGGGGCCGAGAGGAGCCCTCGCCGCAGGACGCTCTCGCGGGCAGCAGCTTTCTCGTCTGCGCCGGCGACTGCTCGCGAGATGTTGAACGAGACGTCTTCTCAGATAGTGCTCTTTCGGGTACGGTGGCCCTGACGCCCCTAAATCCTCCCGACGTTTTGCTAAATGCACAGCCCTTGCGCCGCGTGCCGTCGTCGCCATCATGGGAGGAACGGCCCTGCGGAGCTTCTTTGACCGGCTCAGTCGGTGCTTGGCCCTGGCCGGCCGATCGGACGTGGCCGTCGTAGAGTGCCACGCCGTCGAGGAGAGTGGGAGCTTGACGCTGCTCACAGCGGGCACGGATGAAGCCTTGCAACGGGCAAAGGACGTGCTGCGAGATGGCTCCGACAAGCTGCTGGCGTTCCCGGGCAATCCTGGCAATGCCTCCAAGGCGTACACAGTCTACCGTCTGCTGCTCGGCTCTCACATCGCCGCCGCGGCCGAAGCCATTGGCCTTGCAGCCCGAGCCGGCCTCAACACGCAGCAAGTGTACGACATCATCACAAACGCCGCCGGCAGCTCACGCGCCTTTGAGAGCCGCGTGCCGAGCATGCTCGAAGGCGACTGGTCGGTAAAGTCGTCATCCCTCGACGCGTGCGTCCGGCACATGGCGCCCGTCGTGTCAGCCGCCCGCGCCGCCAACTTTTCGCTGCCGCTCGGCGGCGCCGCGGAGCAACTCTTCATCTCGGGCTGCTCTCGGGGGTACGGCGCCGACGACGACTCCGGCCTGGTGCGGCTGTACCTGCCGACGACGCCGGACCTGGTCAGGGACTGCGCAAAGTCGGTGAACCTCAAGGAGGCGCTCACCCCGGGCGGAAGCCCGCTGGACATTTCCAAGATTGGCGTCATCGGGCTCGGGGCCATGGGCCAGGGCATGGCCACCTCTCTCGCTCGGGCGGGATTTCCCGTCCACGGATACGACGTGTTTCTGCAGGCCGTGGACCGGTTCGCTGCCAGTGGGCCCAACGCGAAAGCCGCAGGGTCACCCTCCGAGGCGATGCGAGACGCCGACGTGGTGATTCTCATGGTTCAAAACGCCTCACAGGTCGACGAGGTCCTCTTTGGCCCTGACAATAACGCAGATGCTCTCTCTGACGGCGCTGTCGTCATCCTCAGCTCGACAGTGCCGCCTTCGTTCACGCGGGAGCTCGATGCAAAACTGAAAGCACTCGCCCGAGGTATCTGGCTGGTCGATGCCCCGGTCAGCGGCGGCGTCGCCCGGGCGGCCAATGGCACTCTGACCGTGAGTCTCGCCGACGCCTTCACGCAGCATGCGCTAACGTAACAGATCATCTGCTCCGGAGAGGAACTCGTCCTCGCCAAGGTCAACAGCGTGTTGCTCGCCATGACGGGCAAGGCAAGCAACCTCTGCCACGTCGAAGGTGGCGTCGGCGCGGCCTCTTCGGTCAAGCTCGTCAACCAGCTGTTGGCAGGAGTTCACATTGCCGCTGCCGCTGAAGCCATGGCCTTTGCTGCCAGGCTGGGCCTCGACACGCGCGCCATGTTTGACCTTGTCAAGTCGTCTGGGGCGTGGAGCTGGATGTTTGAGAATCGCGTCCCCCAGATGCTCGAGGCGGACTGGACGCCTCACTCGGCGCTCGCCATCTTTGTCAAAGATCTGGGTATCGTCCTGGACGAGGCGAAGCGGCTTCAGTACTATGCGCCAATCGCATCGGCCGCACACAACTTGTATCTTTCGGGGGCGTCGCGTGGGTGGACAAAAGAGTCCGACGCTGGTGTCGTGCGCCTATGGGAGCTTCCAGGGAGCAGCGTCGCCGAGATGGCGGGCGCCAAGGGTGCGACCGCAGAATGGCAGGCCAGTGACGACGGAAGGCCACCCGAGTGTCTCCCCGCAGCGACATTGGAGTCCTTGCCTCCAGTGTATGAGCAAGACGTCATCGGATCGGTTAGACGAGTTGTTGAGAGCGGCGACGTCCCGATGCTGGTCGTCCTCGATGACGACCCGACCGGCACCCAGACCTGCCACGACATTGACGTCCTCACCGTCTGGGACCCCGAGATCCTCGACCAGGAATTCAGCTTGAACCCCAGCGGGTTCTTTATCCTGACCAATTCGCGGGCGTTGCCATCCGCCGAGGCGCGAAGCCTCATTGTCGACATTTGCAACAACGTGTCGGCGGCGGCCAAAAAGGCCAATAGAAAAGTCGAAATTGTTCTCCGCGGGGACTCGACGCTCCGCGGTCACCTGCCCGAAGAACCAGAGGCCGCTGAGGAAGCGTTGGGGCTGTTTGATGGCTGGGTCGTGACCCCGTTCTTCTCGCAAGGCGGGCGCCTCACCATCGACGACGTCCACTATGTCAAGGAGGGCGACAAGCTGGTGCCGGTTAGCCAGACGCCGTTTGCCCAGGATGCGACATTTGGATATAAAAACGCCAACCTCCGGCAGTACGTCCTGGAAAAGTGCGGCTCGCGCTTTAGCGAGTCTTCGTTCCTGTCGGTGACTCTCGACGACGTTCGCCGAGGTGGTCCGGCGGCCGTGACAGAGAAGCTCCTGTCGGTGCCCGCCGATCCGAATCGAGTCGTCATTGTCAATGCCGTCGTCGACCAAGACATGCACGTCTTTGTTGCTGGACTGTTGGAGGCCGAGAGGAGCGGGAGGCGCTACCTCTTCCGGACCGGCGCGGCGTTTGTTTCGTCGCGGCTGGGCATCACCGGCATCCCTCCGCTGACCATGGCGGACCTTGGCGTGACAGCGAGGCCGGATGCTTGCGGCGGGCTTATCGTCGCCGGCTCCTACGTTCCCAAGACGACGGCCCAGCTGCAGGCGCTAAAGAGCCATCGAGGAGACAAGCTGGCAACAATCGAGCTGGACGTGGAAAGCCTCATTGGCGCCGTGGAGGAGGCGGACTCGGTCATTGAGACGGCCGCGAATGACGCGTCTCGCAGCATTGCTGCGGGGAAAGACACTCTCGTCATGACGTCGCGGAAGCTCATCAAGGGCCATGACGGCGACAGCTCGCTCAACATCGGATCCAAGGTAGCATGGGCCCTCGTTCGGCTGGTAGAGAAGATCAACGTGCGTCCCCGGTATATAATTGCCAAGGGCGGCATCACGTCGTCTGACGCCGCGACCAAGGCGTTGCGGATGCGGCGTGCCCGGGTCCTCGGCCAGGCAGCCCCGGGAGTTCCCCTTTGGAGGTGCGACGAGGAGACGAGCCGGCACCCGGGTATGCCGTATGTGGTCTTTCCGGGCAACGTGGGCAGCGACACGACGCTTGCGGAGGTGGTGGAGGCCTGGGCCATCTGAGGTGCCAATGAGCACTCAAGACGACGATCACGACATTGCATGTACATCTAGAGCTGCATACAAATCTACCCCTTGCACTTCATACACGCGTCTAGATAACTTGTAGTGTGTCTCGAAATCTACCCCTGACATTGAAGGTCCCATGCCCCGTGCTCCGCGTCACGCAGCATGCACACCAGATTGTCCACGACCGCAAATGCATTGGCATTGCAAACCGACGTATCCTTTTCTCTACTCCAGACGTCTCTGCACGACTGCAGTGCCTCCAGGACGATCTCCTGCGGCTGGCCCTCGCAGCTGCAGGACGGAAGCAGGCCCAGCCCCGTGCCGTTGCCCATGCGCACCAGCTGCGAGCAGACCGTCATGGCCGCGGTGAAGAACTCATGCTTGAGCAGGCCCGCGAACCAGGCGTTTTGCCGGCCCCGGCTGACGTCCTCGCAGAGCGTGCGCTGATGCGACAGCGTGGCCAAGGCGCTCTCGAGCGACGACACGCACGAGATGGGGTAGTCTACCGCCGCGGCGGCGGACAAGGCGAAGCGCGAGTGCAGCGCCATGAGGACGAGGCGGAAGAAGAGGTGCACCGTGCAGGCTTCGAGGTTCACCGGTCCCGGGCACTCCTCCGTGCCGAGGTTCTCTGTCGGGAGGCCCATGCCCGAGCACTTGAGCTGCTGGCGCAGCGCGGCGTCGAGCTCCGTGACTTCGGTGTACGTGACGGTGCTGTCTGCCGCTGTGGCCATATCGAGGGCTTGCAGGAGCAGGTCGCCGGACGATGCCAGGGTGCTTTCCAGCCAGGACTCGGATGTGCTTTCCAGCGTCTGGGGACTGTTGTCCGGGTCGGAGCGGGAGCTGCGCCTGCTGGTCGTGCGGAAACATGCGAGGTCCTGTGGCCGCAGCAAGACGGGCATCCCACAGACGAGCGACTGTCTCATGTCCAGGAACACGACCGCGGCCCATAGCTTCCTCCTGGCCGGGGCATCACGCCGTGCGCCAGTCCGATCTGCATCCGTCGGCACATGCAGTCCGATGCGGATGCTCAGCCGTTTAATCAGCCCGGTCAGGGGCCAGCACGTGTCCGACTCGTGGCACGACATGGCGTAAATCTGCTTCGAGATGACCACGAGGCACAGCGTCCGGATATTGGCGAGGGTAGACTTGAGCATGTACGGCGTCCTCTTGAGGCATAGCTCGGCGCCGTGCATGAACCGCGTCGGCATGTTCGGGTACGCCTCTCCCTCGCTGGTGGCCTGGGCGACAAAGTTGTGCGCCTGGCACCCGAGCGACAGGATCATGAGGTGCTGCGCCAGCCAGTCTGCCGGCATGCTGCCGTCGTCGAGCCAGAAGCGCTGCAGCTCCTCTTCCCACGCCGGCTCGTCGAGTAGGTGGTACGCCTGTTCGATGGTGGCGACGTACTGCGCGATGAAGATTTCCTGGAGCGCCCTGGGCGGGAGTTGCGTGACGATGCGACGAATCGTGTCGGCGGAGCTGGCGTCGTTGCTGAAGGGGTAGTTGATGGACATGGTGAGCGGCTGCGGGAGGGGCTCGCGGTGAATGTGAAAGTCGGTCCCAGCACCGTGATCCTTCGGCAGGTATTCTTTGAGCTGAGACGTGTTAAATACTGTCGACTAAGGTAAACGGTATAGCTCACCTCTTGCAGCAAGTTGTTCCAGTGCGTGCCGTTGCGGTTCTGCACGTCCCAAGTTGCGTCGACGAACCGCGTGGCGATGGTGTTGAGCGCGGCGTCGCCGTCCCACACCACGGGTCTCGGCGCAGTGTGCACCGGCTCCGTGTAGACGCACTGTGCCTCTCGTCGCGCCTTGATGCAGCGCCCGCAGGGCACCTTTCTGTCGCACCGAACCTTGTGTTTGCGGCAGCGGACGCAGGAGAGGATGGCCCTGTCTCGCTTCAGCTTGATCGGACAAACCTGTGGGCTGTTTTCCCTCGAGCGATGGTCGTTTGAGACTGAGCAGTGGTGGACGTCTTCTGCAGCTGACATGCCGTTGAGCTCATCAGTTGGGGTAGTGCGGCTCACGATATTGTGCGACCCCGGGGGCGACGACTCGGCTCCCCGCGAGGACGTCGCCTTGTCGCATCGTTGCTCAGTTTGTCTCTCGCAGACAAGATGCCTTGCAGTCCGCTTTGACGGAACCTTGTACTCGCACAGAGTGCCGGCTCGGGTGCATCGCGAGCAGCTCGGACGGACGCGGTCGCAGCCGGTCTTGCCAGCGCGGCACCGCTCACATGCCGAGACGGGGCGTCCATGGGCAACCAAAGGCTTTGGCATGGCCGAGTGTCCTGTCAGGCGTCCCGTCGGGTATCAGATCATGTACTTCTGGCCGTGGTGATCGAAGCGACTGAGGTTGTCTGTTGTCCGGTGGCGGCGGGCGGTTAAATCCGACCCCGAGCCCGATGATCAGATAACTGTGCTGTCGTCCTACATTGGCCGGCAGACAAGGGGGTGACGATTAATCTTATCAGATCATATTGACAGCCACCAGCATGCAGAATGCAAGGGAAGAGTGTGGCCACCAGGGTGAGCATCGAGGTGTCGGAAAAGGCGCCCGATGGTCGCCCGATGAAATGTGGGGCTAAACTCCGATCCCGCAACCGGCCCGGGGCCAGATCCGGACCCTGCTGCGCGTCAAGGGGGGACCCGAAATACGTCGACGAAATTCATTGCCAGATCGGGCGTTCCAGAGTTAGAATCAGCTCGGAGTTGGCTCAACAAGGTCCGCCAGATGTAACCTGAAGCATGGAGTCTTCCGACTGGACGCTCGGCCGAGAGCAGTTGAGGACTTGAACAATGTTGAGCCGTGCAATATAAAGGGAGAGCTCTGCGTCGAAAGGATACATGCAAAATTGTAGTGCATCTTCTATCCTCCGTGCTACGTACACTACACTCCAATACGCCTCTGGCCGTCGAATCGAGCTTGATCATGAGCAAAGACAGCACGACAACGCTGGCCGACCAGGTCCCGGCCCGTGATCTGGTTGCTGCCCGCTACCACGAGGCAGTGAAAGAGCGCCAGTCAAATCCGGATCAGATCTTCTATGACGCTGAGGACTTGACCGAGCTCGATCCAAGTAAGCAGCACCGAGTGACTTGCGACTGTCCACGCGTATGGCAGAAGTTCTAATATCAACGCGATTCCTCGGTGCAGATCTCGTCGCTCTCTCCAGCGCGACCCAGGAGAACCCAAGGGTACGCTCTGCATATCTAATGACCTTGATGGGGCACTGAAAGTTTGTCTACAGGCCTGGTCAGTGCGACGGAAGTGGGTAGTCACGCTGCTGACCGGAACCTACTGCTTCCTCGCCCCATTTGCGAGTACGATTCCACGAGAGGGTCGACGAAGCGCGCTCACAGTTCACAGGTACAATCTTTGCGCCATCGCTTCCGTCAATGATGGCAGACGTTGGGGAGACAGATCCAGTTAAAGGTGCACTTCAAATCGCCATCTTTCTCCTTTCGTTTGCGCTCGCCCCAATCTTCCTAGCCCCCCTGAGCGAGATACACGGCCGGCGCCCTATACTCCGATATGGAAACTTGTTCTTCGCCGCGTTCAGTCTGGGGAGCGGCTTCAGTCAGACGGTTAGATCTAAGAGCTGACATTGCATGGTGAGCGCTAACATCATCAGAAAGACTGCTCAGCTATCCGCCTGCCGCTTCCTAGCAGGAGTCGGTGGGTCGGCGTCCATGGCTGTATTTGGCGGGGTGTTGTCGGACGTCTGGCCTGTCAAGGACAGGGCTCGAGCATCAGCTATACTAGGCACCACTCTGTAAGCCGATCACGGGGCTTTTGTCATCCGGATACTGACGAGGCTAGAATGCTGGGTCCCGTTCTTGGGCCGGCCTGTGGCGGTTGGATGTCTGAGCGCGCGTCGTGGCGATGGACATGCTGGGTGCCGGTAAGCAGTCAATTCCCGCCTCCAGTTCTCGGTCTAACCGGCATGACCAACAAGGCAATGGCAGCTGTAGGATTGGAGCTGGTTTCGACGTTTGCTTTTTACGAATCATATATTCCGTCGATACTCACAGCCAAGGTGAAGCGCCTGCGCAAGGAGCAGTCCAACCCTGATCTATACACGGTGATGGACATTGATGCCGCAGGTGGGGGAAAATCAGGCACTCTCGCAGTGATTGAATCTGCCAGCCGTCCAGGTCTGCCTCTGTGGTCCCTTGGTCATGTCCTCTCTACTGACTCCGCCGCCAGTCATGTATCTCGTCCTCGACCCGGCGCTGGCCTTGTTATCGCTGTACTACGCCGTTGTCTTTGGGATATTGTACCTGATTGTTGTCACCGTGAGCAGGCTGTCCCTCTGATCGCAATACAAGCACTGACAATATAAGTTCCAATTCGTCTTTGGTCAGGGGTACGGCCACTCGCCTGGCGTCGTCGGGATGGATTTAATCACCGAAGGTGTTGGCGCGTTCATAGGCATGTTCACCACCGCCAAGTTGCTGGACATTGTTTACCGGAGGCAGATCCAGAAGAAGGAGTATAAATCAGAGACCAGGTACTGGGCTGCCCTGGATCTAACTCATCTGCGAAGATGGCTTTGGCAGGACCCCGGCTAATGATGGTGGCAGATTGATCAGCGCATTCCCGGGAGCCATTTTCGTGTCGACCGGCTTGTTCATCTACGGATTCACGGCGCTTCGGACGCATTTCGTTCTGGTAAGTTTCTGCTGGCCAATAGCTACTCAAGTCCTGACTCGTATCGACGAAGCCCCTGATTGGGATGCTCATCTTCAGCTTCGGCATGACCAACACATATGTAGGCGCTCCACATGCTGCGTCGACTGAGCAGCAGGTGTTGACGAGTTTAGTTGGCGATTCAGCTGTACATAATTGATAGCTTCGACTACCCCGCATCAGCCATTGCCGGACGTGAGTGCGCCGTACACTGCGAAACTGAACTTGATCGCTGACGACTTGCAGTCTCGGTCCTCCGTTGTCTCTTTGCCGCAGGTAACCAAGCCCGCTCGATTCAAATAAATCTTATTATCTCACAAGAGTAGTTTTCCCACTATTTGGCCCGCGACTCATTGATTCACTTGGCGTTGATTGGGGCATGGCGCTATTGGGATTCATATCCCTAGGCCTGGGTCTCCCATTTCTGCCACTGGTTCGTGCCCTGTCGCGACTGGCGTTCGATGCGAAGTGTGCTGAGAGTTTGCAGATTTACCACTATGGCCCGCGCCTGCGAGCGGTTGGGAAGAGGAACCGCACCCGACTGTTTGGGTAGGAAGATCGACGGGTTGAGAACCCCGGCTTCGCAAGAGGCTATGTGTGCTAATGGGCCAGAGGGGAAGTCCACTCTCACGGCGATGCCGGCCGAAAAGTGCTCGGTCCGTTTCGCAGGGCCGTGTGATGACGTCGCGAGGCTACCCTTACCGTCACGGACCTCGCGGCTTGTGGCTTCCATATCGTCCGAAGGCAGATCTTGCAGATAGAGAATGAATGGCATCTGCCGGGATCAACTAGCCTTATGCGACATGCCACGCCATCCTGTATAGAACATGAAGCCGTGCTTGTGTCTGGCACTCGGTTCATGTTGCAACTCGACGCAGCAGCCCATCGCGCTCTAAGATGCGTTATCCGTGTAAGCCGGCTTGAGGCTGTGAGAAAATCATTGATGGCTAGTTAAATCCTGCTGCTCTTGGTACTCAAGCTGTTTCTGGCTCGCGATTTAACACGCAATCCCAAGTCCACATGTATTGTGCTTCAGTCTGCAGGGCCAGAACTCTCCTCAGCTGCGATACTAGACTCCGAAACTTGCAGCCACCAACGCTCTCCTGGTGCACGCCACCGTCAGGGCCCCCTTAGAGACCGTGCTTTCGCAGCTACAAGTGTCGCCGAGTTTAGTTGATTGGAAAGGGCCGGATGCTCGCACGATCGCTCCGTGTACATTGCGACCGGACCGGGGTGGCAGCACGGCCGGCTTTCATCGCCTCGCGAATCTCGACTGTGCAGCTGCCCCGCATCTGAGAGAACGACCGTGGAACAGCCACAGAAAAAGCGCGTGCCATGTGAGGCGAGGATGTAAGCCCCAAACAGTGGATCACGATGCCATCGCAGGAGTAACAGGCAGACAAACTGAATCTGATGCTTGCCTTTGAAAGAGGTCGGCGGCGGCTTTGGCACATGGCAGTAGTCTCAGGAGTTGAATCAAGTCGGCTTTAGCGACCGGCCGTCCGTCTCGCAACACGAGGCGCTGACTGGCTGGCGCCTGATGAGGTCTTCTGATGAACGCCCGGGCGTGACCCCGCGATAGGCTGCCAACGGCCACCCCATTTCGAACGCTCGCTCGATGCAACCCACCCCCTGCACGGGCGCCGGCCCAACCAAGAGCAGCCAACCCGCCGAAATCCAATCTCATGCAGGTTCCTGCATTGCGCCCCCAGACTCAAAGGATCCTCGGGATGGACCAGACTGACCAAAGACATCAGCTGCCCCAACGGCGCAGGCGCGGCATTCGGTTTAGAAGCCTTCCATGGCCCTTCCTTTGGCCGTGCACCGGGTCTTAGTCTGAATAAGGCAGTTCAGGGGCTTGACAATGTGTTGAGAGCGTAGTCATTCGCACGAGCCACGCCAGGCTTTGTCTACGGACCGGACTGCATGTATTAAATGCTAGACGAACCCATCCAGGGGTCTCTGGCAAGGACACCCGTGTCGTCAACCAACCTCATGCCGTGCATACCAAACCGGGATCCATACCCTCGGCAGTGTACTCTATAAGTGACAATGAGGCACAGCCAACAGCTGGCCATCCTCGTCTGGGTGGCCGCATTCACGGCGATACACGCGCTGGTCGCGCCGTCTCGCCAATCCATCGGCCGGTATACCGAAACCGTCGACGGCAATGTCGCCGACACGGGCTGTAAGAAGAGCGATAGGACTTACAGCAGCGAGAGTCCCAAAGCGGGCAGCTTCATGCCATGGAAGCTGCTTGAGCCCCAGAATGCGTGGAGCAGCGGCAAGCAGTACATTACCATTGTTAACCTGACGCCCCATCGCTTCAAGCTCGACTCTACCCACTCGTATCAAATGGACGAGTTCAACTTTGGCGACGTCCCGCAGGGCCAAGCGCGCCAAAACATAGCACACTACACTGAGCGAAAGGGCGCCAACGCCAAGGACGACAACGGCGAGGCGTACTACAGCATCGAGGGCACCAACAAGAAGTTCGTCATCCGAGCGACAACTCACATTCCGGACGCGCACTCGCGGCGGACCATTATTGACCTGAGCGGCATGGGCATGGGCCAGCGCGAGTACCTCGACCCAGCCCAGGAGTCGCCCGTCACGCTCGTCATCACCGGCAGCAACGACTACGGCTTCATCACCTCGATCCGGTACGGCGCGGGCAACTGGATGAGAGGCATCTACGACGTCATCAAAGACCGCCAGATTCAGCACATTGTCATGCCGGGCACGCACGACTCTGGGATGAGCACTATTAGCGGCAAAATTGTGTCCCTCGGCATCGCGGCCAACACGCAGACGCAGGGCATCAACATCTACAACCAGTTGTGGGCGGGCGCGAGATGGTTCGACCTGCGCGTCGCCTCCGTCCACGACAACGCCAACACCGGCGACTACGGCTTCTGGGTCCTCCACGTAAACGACGAGCGGGCCGACATTGCCATTGGCAACTCGGGCGAGTCGCTGGACGACGTCGTCAACGAAATCAACAAATTTACGGCTCAGAACCCCGGAGAGGTCGTCTTCTTTCGCATCAGGTATTTGATTGGTATCCGCAAGATTCCTAGCCGGGGCCCCATCAACTGGAACAAGGACATTGTCAATGCCTTTTTTGGCAAGCTTAAGGGCGTCAACAACCGCTGCCCGAACTTGGACCCGAACGTCAAGTTCAACAAGCAGACTGCGTCGTACTTTATGGACCAGAACGGCGGCAAGGGCTGTGTTGTCTTTATGCTCACGGGTGATCTGCCGAACGATGTGCCTCAGGACTCTGTCGGCGACGGCATTTACAAGGGCAACAGGATGGATGTCTGGGATAACTGGTCGAACCTCGCAGAGACGGAGCCCATGGCAAAGGACCAGGTCGCCAAGTGGAAGACGGTCGGGCGGAGCGGCAACTTCAACAACGACCAATTTCTCATCTCGCAGTGGATCGTCAGCGCCGACGCCGTCAAGACGACCTTTTTCGGCATCCAAAACATTGCCATTATGCCGACGAACCCTGCGCTGTACTGGATGGGCGTCAACAACATGTCACCAGAGACCTGGCCCAACGTCCTCCTGGTTGACTACCACGGCGTGGTCGTCACGGACCAGTCGAGCTGGAATGAGCTGAGCGCCGAGCTGTACACCTTGGCCATTGGCATGAACCTGTACATGATAAGCGAAAACTGCGACATCAGCACCCGGCGGTCTCCGCTGCTGCCCAAGGCCAACGGCCGCGTCAAGACGTTGCAGGCGAGCGAGATTTCGGAGCCCTGGAACGGAATCATCTACGCCAACGGGACGGTCCAGAATAGCCCGCCAGAGAGTCTGCATCCCGGACGAGTCGAGGTGTTCAAGAGCGGCACCAAATTCTCCAACGGAACCATTTTGACCGAAGACGTCATGAACCCTCTCTATCACTCTACTGTGGTCTAGCGATGAGCGGGTGTCCAGATATAGAGAATTGACAAGGCATATTCGCATCGAGTGGCATTGGTATAGCATTGCACAAGCGTAGTCTTTCAGGAGTAGGCGAATCACAAGTGTTAATATTGAGAACTAATCTTCACCTTGACCACATGCGCGCTGGTTGTAACTGCGATTGCGACTCTGTACTGTGTGTGCTGTTGCGTAACTGGACGCGCAGCTGTGATGCAACCTCCCGTGCGACACGAGACACTCCTCTTTCGGGCACGTCAGGCATTCGAACAATCTCCATGAGCTGAATACAGCTTCAAAACCACGGCATCGAAACCACGGCATCGATGATCCTTGCCAGTCGCTGCTGAATCGGGACTCTGCAAGAAAGTGACAAGTGCCGAAGGTCCTGCTCACTGGCAACGCACATGCAGCACGCTATACGCGGTGTGGATAACCTGGGCACGCTCATGGAAACGACGCCTCTCCTGGCTGACAGCCATCGACACTCGACAAAAAGCCCTCAATGCTTGTCTCGAGCTGCGGACTCACCGCCGCCGGCTAAAGACAAGACTGTATACTGTCGACGCAGATCGCCACAAGTCGTCATTCTCCTCTTGTCCTTCAACATCTTTTGCGTCACGGCGGTCGAGTCGCTCATCGCCGCGCCCATCACTAGATTGCTCGAGGACATACTTTGCCGCCGGTACTATGCGCTCTCACCCAGCACCTCGGCAGAGGGCCCGGTTGAGCAGACCTGCAAGGTTGTACAGATTCAATCTCAGCTCGCATGGCTGACTGCCATGCTCAAGGGGCTGGACGCCGTCGTGGGTATGTGCATGCCTCTTTGGTCTGGCGCCACAGACAGGTGACGGGGTCGGTATCAGGCATCATCGCTGCGTTACCGTACGGCGTGCTAGCCGACCGGTGAGTGCATCCTTGGACGCGAGACGAGAGACATGGACAGCCGTCAGAGTAACAGCTGATTAGAGTGCAGGATTGGTCGCCGGCCCGTCTATGGCCTTTCGTATCTGGGCACCATGCTGGGCCTGGCTTGGAAGGTCGCCGTGCTTCGCTTCTTCCCGCTGCATGTATACGCGATCCTGCTGTCTCCGGCGTTCCAGGTTATCGGCGGGGGTCCGGGCGTCTCGATCACGATGGAGTACTTGATGGCTGTTGATGTTTTGACCGCCGAGAGCAGGCATGTTTTCGAGCCGCTGCACCTATCCCCAGACCGTTGCGAGTTCCCGTCAGCTAACGATCTGGGTGGTGGTGCCTCAGAGTCGCCGCTTTTCTGCGCATGGGTGTCTCGAGCTACGTTGGCCATCTTGTCGCCTCCTTCGTCTCGGCGCGACTCATGCAGTCATTCTCGCCGTGGCCGCCGATACTCGTCGCCCTCGTCCTCTTTCCGCTGGGAGTATCGGTCGCGTGCCTCTTCCTCCCCGAGACGCTCAAAACGCAAGACGCCAAATCGCGGAAGCAGAGTAGTCCTAACAGCTCAATCAATGCAGGCAGCGAGAGAGTGAACCAACCCACCTCTGCGTTTGGCTTCAGGGACTGCCTCGCTCGCCTCGGCCAGGCACTGAGCATTGTCAAGAAGCCGTCTGCGCTTCTCCTGCTGTTGAGCTTCATCTCGAAATCACCTTCGGCCTATGGCTTCGGGGCTTTCATGGTGCAATACATAAGTGAGCGTTTTGGCTGGTCACATGCCCAGGCGGCGTACTTGGACTCGTTGCACGGGGCTGTCGACCTGGTCGTGTCCCTGGTCGTGCTCCCTTGTCTCTCTATGCTCCTCACGTCACCGACTCTTCCCCTGCGTCTTTCGCCAGTACAAAAGGACCTTTTGCTTGCCCGGTTCTCGATGTGTTGTTGGGCGTGCGGGTTCTTTCTCGTGGCTGGGCCGACCGTGCGATGGGCCGTGGCCGGGCAAGTCATCATCACGCTTGGTGACGGGTTTGTTTCGTTCTGCCGGTCCACCATCATAACGTTTATCGATCCCCAACAGGCGTCGACTTTGTACACGCTCGTCAACATCGTGGAGACGGTCGGCGCATGTGCAGCAGGGCCTGCACTGGCCTGGCTCTTTTCGACGGGAATGAAGCTGGGCAATGATTGGGACGCGCTACCATATCTCGGGTTGGCTGGTTTGTGCGCCTTTATCGCCGTAATGATGGCGTTTGTGAGATTGCCATCGGAGTCTGAGGAAGGGGAGTCAACTGAGGGGTAATTAGCAGTGGAGTGCTAGATCCTATTCGCATGGTGTTGCTCCAACCTCATCCCACCAACATAGTATAGTTGTTGCCGGACTTTGCGCGCATTGTCGTTGAAACTCCCTGTCTGGCCATTGATGATTATTTTTCATGGAGTGCTTGTTTGTCCCCGCCACCGTGTTGGCTCATTAGATCAGCCAATGTCGCAGTCCCTATCCCAAATCGGCCTGGTTGTTGATAGAGGGAGGCCTGGGCATGAACTGTTTGGAAGCTTTGCGCCGCATGCGTACATTTCATCAATACCATGTAACGTAACCCAAATACAGCACTGAGCCTCGAATTGCCTCTACGAAGTAGGTAGCGCTACATGCTGGCACCGGCCGCTCAGGACGCGGGGCCATGCATCTCAAGTTGCACCCGGGACTAGCGCTACCTGCAGTCAGCACCAAGTTGCATGCCTCCGAGGGCGGCCTGTTTGGGGCTTGGTACAGCTCGCATAGGCCTGTCAATGGACAATCCGGTGTCGCAATTGCATGTACACGCTCAACCTTCTCCGTGCACTTGGAAAGATCTACAGAAGCCACCCGCAACTGCAATTCGACGAGGCGACAGTGCCGCTCGGAGTCTGGTCTCAGGTTCAATGTAAACTGCAAGACAGCGTAACGGACGAGGAAATCGAGGACGGTCAGGGCCTTTGCTAAATACCAGACCTGTTTGTGTCCAGTTATGCCGCGCTGTCTTGGCATTGTCGAGTACGGTCGGTTTCGTGCAGATTGACGTTAGTTGCTCCATGTCTCGAGGTGCCAGGCATTTGCCGCAACTCCCGTAACGACTAATCACAGCGGTGTCTTGCAACAGTCATATCCGGACAACGCAAATCAGATCGCAGCTTAACAATAATGCACCATATAGGCAATTCGATTCACATAGCAAAGGCAAGTGTCATGATCGGATATAATCGCGGCGAAGAAGGCGTTTCCTGGAATCGCTTCTCGTGCGTCGCCGAACTGATTCCACCACCCTAGACTCCGTTAACGGGTTAAACTGAAGAGCCATTGCTCAGACGTACCCCAGCCGTGGCATTCAATTCTTTTCACATCGGCCACTTGACGAACCCGTTCCCCGCACGCCCATAATGCCTCATCCAGTCGCAACACGACAGAGCCAATCACACACTTGGTCGGCAAGTCGAAGGATTTCGAGGTGGTCGCCAGATGCTGACGGCAGTGCTGCGGGGGACCATGTACTGGTACATAGCGAGCAATTAGGGTGAAGACATCCCGCCACCTGGGCCGGCACGTTGCATCTGGCGACTTACACCAAGCAGATGCACCAGTCTCGACATAGTCGCTGGGGCCTGAGGCGTCCTTACTGCCCTTCTCTCCCGCTTTGTTCGGTCCGCTCGATGGAGACGTCTCTATAATCCCAGAGTCAACTACAGCAAGTTCTTGCGGCTCCTAGTAGCTGGCCGACCTCGCAGGCAACATGTTTCAGGCGACGAAGCTGGAGGCCGAGTACAAACCGCTGGCCGAAGGGGACGGCGACTCAGACACAATCGACGATGGCCAGGTGCAACGGCATAACAGAACGGATGCAGGTGCACGACGTACAAGATCCTCACGGCTGTTCCATGTTGGAGTCATAGGCCTCGAACTCGTCCTCTGCGTCCTTCTGACTGCCGGCTTCATCGTGCTGGATCAGTCACGGCGGTCGCTGGGGTCCAAGGTCTCGCTCGACGGCCTCTCGGATCTGTGGTCATACAACACGACGATGCGATTCGAAAACAACTCCCATTTACTGGCGGATACACACCACGCAGACCGATACTGGAGTGACTTGCTCGAGAGCGCCGGCGTCGTCTCGCTCAACACTGAGTGGGCACACCACCAGGGGCTGACGCCATCTGCGCAGTCGCCCACGGATCCCACACAGAGCATTTACCAGGTCGACGTCTTTCACGCCCTGCACTGCCTGGTAAGTTGAGGGAACCGCTGCTATAGATGGCCGCGACGTGGCCGCTCACGTTGCTCGCAGAACTCGATCCGTCAAAACCTCATGTCCAAGACGCCGCCCGCCTGGGACGAAAAGCACGTGCTGCACTGCCTCGACTACGTGCGGCACCAGCTGCTCTGCCACCCGGATCTCACGCTCGTCTCGACAAACGACCTGGACGAGTTTGTGCTGGACGAGACGCACACCTGCCGCGACTACGGGGCCATGCTGGAATGGATTCACCGGCATCGCTGGGTCGAGTTCCCAGAGTGGCTCAAGGCCAAGGGGCACAAGGAGACGCACGACCACTGAAACAGGGAAGCTACAACAATTACGCACGCACGGCGACGTTCAGGAGACCACGCTCAATAGCCGGCATTCATAGACATTGGCCCGGATTGACGACACCGGCGCTCTTAGATCTACATGTACGATGTCTGACGGTGCGATCCGATGTTGCCAAGCGCCTTGCAGGAAGGTTGACGAACTTCGCCCAGACAGTCCCATTGCTTGATGACGACCTGGTCACATGCAACGTCAGGCCCGGGCTCGACATATACGTGCGAGGCCGTTAAAAGGGGTGGGTTTTCGCGTCGGCAGCGGCAGCACTCGGTGAGAATGCTCAATTCATCCCGGTAGCTTGCGTCGTGTATATATACACCCCTGCGAGTAGTGATCTTTATCTATACAAAGGGTAGCGAGGTCTGGTCGCCTTGTTCCCGCTGACGTGTCTAGCCTATCCAAACCCTCTAGTAACCGGTCCTGTCTATAGCTCAATGTTCAGAACTTCGTAACTTGGTCCTTGCGATACCCAAGTTCTTCAAGCACGCCCTTTGTCGAGCGGTCGCCCACCAAGCTCTTCTCCATCGGCGGCGGCCCGCACACGAACACCTTGGTGTCGTTGCCACCCACGCCCGGCACGGCCTCACGCAACAGCTGCTCGTTCACGTATCCCTTTCTATACTTGGACCCCTCCACTGGCCGGCTCACCGTGTAGACTGCCTTGAATCGCCCGGGAAATCTCTTCTCCCAGTTCGTAAGCTCCTCGCGCAACAGCACGTCCGCGTCGCTGTTGGCGCCGTACACCAGCGTGACTGCGGTGCGGTCATCGGGGTTCCGCAGTATGCCCTGCGCGAGCTGGTAACACGGCGTGATGCCTGCGCCGCCGGCGATGAGCACGACGTGCGGGACCTGGTTGGGCGTCCATTGAGGGCCCTTGAGCGCGGCGAGGAAACGGAGGGACTGGCCGGGTTCGAGAGAGTGAAGGTGCGTGCTCGACTTGCCGTCCGGATAGCGCTTTACCAAAAGGTCGATGTGTCCAGGCTCATCTACATGCCAACCCGTTAGTATCCGGTCTTCTGCGGCTTAATTTGTCGGTGAGGGTGCCTTACCTGAACTGCTGACGGGGGTATAAGGCCTCACGACTGGAAACCACTGGTCCTTTGGCCACGAGAAAGTCAGAAGCGCAGCTGTTGCCCATTGTCAATGTCGTACCCTCGCGTACGCTGCAAGAATGCTCTTCGACTCACACGTCAGGGTCAGCCCGCTAACGGCATCCTTCTCCGGCAGCCGAAAGCGCAGCTTCTTCGTGTTATGGTTGACCAGCTCCGCGCTCTCCAGCGGCAGCGACAGAAACGCCGGCCCACCACCAAACGCCTTGCGCGGCGACGCTGGCGAGTCTGCGCGCACAGCACCGCCAAAGAACCTGGACGCGACGCCGACCGCGACGCCCGTGGCCGCAACGGTGCCCACCACCGCGACCACTCGAGATCTGAATGCGGGCGCAGAAGCCATTGTGACGTTACGATCGAGGACACAGCGCTCAGAGAAGCTGGGCCCCTGTGGACGCGGCGTGTGCGACAGAGTCCATTATATGCAGCCGCGGCCCGCGTCTTGGATAAGCGGCACCCGCGAACCTGGCAAGCCCGAAAGCCACAGTCGCGTCATGCGAAACAGTGGGCTGACGATCGCAGCGAAGGATTCTGGGCCGGATTGGCGTCGACGGCCCTTGTCCGACCGCATTCGGGCCCGATCGGTCGCGAGGCGCCTCACCCGTCTCCGACGCCGAATCCTCCGGCCCGCAAACTCTATTCCGGCGTAGTCCGGACGGCGCCACCGTGGGCCTCAATGACGGGCCGGCAATTCATGTGGCATCTCAGTGCTCTGGTTTATTGGAGATTATCTCGCCGTGTCTATGCCAGCATCTTGACAAAGAAGCTGCAGTCTGCCTTGCGCCCGTCGGCAAACTTGGCGTACTCTGGACAGATCCCCCATTCCTTCCAGCCCAGCCGTATGTAGAAATCCCTCGCGGGAGTCCTCGTCGCCGTATCCAGAACCAGCATTTCCAAGTCCAGCATGCTCTTGGACAGCTCCTCCGCCTTGAGCATCATCATCCGGCCGAGGCCACCACGACGGTGCGCCGGATGAACCAGGAGCTTCCTCACCTCGCCCTTGTAGCTGTGCGTCTCCTTGGCCATCCGGACGACCTGCACCGTGGCCACAACCTCATCGCTGGCGACCTCGGTTGCGACGAGGAATATGGTGTTTGCATTCGAAGAGAGGACGGTCGCAAAGAATTGCAGCCAATGTTCCACGGCGTTGTGGTCGGAGAGGGGCGCAAGGAAACCGATTGAGGACATGGCCGGCTCGTCGTTGACGCAGTGCTGCAACAGCTTCCTCAGCGAAGTGAGGTGTATCTCGATCGATGTGGCGTCCTGAACCACGCTGATGCGATATCTCGACTCCATCGTGAGGGCAACGAGGGCTCCGCGTCGAGCTGTCAAAGAGCTGCAGAGCAACTTGTCAGCTTTGCTGTAGCTGCATGGGCGCGTGTGACATACGCGACGCCGCAGGTGAGTATCGTCACATCCACCTACGCCGGGCCCGACGCTGTCGCCTGCGGCGATTACGCGCCCTTTGAGGCCGCTCTCGGGATGAATCATCCCTCTTGCACGTTGAAAGATAGGCCCCTCATTTTGGTCATTGTGATTGGCTAGGCGAAGAGTCGACGTAATCGGCGCCATCGTGGCCGAGTGATCGGCGTCTGGCGAATCCCTGAGGCGAGCCGCGCGACATCTACAGCTGAGACGCGATCCAATGTTGAATCCAATTCTGTGTATCCTGTCATAAGTCGATTACATCGTATCAAGGCGTCCCAGCAGCAATGCTGGACGCCGTATGCAACCTGCGAGCGGCCGTCGCAATCATGAGTATATCCAATCCAACAAGGCGACCGTGACCGACCGGTCATGCTGATGCGAGAAATCACCGCTGCTGTCGCTCAAAGCTAAAATTCCACACGTCCGCCTTGCGCGGCCCGTCCGACGACTCCCGCCGCCCGGTGTGCTGGAGCACGCTCGGGTCGAGAGCCCACTTCATGAGGCCGTGGTCGCGCGCGTAGTCCTCCAAGATCTGGTCCCCGGCAAAGGCAAAGGGCGGGTTGCGCAGCAGGCTCTGGAACCCGTCGAGATGGCGCTCCGGAAACACCAGCCCCTGGGCGCAGCACCCGTAATTGGGCATCTGCCGGACGCCGCGGCCCGTGAACGGGTTGAGCCGGTGCAGGGATATGCGGCCGGCCATGAAGAACAAGGCAATCAGGGCCGGCATCCACAGACAAAACACCAGCGCCGCCATAAAGTTGAACTCGCGTGTCGTGCCCTTGGCGGACGGCCCGGAGGGCCCAATCTTGTGCCGCCTCCGCAGCTCCAGAAACACCAGCAAGAGGACCGCGTAGACGCCAAAGACCACCTCGGCGTACGTCAGCCACTCTTCGGCGTTCCAGCCCATGAAGAGCTCCGAGTAGAACAGCCGCGTGTAGATCCAGTCCTGACCCGTCTTCTGCGCCTCGCTCTCGACGTAAGGGATTGCATCTCGGAACCGCCGGAACCAGTCTCGCGACGCGACGACGTCGTCCTCGACGAGGGCAAAATAGGGCGTCTTCTTGGCGTGGCACCGTTCCACCAAGACGGAATGGTCGAGGCGCATGTTTTCGACTCGCCCGTCGCCGCGAGGCTCCCCGCGGACCTCATAGGGCGTCGCGTGGTAGTTGGTCGCGTTGCCGAGGGCGGCCCCCTCGAGCGAGTCGCCGTAGACGACCACCTCGTCGACGAGGCGGGCGATCCATTCGCTGCCGTACGCGGCGTGGCCCGGCGGGGGCCTGTCGGCGAGGAGGACGACGACGTAGACGAGCTGGCGCTCCTTTGGCGTGAGCGTGTCGATCAGGCTGCCGACGGTGTGCTCGAGAAAGGACTCGGTGGTGCGGTTTATGCTTGGAATGCCGACGCAGAGGAGTGGCTGCTCGGAGCGCGACGCCGGTGCCGCAAAACTCGTCTGCGCGAGGAAACGATCGACTTCGGCCGTCCGGACGGTGGAGAAGCGCTGCCGGTACGCCTTGGCCCGGTCGTAGAATATCGACGACGGATCATCGTAGTTGTTGAAGTAGCACCACACGACGACGCACAGCCAGGCCAGCCAGAAGGCGGCGTTGGCTCGCGACGCGCGCATTGCTTCCGCGCACAGAAGGCGGGCTGCGGCGGCTGCGGCGCTGGGCTGCCAAAGTCAGAGGGAGGTCGTCCGTGGCGCCGCGCGCATTGGCCCTCCCAGCAGCGGCGACAGTGCAGCAGAGACAAAAAGGGGTTGTTTGTTTCGCGGCGGTCCGCCCGGGAGGAGGAAAGGACGTCGGGCTTTGTATGATTGAGCAATGTCGTCCGGACGGCGTGCGCAAAAGGATCAAATGGGATCGGCGCAGGCTGGAGACTGCCAAGACGAGCGACCGTGCAGCCGGTGGTTCCGCTGGCCATCAATCATCAGGGGCTCAGGCGGCAGAATTGGACGGCGTCGGCTGGGCGCGCGAGCCTCGTCGCAGCTCCTGGTGCTACTCTTGTTTAGTTAGCACGTCGGACGGACGGCTCGCGAGCAAGCGATGGCAGTGACTGCGTTCGGCCCCGCGCTGGGCGGAATCTGGCTCGCCTCGTGCGGCCAGCCATCGCTCGCGCTGGGGGGAAAAGATGAGTGCGTCAACTGCCAAACCTTATCGACAGGCTTCCCGCGCGTGGAGCCAGGATGGAGGCTCTGGCGTACACTGTAAACGCAGTGACAGGTACGTTGTAGCCCGCCTCATTGGGGCTGATGGAGTTCGCGACCTGTCCGCCAGGGCATTCACGAGCGTGCCATCCGGGCCTGCCTCCCATACCAGCCAACAAGTCGGGGATTCGGGCTCTCAAACAGCCTATTCTCTGCGCAAGATTTACCCGACACGAGAAGCTCGAGTTCCTGAGCGCTTGCCTATTCTGGTGAAGCAGCTGTGGTGGTTGTGGCGCGCGGCTGCATCCGGCAATCTCCAGCGGCCGCCAGGTGGAGGGGGGGCGGGAGATGGCCACGGGCGAAAATTGGGTTGATCAACACCCACCATCGTGGCCCTGCGCCAGAAACAATTGTCTCGTGTCGCGTACTTTCTTCATTGTGCTGGAGCTCATGTCTCGCGGTGCTGTGGCTGTCTGTCTCAGCGTCCACTTCCCTGTGCCATGTTGCGCCCCTGCACCCGCCTCCACCATTAACACCCAAGCCGCCACCACACCATCTCGGGCACGACCTGTGGAGTCATCATCGTCTACAGGCCCTTTGCCGACGACTGACTATGACCATGGCATCACTTGAGCGCACTCGGAAGAGCGACAGCGTTGCGTCGAATCGCGTCGGTCACACAGGCCGCCTTGACCCGGTGTTGTTTGAATTTCGCAGTCGCTACGGTATCGCGCTGCCTGCGGAAACCATTTCACCCCAAACTGTGAGCATTTCGCCAGGTACGGGTAGCACGGCGAGGCTCGCCCAGGCGAATCGGATCGTTGGCCACGATCATCGTGCATCTCGATCCTGCACGGTACCTGGTGCTGTTGGCTCGCGCTGCCAAACGTTCCGAACGCGTGTGCAATAGTTTGAGCTCATTCTGTTCACGGCCTGCGACCTCGCTGCAGCCCCGGATGCCGTCTGTAAACGCTTCAACACTGTAGAGTCACACATGCATCCGCGGTACTCGGCCTTTCAACATAGGGCCCGTCTCCGGCATCGCAGGATTCCTTTGTGACGTTCAAGGCCACGAGCATCACGAATCTTCAGCAATGGCCCTTTCTACGGATGAAAACCGACTGGTGGCGCGCGTGAACTGGTCGTGTGCACGTAGTGGTGGGCAACCGTTCAGCGACCCTCAGCCCCCTTCTCCCCCTCGCCCTCTTCCGCTTCTCTGCCCACCCCAACGCGCAAAACGCGTCGGCCTCATTTGCACAACATTGATTGCACAGCGATGCAATGCATCTTTGTTGGTTTGTGCCACCTTTTACTCAGTTGTGGCGGATCTCCAGCGGTCCCTGACTGCCACGTAGAGGTGAACCCCCCCACCAGACGTCGGAACAACAGCAGAGCCCTTGTCCTCTATGCTCGGTGCGAAGCACGCTGACAATTATGCGTGCGATCTACAGCATCACCAATTCAAAGCCATTCCGTCAATGTGTATCGCGTTCCGTCACTTGGTGCACTTCCCCAGCCCGTGGCTCGCCCAGCGCAGGTCGAGGCGTCCCCCACCATCCCAAGTTCCCGCCGCCTCCAGACGGACAACCGAGGGTGAGCCAGCTTCAGTCGCTGCCTCTTGCCAAAACTTCGACCGAATACAGGGAGCACTTGCACCTGCCCTCGCTGCTTCGCAGTCTCGGCCTTGTTCGACCGCCCGGTGTACGCGAAAGGGGGCCAGGCGGACGAGGCCATCCTCGAGGTTCCTGCCTTCCGTTGCTTGACCGCCTTTCTCGTGGCCGACGCGTGGCCAGACTTAGGCTCCTTCCCGGGTTGTCAAATCTCGTCTGAGCTTCCTTCCCGGAATGTAGAGGAGTCGGAGCCATCCGATCGCCAGCTCAGCCCCCCACCATCTCGTGTCGCGATGCCGTGTACCCGATCGGCCAGGTACGCGAGACTCCCGTCCCCCCAGATGAGCAACACCAGGTAAACCCTGCCTCGGTGGCCCAAACGAGAACTTTGCAGATGTCACAGTGCCACTGTCTCGCCTTGTCGGGTCGTTGATGGCGCCTCTAGCTCGTAAGGCAGCCAGTCCCCCACAGGGCGAAGAAGAGCCCCCCTTTCAGGGATCGTGTGTACGGTACAGTCTTGCTCACCGAAATTGCCTCCCAGTGTGACGCTCTGTTCCTTCCCCATATTCAAGACCTTGCTCGTAGGGCATGCCGCCGCGTCTCGTCGGCCTACGACCCCAGTGCCGGCTCCTCGCCCCTGATTGGAACATCAGCCGAGGACCTCGAGACGCTCCTTCTGATATTACAATACAAGTCTGACCGCTGGACGGTCTCGTGACGAGATCCTGTCCCTGGGCACGCTTGCTCTTTCTGCTTTCGGTGCTTCTTGCTCACTGTCTGGCCCGCCGACCAGCATCAGACGAGACTGACCGCCTCTCCGCCACGTCAGCGCGCAGATTCACAGCCAGCTCATTGCCAGCTGCTCGCAGCTGCCTGGAGTCCCTTCCCGAAATCACTCTCACGACGTGGCGAGCCTCTGGAGCCTCAGGCCGAAGCACCGAGCTCGCCTCGCCCGTGGACCTGCATAAATTCCCCCTCACCCTCCGCCTCCGACAACTTCTCCTCCTCTTCATCACGCTCAACCACTTCTGCAGTCTTGTAAGCACTCACGTTCTCGTCAAGCTCTTCAAGCAACTCTGCCTTTGCGCACCAAGACTCTGCATCATCCATCTTCGGGTCACACTCTGCATCTTCGACATCGCCAAAGGACTCAGGTACGTTGTCTTCTTGTTCTTGTTCTTCTGTGCTCTCCCTCTCTGGTCAGCCCCTGACATCCCCTGCTCGCTCCAGACTCAACAGTCACAATGGTCTCCTTCACTTCTGTCACCGTTGCCGCCGTCATGGCCTTCACTGCCCTCGCGGCTCCTACCACCGACACTACACGTGCCCTCGAGTCTCGCAGCCAGAGCGGCTCCATCACTTGGTTCAACCCCGGCCTTGGGGCCTGCGGCAGGACCAACACCGACAACGACGCCATCGTCGCTGTCTCTTCTGCCATCTACGACAAACAGAGCCCTTGCGGCCGCAACATCCGCGTCCAGTACAAGGACAAGTCGGTCACTGTCAGGGTTGTTGACCGCTGCCCCAGCTGCGCCGAAAATGACCTCGACCTCTCGGCCTCGGCCTTCCAGTCGCTCACTGGCGACAAGGGACTCGGTCGTGTTCAGGGCACTTGGGACTGGGCTTGAGCGGGTCTGTCTGCTGGCTTGTGTTGTCTCTTTGGGATCTCGCGGTTGATCATGGACTTACACTGATGGGGAGTGTCTGCTTTGTTTGGGCCTTCTAGCAAGGAGTTTTTGGGATCTGGTCCAGCTCGCCTGGTGCCACATAGGCAATAAAGTCCTTTTCTGGCGCTTCTCTGTGTCTCCAGTGCTGGTCTTGTGCGTGCTTGTCTTCGTTTAGCTTTGGTGGCCTTGCTTGTCTCTGACGTCCGCTCCCCGCCAAGCCGCCGTGCCTCTTGCCCCTGAATCCACAGGAGCCCATGCCATTCTGCGGCACGCTGGTGCCGATGACATGCAGTGACCACTGACGTCCACCTTGCGAGAGCTATCGCTGTCTGTCCCCTGATTTTACCAGCGTGGAGCTGCTGTGCTTCTTGTCAGCGAGCATGAGCATTGACTGGTCCGTCTGCACCACGTCGCCGCAGACGCAACCGCAGCACGCAAGAGGCTCCCATGCACGAAATCACTTAGAAAGGCCTACAACAGACGGCAATGCACTGCAGTGCGACTACGAGTCGCTTCTTCAGTCTAAGGCTACGGTGCTATGCCTGCCTCGGTGTCGATGCCCAAGCCGCCAACTCCATACAAAGTCCAAACACGCGACCAGCATTTCCAAGCCTCCGCTCAATGAGACTCTACAGCGGCGTCGCAAACTCAATAACCAGTCCAGGGGCCAATCCGCCTGCGTTGTGTGCCCCTTTCCATCGTGCAATGCAAGACCCTCGATGCCTTCAATCGTCGCAACGTTCCCAACTGCAAGGTTCAAGTGCTCGCCGTACGTCTTCAGCCTCAAAGAATGCACAGTCCCTAGCCCAGCTTATTCTTCGCATTGCTGTTCCGTCCAAAGGGCAGCCACTTGCGTCGTGCTCCCGTCGCCGCGGGTGCGCCCTGGCCTGTACCAACGCCGCCCTCGTCCTGCTGCTGAGCGGTCTGCGGTTTCGCCTCGCCATTCTCCTCCTGGGTCTGGGTCTCGGTAGCAGCCTTGGCCGCCCCTTCAGGTGCCGCGGTCGTGGGTGACGCCGGCCGATCCTTTTCCATCGAAGAGTCGAGCGTGTTGCGTCGTCCCTGACGGGGGTTGAGCATGATGGGCGGAGGCGTCGCACCGGAGCGCTCGTCGTCAATGGGGCAGTTGCGCAGCACCCACGAGGGAACGCCCATGGGGTGTTGAGCCCGGGGTTCGCTGGATGAGGATTCGGCAACGCTGTTCGACGAAGACGCCGTCTCTGGTGGCGGGGCGTTCGAGGAGCTGCTGCCGATGGACCGTCTAAACAGTCTGTTGAGTCCGGCTCGCGCGCCTTGGTGGCCCGTGATCGGGGGGTAGCGCTTTTGGTCGCTGCCTGCCTCGGGGGGGGGCTGCCGTGGCTTCTGCTGCACGGGCGTCTTGGCCTCGTCTCCGCTTCGGAGGTCTTCGCTGTTCTTGGTGCTGTGCCTGCCGCGGGTCTTGGGCGAGTTTTTCCATCCATCCTTGAGCGAGGGGCTGTTGCTGGAGGACGCCTTGAGCGAGTCGGACCGCGAGCCGGTCGTTGCGTGGAGGCTGGATCTCCTATTCGGCGGTGGTGGTGGACCGGTAGACGACGAAAAGAGCTGGTTTTGCACCGACAGCAAGTCCTGTATGTGGTCGTAACCAGTAGAAGAACCCACGCCTCCCGCATGGGCGTTGTTGGGGCCAAACATGGAATCCACCGCCCATCCACCGCTGGCGGCACTGTTCGGGAAGCTAAAGAGGTCTGGGGAGACGCGACGTCCGCTGGCGTCCTTCTTCGCTGGCTTCGAACTCTCTCGTAGCCAAATGTCCAGGCTAGACTGCAGCGAACGGGCATCGGAGTTGTCGTCGTCGCTGTCCCAGCCGTTGTCCTCTCTGCGCGAAACGACCGACTCGCCTGCCGAGCGAGGGCGCTGCAGGTTGTGCTGTTGTTGCTGCTGCCGATAACTCGCGTACGTGCTGGCACTGACGCTCCTCATGGTATCGGAAGCGTTGAGGGATGATCCATCTCCCAAGGGCACGCCAGACGCAGGCTCCGCCGTCTTGGGCTCCTGGGCGTTCGAGTGAAGTGAGGCTCCGTGGCTTCCTTCGTCGTGCCAAGCTTCCTGCGGCTGCGACAACGTCTCGTGCGAGTTCTTAAAGCGATGCAGAGTCGAGGTCGAAATCGTGTCAGGAGTGGGAGGGAGCCCTTGGTCGTGAAGACGGACACCGCCCGGTGCATCAGTCATGACTCTTCGCAACGCCTCGCGTTTCTCCTCCTTTGTCTGCTTCCGGGAGGGCTTTGGCGGGGCAAACTGGGACTCCGCAGTCCGTCCCTGACTTTGCGATGAGACGCCGTCCTTTTTGGTGTAGCTCGAGTCGAGTCGCTCAATGCGTTGGAGGGGAGAGTCGTAGCCGACGACCCCTGACATGGACTGAAAAGGCACCGCGGTGCTGGATCGGGGTGGCGGCCTGAAGCCACCGGTTGCCTTACTGACCGAGGCAGCCCGCCGCCGGGGGACAGGCATCTCCTCGTGGCGGGTGACGAGACCGGCATCGAGGCCGTCCAGCGTCAACGGCTCATCGATGCGAGCGGGCGGTAAAAGTTCCGCCTCCTTGCCGTTCTTCTGTCCGTATACGCTGACAAAGGAGCTTTCGCTCAGGACGCTGAGGGTCGGGCTGCCCAGTCCTTGGTGGTCGGCCTCGGGGGATCCCTCTGCTACACGCGCCAGGTTCGGGCCGCCAGTCTTGACGCCGAGGTACACGTTTCGTAGATTCTCCGTGTTGCCATTGGGTTCAGAGATGAAGCTCGGCATCCGATTGACCACCTTGGCCTCGTGCTCCGGCCTCGGGGCGTCACGCTTGGGCGTCTGCATGGCGGAGGTGTCGTAGCGCAAGTCGTAGTCGCGAGCGCAGAAAAAGTCTTCCCTCTCGACCTGCTGGACCATCTCTCGCTCCTGGAAGAGTTGGTTGACCTTGGCCTCGAGCATGAGGATCATGGCGACGGCTTCCTCGACGGCCTTGTCTCGCTTCTCGAGCTCCTCCATCAGCTTGTCGTTGACGTCCTCCATCTGCTTCCTGTCAGACTCCAACGCGTCAACGCGTTCTTCTAGTGCCGTCTGGCGCTCTCGACGATGAAATAGCTCGAGCTTGAGGTCAAAGTTTTGCTTGTGCAGATTGGATACGACCTGGAGTTGTGTGAGCAAAGACCGTGAAGAGTTCGGTCCAAGGACATACCTGCTCCATCTCCTTGACCCCAAGGCCCTTTCGTCTAGGCTCGATTCCGGCACTCGACTGAGGCCTGCCCCCTTCCGGCTCCTGGGGCGGTCGGAACGGTGAGTTGTATACCGCCCGTGAGACGTCTACCGACGCCGTCATGTCTGCCCTAGACATCGAGGCGGAAAACGACAGTCTCTCATTCTCCGCCCTCTCCCGCTGCAGCTTCTCCTGCAGAAACGAAGACATGGCCCTGTTTCGCGCCGCGTCGGGCGTCTCCTGCCGCGACGGGTGAGCCACGCCTCTAGACGACGGCCGCGGCGACAGGCTGGACTGCTTAAGGTTGTGCGTGTGGTGGAGACGGTGGGCGGGTTGGGCGTGGGCCGGCGGAGGACCACCCGCCGTGACGTGTGAGATGGAGCCGTTGGCGCTGTGAGATGCCGTGAGGCGGGAGTTGCTCGAGCTCGGGGGCCTCGAGGGGTCGCGGGGGTATGAAGGTCGCGAGGCCCGACGGGCATGTTGATACGGTTGGGGTCCCTCCATGTTGATATTCAGCGGCAGCAGACCAGCCCCTTCAGGTCCGACTGTCCGTCGTTCAGGTCGGGAAGGTTTCGGTCGCGGGGAAGGTGTTCAGATGGCAGATTGCAGGTGGAGGAGCCGAGCAGATCGAGTCTCATCTGGGAGCCAGGGTGGAAGTCGGCGAGAAAAAAGCAAAGAACGGATGGGGACGGCGAGCTGCAAGGCAAGAAGGGTGATGCCTGTCGATTTGCTTAGGAGGCGCCGTGCATCGGAAACGGGCATCAGGGGTTCCAGCCCCAGACGATGTTGGTGAGCCGAGCTGTTTCTCCAAGAATACCCAGTTCGGGTCGATTATGTTTCGTCGAGACGTCTCCCTGGTGTCTGATTTCTCGCGAGGCCCGGCGGTCGTTTGCGTTTATTCGCCAAGCAAGCCGGTATGGTGTTTCACTGCATATCTCGCAGGCGTCGCATGCACGATCTGTCCACGATCAAGAGCTGCAGGTCGACGGCATGGGAAGCGGGATTCGAGTTGTGTTCGCTCGCGAGTTCGACTTGTGTCGGATGACAGCGAGAGTGTGACGCTGAGAGAGTCGCAGAGGCACAGCCAGGCGTCTCCCTTGCGAAGGTGTTGATGCAAGGTTAGTCTCTGCCCTGCCCGTCCGTCTCTTCTGTTTCAAAACAAGCCAAGGTCGGCACCGATTGGATCGCAGGTAGACAGGCAAACAGGCTGGGGCGGGGACCTGTGAATGGCGGACCGTGGGCCGAGACAACCAAGGGCAGCCAAAGAGGGAAGCGGTGGAGGTGCCTCTGGTATGTGCCGTTGCGTTGGAGGTTGCCTGGGAGTGAATGGAGGGAGGGACGGCAGCACGCAAGGGGGAGAGGCGAAGAAGGGGAGAGGATTGCAGCTCGCGGGTGCTGACAGGTCCAGGATCGAAGGACGAGCGATCACGGCGTCGAGTTGACTTTCGGCGGACGCTGAGAGGCGGCAGCAGGGATGAATGCCAGGCCAGGCGGTAGAGCAAGGTACGGAGGATCCAATGGACCGGTGGCTGGGAGTGAGCTCTGGAGCTTCTCGCAGTGGATCTCCCCTTGCCCAGTGCGCTGAAGCCGTGCCCCGTGCCAGCTTCAGCTCCGCTACGGGCGCCCCTCTAAGGCTCTTGCTCGGAGCCCACTATCTTCACTGGCACGGGCGCTGTGCGTCCAGGCAGGTGATGCCGCCTACATGTAGACGGGTACGTCCGTCCTCTGCTTCATGCTTCGACTCCCGAGGCTGCGGTGCAATCGAGGTAAGTTGGTCTCGTCTCGAGGGTCGCTCTACGTGCGTCTACGGCAGCCAATTCCAGGGGAGCCATTCCAACGCGGACAGCCGTCACCACAACACAACATCGAACTCGGCAATTCCGTGGCCCGACTCGCGCTTGAACCAGGGCTCGACCATGCGCCTGTCCATTCCGCCGGCTGTGGTGTTCGACAAGCCACGGTACCCCTTCATCGAGGATCTGAAGCACCGCGGCTTCCACGTTGGTAGCGCCCGTGCCCCTTTTCTTCCCCGCCGCCATTGACGACGCAATGGCTGCTCAGCCCCATGCAGGGTGAAGGGGAAAGGAAGCAGGCAACGCGACGACGACGAGAGAGAAGAAAAAAAAATCCCATCCCAGCAGAGAGAGGCCCCTGACCCGGCCATGCCCGTCTCGGCGGAGTCGACAGGGGTACCCCAGCTCCGGATCGTCCTCCCGCCGCAACCCAACTCGTCGGGCGCCATCCGAGTTGTGACGAGCGCCTTGATTCGCCGGCTGTTGGACACGCAGACAGAGGGTCGACTGAGGAGCCGTGGGCGCGGCCTGCCGCCTGTCCTGGCTGTGTGACGTGATGGAGGCCCCTTTACTTGCCGCTGCTCATCGACTGGGTTGGGGAAAGGGCATCGAGAGCGGCACGCGCCAGAGAGAGTGAATCACCGTGGCACAGCCCGTCCCGCCCGCCAACTCAAAAACCTAGGACGCCTCTGCCGCCAGGGGCACGAACCTTGAGTCCGCGTCCCGCGCCGCAGCGACGGCGCTCCCGACGCTTCGGTTGCACCAAGAGGAGCTTGCGGCGGTGTGGGGACGCCGTGCACGCCACTGGCTCCGCCCATCTGCCTCTGGGCCTGGTTTGGTTGCTTTGTCGGTGTCTTGTCACGCGAGAGGCACGGGCGTCGCTTCCAGGTATGCGCCCCAAGAGGCAAAGAGAAGTACCAGACGCGTCGACTCAGCTCACAGCTTCATAATCTCATTGTTGAAGACACAAGGTCCCCGCTACCAGTGCTGTCGACTGTCATTCAGGCTCGTTCGACCGACAAGTCCCGCCTTAGGTGATCCGTTATACCATGCCACCTGCATCCTTGATACTACGCCTATCCCGCATAGTCGATGGGGCTTTGAAACGGTAACACTTCGCACAGTTCGTTCAACATGCCATCCGGCGCGGGACAAGTCCGCGTCTGTCCCCGCCTGGCTAGGAGGCCGTCTCGACGGATTCTGAAACGCGGAGGATCGACCCGCCTGCCCAGCACACACTTGGGGTAACCTTTCTCTCCGCATATATCAGGCTTATAATCGAGTGATACCACAACGGGGGTTTTTACGAACAACCTTGTGACTCGAACACAATAATGCCGTCGGTTCGGGAGCAGTGGGTTGATCTAGTCGATGCCACTCGATCCTGGGGGGCCTTGGCAGCCCCCACGCCGAGATAGTCCCCCCTTTGTGAGCCATTGCACTGTTCGAAACCCGTCACAGCGTAATTGATAGGGACATCGGGACTAAACGGGGTCATTCAGCCAGAGGAACCACTATCATTGCAATACTTTGCTGCCGTCTCCTGCTGGTGGCTTACGCTCTTATAGAACATTGAACCCTCAAGCTCCAAAGCAGCAGGAAACGCTCGTCACGATTCAGAAGACACTTTCAATACGAACCTGGGGCATTCTCTACTGGCACCAGCACATGTCCTTTATGCGCCGTAGTTTCTTGCGAGGGGAGTTCGTGCCCGAAATACAAAGAGCAGATCAAGACGTGGGAATGCAGTTTATACACCAGCCATGTATCATACAGGTCCGGCACATGCGGCGTCTAAAGTTCCTCCTTGAAAAACTTCTCCTCGCTGCCGTCGTCTTTGCCTTCGGCCTTGTCTGGCGCCTCATCCTTGGGCGCCTTTTTCTTGCCGCCGCCTTGCTTTATGCCATCCTTTTCGGCGTTGCCCTTTTTGCCTCCAGCTTCAGCGCCCTCCTCGTCGTCAATGTAGCCCCTCAACTCGCGCAGGTCCTCGCCTTCGAGCTCCACAATCTCGAGCTTCCAGCCAGAGTCGCCGGCAATGTCCTGCATCTGCTTCGTCATCTCCTTGACTACGTCGGGCTTGAGGTCCAGCTTCTCTAGCTCCGCCGCGTCGAGCGTGGTGATTTTGCCGCCGTCCGCCTTGCTGGCCGCCTGAACGACGACCTCGATGAGTCGGTCCTTGCCCGCCTGGCCGGACAAGTAGTTTCGCGGGGGCGTGAGCTTGACGGGTGGCTTGCCAGCCTCGTCGGCGCTGGACAAGACTCTTCGCCCGCCCACGACGACACCGCCGATCGTGACCTCGGATTCCTTGGCAGCCTCAGCCTTGGCCTCTTCCTCTTTCTCCTCGTGGGGCTCGGGAGCATCAGTCTTAACCGGCTTGCTCTCGCCTATGAGAGGCTGCGTGGCAGCGTCCACGTCGGCAATCAGCTGGCAGCTGATGGGGTTCGCCTTTGTTTCCTCTGGCGGCAAAAAGGCAACGTCCTCGCAGAGTCGGGGGGTGTTGACCACCATGACGTAGGCACAAATTGTCACCTCCTTGATCCATCCTATCCTGTCGCTCTTCATCCCCGGCACGCAGTGGTATTGGACCTCGATGGTCCGGTCCCGTCCCGTGAGGTCGCAGACCGTCCCCTTCTCGAGTTTCTGCACGAGGTAGCGCTGGTCGCCCTTTACTTGGAGCTCTGCCGGCACCGGAGGGCCCTGCTCCGACTTTTGTCGCCCTTGCCGCTCCGAGGTGGCGGGGATGGTGGGCACTCGGCCGAGGACATACTCTTGGGTGTGAGGGTCAGGTCGCGGGGGCTGGCCGTTGGGCACCGCGGCCATGGCGTGGAATTGCACAATCTCGCGATTGTTGCAGAAGCTGTAGCTCCACCAGCCGGACATGAAGTATAGGCAAGAGTCTTCCAGTTCCCCCAAGAGCTCCCAGCCGTGCACCGCCGCCCGCCGCAGCTCACGCACCTCCTCGGCCTTCGCAAGCTCATTGGCCGTCTGGTTTTCCGGTCCGGGGGGTTGGATCACGGGTATGGAACAAAGGTAGCGGTGAGGTGCCATGTTCATGACCTCGTACGAGTACGTGGGGGCTTCCTCGGGCGCATCAGCGACGTTGCCATCGCGGCTGTCGCCAGCTGTCGGCTGCGTGAAGTCTGCTGAATAGGTCGGGTGGTGCTGCGAGTCCCTGTCCAGAAGAGACTGTGCGTCCTTGTCGGATATGGCACCGTCCGCAAAGATTACTTCGTACTGGCTCCTGCGTTAGCGACGAAGCTCGCTCAGCTTCGCGGTCGGTCCAGGAATCACCTGAGGGTATGCGAGGAGGTCGCTGTGGACGTTGAAGCCAGGTGTCCGAGCTCTGCAGAGCTGGAACGTGGCCAGCAGGGCCAGATTGAGACGGCGCATGATGCCGCTGGGAGGTTCTGCAATCACATGGAGCTGTGCCGAAGCGCAGTCTTGTTGCGTGGCAATGTGGAAGCCAGACAATGCGACGTGAGACAATCCCCGTGGCCACAGCGCCGCGGAAACGCCATGGTGTCATCGCTGGCCTAAGGCCGGGGTTTTGCCGAATCGTGGGGGAAGCTCCCGTGCACGCGACCCGTCGCTGTCTTTACAGGCAGCTGGAGCTTGAGCTTACCTGGAGAGCTCGCCTCGCACCCGCTGTGTTCCTGTCCCACGCCCGGCTCCTCACAATTGAACGTTCCATGCCGGCTCCTCGCACCTGTTCTACCCGCTGCCTTCGGTGAATTTCACAAGTCCAAAACGGGCAGTTGCTCGGCATGTTGCCAGACTTGGCGCCTTGTCAGGCCACGGCAGACATGGTGCGACTCGCCGCCTGATCTATTTCAGGCTGTGGCAGGCACATTGAGGTCAGTCTCTCGCGATGCCGACTTGTAGGCCATCCCTGCTCGTCGTTGTGGGCTCACCAAGTCAGAGATGTATTGCGGCGGACGCGCTGCCGGCAAAGGCTATTGCGAGTCAGCGCGGGATGCTCCTCATTGCCGAAAATCGCAGGCCATCAAGTCGCGCAAACCGGAGACCACCCATGTTCAGATCGTGGTCCGGCGTCTGTGGCAGCACTAACACGCATGGATCCCGTCGAGACCATCCATCTCGCTCGTGGCGCCGACGCGCCCTTGGGTAACGCAGGTCGTGGCTGTGTTCTGACCGGCCCTTATCCAACACCGAACATTGGTCTGCATCTATCGAGCGATTCGAGACGCCCCAATTACTGGATGGCGCTCCCGCATGCGTGGAGGGCCAGGTCACCGACACGCAGAACTGGGTTACTGGCCCGAGGGTGCGGTCGGTCCCGATACCCGACAGCCACACGCGTGTCCTCGTGAGCACCGGTTGCTGCACATCTGTAAACTACTTGGCCTAGCACCCTGGGCAGGCAGAGCGCGCCGGCTTGGGGAGACGGGTTGCGACACCGATCCGCGGAGATCCAGGCGACCCGATGGAGGGTTGAATCAGCCTGCCGAGACTCAGCACTCTACTCGGTTCGACTGCCTGTTTCATGCAAGCCAGCGGCCCCCAACGGCGACGCTGAGAAGCCCCTGCGCGATTATTGAGCTCGACTCGCTGGTGAGTGTGCCTGGGCTGGGCTCAACGCGGTCAGTGCATGCACCCGCCATGCCGTCGTTGTGTTCGGTATGCCCCATGCTCCCCCAGCATCGCAGGTCCCGTTGCGCCGATGAGGATGTGGAGCGGAACTAAACTCCCATACTCCCCCAAGTCCCCCTCGGTGACCGCCGTGGTTCAACCAGGTGCCGCCATGACCCTGGCATCCTGGATTGGGTCTGCTGGAATCGCAACCCATCTGGCTGCCCCACAAGCTGCAGCTCGCTCTCCAGCCAGGCCCTGCAACCACAGCCAAGGGTCCGTCGTTGCTCGCCTCACTTTCAGGGAGCCCTGCGAGCCAATGGCCGACCGAATGTTCAGGCCAACGGCAGGACACGCTGGACGACTGGCTGAGGATGGTCCATCCTCCCACGGCGCCCAAGCGTCGGTCAGAGCCAGGGTGCCCTCTCTTTGTCTCTTTCCCCCATGGCCTGACGCTGATGAGCGTACAAGGACTTGGTAGAGACTACGGAGTAGAGACGGGACGGTTCCCCCAAGGCCAGTGTGCACTGGAAGCAGGCCACGCAGTTCCGCAACAGCGTGCCGCGAGGTTCCATTCTAAATGCCACCCCAGACTGTGTTCATCGACGATGTGGTGGAATTGCGAGCCGGCAAGGGTTCCGCACATCAGTTCCCCCTACGGGCATCAGGGACAACGTCGAGCTGGCGCGTCTGTCACATTGCACGACTCGCTGACGGCAGAGATGGGCGGGTTACGAATACAGCTGCCGGTTCAGTCTCAAGCCTCGCCGAGTGTTCCGCGTACGTGATGGCGGCGTCCCAGGACGGAACGGTGTCATTGCCGTTGCCGAGTGATCGCAAGAAAAGTGCCGTTCCGCGCTGTTGTCGAGGCATTGATTCGTATATGGCGCCAAGAGGGCGACTTGCTAGCAGCGTAACAGTGTCCAGGTTCGTGCCGCGCTTGGACACACGGCAGACCAGGGATGACAGGCCCGCCACCGCTGGCGCACCAGAACCTACAATGCGGACGCACTTTAGATCGAGCAAAGTCGAGCCTGTGTGCCGGCATGTAATCTCTCGTCACGGTCAACGCACGAACAAGGACGTTCTGGCGGACGTCCTCCATGCTAGGGTGTGGTCCAAGCTGCACGGAACGGTTCTCTGGCCACGATGCTGGCGCCTGGCCTGGCCTGGGTCCTACGCTAAAACCAAGTCCTGCACCGAGCCGACAGGCAACGGCGTCAGACCCTGTCCCGGCATGGAGGAGAGTTTGCTGACGCCGGTCGTGCAACCGAGGAAACTAGCCGCGTGGAAAGACGGGTGCTTCCCGCCGCGAGGACGACGCACGATAGCCGCGAGATGCCGCCAGCACCACGGCCTCTCGTCCCACGAACCGCTTCGGGAACGGACCAGGGGGGAAGCAGAAGAGATAACAGTCCACATGTGACTTGAGACACAGCCCGCCGCCGTTTCACTGGCCCGGTCCGCCATCGTCGACGTGTCGAGCCCGACGAGCTGCGTCTTGGACAGGGACGGACGGCTTCGGTGTGCCTGTCGGTCACGCGGCCGCATGGCGTGTGTGGCACAGACAATGTGCAGGTTCAGGCTCGATGGCGGGAGGGATGGCAGCGGTGGGAGCGGCCGCGACGGGATGCGTCAGTGTAGTCGGGCGTCGATGGCGGCGGCTGGGCTCCGCTGTATCCTGGTGGGCGCAGGCCGCTAGTAGACGCTGGAGGGTGCGTCGCTGGCGAGCTCGCGGTGCCCCGGGTGCATGGCTGCGTGGTGCTGGGCCTGCTGGAGGTGGGCAAGGCATGGTGCTAATTCGTCGCCAGCGCCAGTGGTGGATTGGGCCTCTGTCTCCAACACGAGCGAAAGGGGGCGTGTGAATCATCGCGCTGCCAGCCGTTCGACGAGCCAACACGCCCTCCACGGCGCTCCACTGCGTTCGTCCTTCGTTGATGACGCTCAGCTTGGCATATGCGGCAGGCATTGACTGCAAGGTCCGGCGTCGCACGTCGTCGTCGCTGGGACGCAGATTGTTCGCGCGAAGACTCGACTCTTGCGGATCAGGGCAGTTGGTTGATGCTCCGCGCAGGGCCATGCGGTATCCTCCACCATCCCCAACATCTGCGCGTCGAGAGGTGCTTAGCCGTCCCTTCGTCTCGCCGCAGACGCACATGTCTGTTGAGCGTTCTGGACACGAGCATCGTTCCCGTCTGCCACGACGCTCGCAACACATCTCGCAACGCATCGGAACAGCAGCAACAACTCAGCCAGGAAGCCACCAACACGGCTCGGCGGCATCGGCGTGTGGGCTCGCCCCGGTCCTCACACGCTTCGCCCAGATCTCTCCGGCTCCCGCGTCGTCACTGGCGGCCATCGCTCGTCCAGCTTGTGCAACGCTGACACGCACGCCTCTCCACACGCAGAGCCGTATTGCAGTATTGCACACACACACACCTCGTCTCCAAGACCGGCACCTTGACAACTCACACACACCACCACCCCTGGCACCGCGGCACATCACCTCTGCGCTATCCAATCCGGCCCCCTGCTCCCTCTCTCGACGCCTCGTTCGAACCACCCACCCTCACGCTCAGTCGCCGCCTTTCAGTCTTTAATCCAGATCTCCCCTCCACCTTTCCTCCTCCCGCAGTCTGACATTTTACCATCACTTACACACACAACCCATACAACAAGAGCTGGCCTGCGAGCGATAGCTGTTTCCTTCTTCACTTCACGTATTCACCTTGTTCCATCTATTTAACCCCACTATCCTTCTTCTTTCTATTGTCCCGAATTACACCGTTAGGTGGTAAGCTGAGACGGCTGCCCAGCACCACAGCCTTGGTTCGCCTCACTGGCTTGCTCGCCTTCTCGAAGCTCTTCGTCTCCCACAACCGCCCGGCATCGAGACTGCCCATCACCCCATCGGGGGCGTCCTTCTGCCACATCATGAACCAGCTCTCCAACAGCGCCATACCAGTCGAGGAGTTTCAACGTGCACTAGCTCAATGCGAGGCCGAGGCCGCTTTCTATCGACAGCTTCTCGGCAACGTTGATCCTGCCCAACCCACCACGTCACTCGGCCACTTTGCCGCGTCTGGCTCCTCTTCCAAGCACAGCGATGCCGCGGTCCTGGCAGCTGCGGCCATTCCGCGAAGCCGTTCGAATATGGGTCCCTCTACTATGGATACCACCGTGACCGTGAGTCCCGCATCGCAGCTTCACCTTGACACGTATCCAGCCTAACAAGCAAGTAGCAACCGCCCAGGAGCGGCTCAAAATGGTCCGGGGCTGCCCATCGGAGGAGAGCCTACTCGCAGCAGCATCATCCGGCCCAGGCCATGAGCCGAAGCACGTCCAACCGATCCGATCAGAGCATCTCGCTCCAGCCGCACGGCGCTGCGACGTCGTTCGGAAGCTCCCACTCGTTTCCTCGCAGCAGCCCAATCACCCGGTCCCTGCCGAGCGTCCAGGAGCACGGCGGCCTTACCCCAGACGTGGGCATGGACCCGGAAGTGTATCTTGCCAACACTGGCTGGGTTGACGACGACATGTCCTACGTGGCGTCGACCGGGACCAACCTGTCGCCTGACGACATCTACGACAGCTTCAATGATGTGTCGGCATGCCCGTCCATGATATCCGCACCGTCCGTGTCGGAGCCATCACAGCCGCTGACGCGGCAGAACAGCTCCTTCGACTTTGCGGCCAGAGACGGTACTATGATGCGTCTCGTCTCATCTCAGTCTCATCTGGCCGACGAGCGTTGCAGTCAGGATTCCTACACTTCCTTCGGCAACACCCTGGATCTGAGGGTCAAGGCATCTGCTCGCGACCAGGACTTCTTTGGCGTGGGTACTGGCTTCCCCGAAGAGACCAAGTCCATCAAGACGACCCTGTTTCCAGCGGCCGACTCGACGTCCATGGAGCGATCAGTCTCCAATGCCAGCGTGACGAGCACCAGGTCAACTAGCTCGAACCTGGAGCGTCGTTGCAAGGAGGCGATGCAGCGTGTCCGGCAGAACAGCAGCCGCAACATCATCGCGCCCAAGCCGCAGGTGGCGTCGGGCAGTGGCAGGGCGCCCGCCAGCTCTGCCCCGTCCAAGAAGGATGGCAAGGTCGCGCTGCAAAAGACGCCGTACCAGCGGCCCAAGCACCCCAAGGTCTACTGCGAGCAGTGCAACGAGCACCCCGACGGCTTCCGGGGCGACCACGAACTGCGACGCCACCTCAACGCCAAGCACAAGGGCGTCGTCAAGAAGTTTGTCTGCCGAGACCCGGCCACCGTCGGCCTGCGCTCCAACGTCCAGGTGCTGTACCCCCTCGCCGACTGCAGGGCCTGCGCGTCCAACAAGCAGTACGGCGCGTACTACAACGCTGCCGCTCATCTCCGACGCACGCACTTTAAACCCAAGGCGCCTCGCGGCAAGAACAAGAGCGCCTCGGACGAGAAGCGCGGCGGCAAGGGCGGCGGCGACTGGCCGGCCATGGCCGACCTCAAGATGTGGTACGAGGAGATTTACGTCGCCAGCGACGGGTCCGGGACGCCTGACGACGGTGCAGACGAGATTGAGGAGGACGCCCTCGATGCCCTTGACGCCGAGGACACGTCCATGGGCGGGTACAACGGCCTGGACGACGGCGAGCACTCCCTCGCGGCAGACGCCGTCTACGGCATGACCCTCGCCCACCCCGTGGACGGGCAGTATCCGGACGCGACCGGCGCCCTAGCGTCGACGACCGGCATGCCACCTGCTGCTCAAATAGGATTTCTGCCATACGGCCCCATGTACGCGATGGACGGCGCAGCGTCAGACTACACCGCGACTCACTCGCCATTCGGGTCTGGCGTCTCGCCGGCCACGACAGTGACAACAGCGTACTTCGAATCGAGTGCAGCAGGCATGGCCGACTACATGTGGCACATGGACGACGTCTAACAACCACGTCCAGACCGCTGCTTTCCCCGCGGCCAACAAAGGGATCCCCCGCCGTGACTCCTTTACTGATGCCACCGCGACACTTGGAGGTGGTCCTCACGAACATCATGACTTTTTCTTCGCCGCACCATTTCACCAGGCCTGCGATTCACCGCGCCGTCAACGCACTTTCAATGCTTGCAATGTGAACATTCGCACCAACAAAAACCAAAAGCACAAAAAAAAGACACAATAGTTATCAAAGTCGCAGCGGCTGTCTGCTCCATACACTTTTCTGTTTGACCCCGTTCCTTCATTCTTGCGCTTGTCATTGTTATATCTGGGCTTCATGTTGTTTCGTTCAGCTCTTTGCATGGGTTTCATGGATTCATCGGGACACAATCTCTCCGATAGAGCCTGGTGGGGATACGTTTCAAAACTTCCAAGACTGCGATGTCGAGCCTTACGGCACAGCAAGCCGGGGGGGATGGCAATCGGTCATACACGTTTCTGTATGTCACTACAACCTGGACAAGTGTAATGGGCTTGGAGAGCAGCGGTCAAGGGGATGGCCGCTTGGCTCCGGTACGGGGTAGGGTTGTGCAGGCACAGGCGGGCTTGTGTCGGCGTTTTGATGGCGTCAGTGGACTGGCAGCCATCGACATGACGATTTACGAATGGGACGGAGTTTTCCGGAGCGTACCTGGCCAGGTACGCGGATCTCTGGGCATGGGCATGCGTGGCGTTTGCATTGGGGGTTGCTGTATATTTATATAGACGGCCCAGAGTGTGGCCTGGTGCAGACCGATATAGACGAGCGCTTGATTGCGAATGAAGATTGTGGAGCTGCGAGACTTATATATTGTGACTGTGCGATTGTCACAAATGTGACCCTGTATCTGTCTACGTTTACACGTATGTCTCAATGCAGGGTCGCGATGTAGATGAATTGGGAGCGTCGGCATGGTGGTGCGAGTAGCGAGCGGCGCGTGTAGCCCCACCGTTCTGGCGTGCCAGCGAGCGTCTCTCCATCTACAAGACTGCAACCGCGCTCTGGCCACGCAGAAACCGCTTCACAGCCGGTCTCTGTACGCAGAAAACTGCCTACTGTTCGAAAAGTTGTCAATTGGCGCCACGAGACGCGAACCTGAGCGCGCGTCGCCATGGCAGCTGCCTCCGCGGCCGACATTCTCGCGACGACCCTCATCAGCCTCTTCCGCCCGCTCTTCACACCAGTCGACGAGGCCCTCTCGCGGCTGCTGGTGCCCTCCCGCCCAGCGTACCCAAGCCTAAAGTCTTCACTGCTTCTCAAGCCAGCATCGCCGGCGGCATCACCAGTAGCATCGCCACAGCAGCAGAAGGGGTCGCCGTCACCTAAGCAGCAGCAGCAGCAGGGGTCGTCACCTCGGCGGCCGTCGCGCAATGCCTCGCTCTCACTGCCTCCCATGGCAGTCATCATCGCAGCCGTGCTGCTGAACCACATCCGGCGCGTGCTCGTGCCCTGGCTGGGCCAGTTCGTGTGGCGGCACCCCATCGAGGCGATGAAGCTGGCGCGCTCGTCGCCGTGCTACCTGCTTGAGCAGTCGGCTGGAGAGGGGTTCGCGTGGGGGGCAGTGCTGGCATGGGGGCTGAGGGTGAGGTTGCTGAGTGCAGTGAGGGAGGTGTTGCTGCGGAAGATGAGGGATGGGCCGAGGAGTGTGAAGGACAGTGGCAACGAGAAGAGGAGGGATGCTGTTTCGGGGGTGGGCGATGCAAACGGGCGTGCTGGTGAGGGAAGCGGCCTCGACAAGAAGGATGTCGGTCCACGGGATGGCGAAGCAGATGGACGTGCTCTCGGGATGAGCAGCGCGGACGACATGCTTCTCGACGCATGCCGCATCGTCTACCTCGCCACCAGCATCGCCCTCCTCGAAGGCGCCTACGCAGAATCATGCTGGGCCGCCGCCCACATCTACGCCCTCCTGCGCACGACCACGACCCTCCTTTCAGGCACCCTCGACCCCTCCGCGCGTAGCTACGTCTTTAACGCCCTCTCCTCGCACTGGTCCGCGGCCGTCTTTCAAGCCTGCCTGATAGCGAACTGGATCGCCGTGACGCTGCTCCCCACCGCGGCATGGGTGGTCAGGGGTGCGCTCGCACGGGCGGACGCGTACACGCCTGCGGGGGCGTACGCGCTCTGGGCGGGCACGGCGCTGCTGGTGCGCAAGTCGAACAAGTACTTTATCGTGCTGGAGATGAGCGAGATGCTCGTCACGTTTGGGTGGGCGGCGCTGGGGATGGGAGTGTTGACTGTGTGGGCGGTGGAGGAGTTTGCAGCGAGGAGGGAGGGGGCGGCGAGGGGGCGGGTGGGAAGCTGTCTCTTATACACATCTAGATCATTCTGAATGGAGTTGGTTGTACTCCGTACAGATAGGGCCTGCTCTCATGGCTCATAGAGAATCAAGGGTGGCATCCAGCCGCGGTGACCATGATCCAGGCCGTATGCTTCCATCCGTGTCATTAGTCCAGTCTGTCTATCCGTCATTGTACATCCAGGGTATCATATCATATCCTTGCCCAAGTCCGTGTCCATGCCGCAGCCTCACTTGCTGTCCCTCGTCTCATGTCCCATCACACCTTCCCTCAACCCTTCTTCACCTTCTCCATCCAGTCCCTCGTGCTCCTCACGCCATCATGCCCCCTCCGAAACAGCGCCCTCTCCCACTCATCCAGCCCCCGCAGAAACTCCTCGCCGGCCGGGCCCGCGCCGCCGCTGCCGCCCCCCACGCCCGTCTCGTCCGCCTTGCGCGCGTGCAAGCCCACGTCGGCAGCGCGGAGGACAAACGTGCGGCGCAGCACGGCGCCCAGCTCGCGCTCGTCAAATAGGTCCAGCATGCGCACGCCCACGCCGTAAAAGTGCGCGCTCTGGTCGCGCAGCGCGACGGCCCGCGGGTCCGCCTTGAGGGCGTTGGCGACGCGCTCCGACAGGCACGGCGGCAGGTTCAGCGTCAGGGGCGCGCGCGCGTCGTCCCCGCCCGTGGACGCGAGGGCGAGCATCTCGGCGAGCCATAGGGGCAGGGAGAGCGGCGTGCCGGGCTTGAGGCCTGTGGAGGAGGACGAGTCGAGGTGCCCGAGGTCGGGGGCGTCGAGCTCGAATTGGCAGGGGACTTTCTGTGCGGGCGCTCGTGTCAGCGAGGGGGGGTTCACGACATGGACAGGTCGGGTTATGGGAGGAATTGGAGGAGTAGGGCACCTCTGCATCTGTCAAGATGGCATCAACATCGTAGTACGACATGTTGGGCAGCTGCGGTCATCGACATGGACGAGCCGGACTCGCTCGGGTCGACTCGACGTGGTGGGTGGTGGTTGAAGCGCTTCAGTGAGTGACGATGTGCTGCCCCGCGACGACGCGTGCTGGAGCTCGCGCTGCGAGCACTTTGCGCGTGCAAGCTCCGCTTATGTCAGCTGCCATGACCATGTAAGTCTCAGGCGAGCCCGCGGCCGTGAGGGCCCATGAAGGACGCACGTGGGCGAACTGGGGATCGAACTTGCGGGTAAATGTCTGGTGCTGGGACTCAAAGGCGCACGTCAATGCATTCGCTTTCCAGGAGGCTTTGGTCGTTGCCAAGATGGAATCGCCTTCTCGGAAGCATCGGTGGCAGCTCGCATCCGAGCCGGCACCAGCACCGACCCGGCTACCCTGGAGATCGGAGTTGTAATCCGGCCCGAGTGAGCAGCTCGGATATCGAGTCTGGGCGGTCATTTTGGGGTTTGAACTCATCGAGGGGCGCCCGGAAAATGTATCCAGCTATTAATCGCTCGGTTACAACCATCTCGTGCATGAATGTGTGTTCCGGGGTAGGTGTCAGGGAATAACGAATATATTTCCAGACGTGCGCGAGAACAGGCACACTCGCAAGCCAGGTACACTCACAGGGCCTTCACGGAGCGTAGACGTCTCGAAAGACCAGTCCATACTGCTGGGTTATCCTAGGCACTGCCATTGCAATCATGGCTCGATTAGGGTGAGTGATGGAGGCCATTGGCAAGCAAAGACGATTGCAGTCGACACCCCATGCGCCACAAGCCGGGCACTGACTGGATCGCGAGCTCCAGCACCAGCCACCAACAGCCCCGCCAGCCGGCAGGGAAGCTCGGTGGAAACTGGCAGCCAGTGACGTGAAGCTGAGCTCAGTGCAAAGCCGAGTTGCAGAGCGGCGGCCCCAAAAAACCGGGGAAGCTCCCTCTCCCCTCGGCCTCGCCCTCGAAACTCCCGTCCCGTCACACATCCACCCATTGACATCATTCACCCACCCGCTTCCTTCGCGTTTTCCCGCGTCCCATCCAATTGGTAAGCCTGCGTTTATAACCACCGTTGCTGCCTTCCCCCGTCCATCCCGTCCGTCCGCCCGCCCGCTGCTCCACCAAACTGCATCTCGAACTCCGCGAAAGCCTTACTTGCTCCATCCCGCGCTCATCCGGTCGCGAGAATTGCTACCCCGGTTGCAAAAGTCAATTCGTTGTCGCTAACAGGTCGGCTTCCACTTGGTCGTCGCCAGTCCGTCACACAATGTCCTCGGCTCTCCTCCGCACGACGCCCGCCCTGCGCGCCGGCCTCCGGGCCCGCGCCGCTGCGAAGCCCATCGCCGCCATGGCGTCCACGAGCTTTGTCCGCGGCAAGGCCACGCTGCCCGACCTCCCATGTGAGTCCCCGCCCTACTTCCCTCTGTGACTCGAGCCGCAATGGCAGGGTACGAAAAGAGCAAAAGAACTGACAGCTCAATCTCCCAGACGACTACGGCGCCCTCGAGCCCTACATCTCCGGCCAGATTATGGAGCTGCACCACTCCAAGCACCACCAGACCTATGTCAACAGCTTCAACGCCGCCTCCGACGCCATCGCCGAGGCCCAGGCCAAGGGCGACACCAAGGCCGCCGCTGCCCAGGCGCCTCTGCTCAACTTCCACGGTGGCGGCCACGTCAACCACTCCCTCTTCTGGGAGAACCTCGCCCCCCACGGCAAGGGCGGCGGCGGCGAGCCCCAGGGCGAGCTCCTGGTACGTGATCTCCGTTCCCTACATAGATAACCTCCCCCGCAGCACGCCCATTGTGAATCGCCACTGACCTTCCGCAGACTGCCATCAACGAGGACTTTGGCTCCTTCGAGAACCTCAAGAAGCAGACCAACGCCGCCCTCGCCGGAATCCAGGGCTCCGGCTGGGCCTGGCTCGTCAAGGACAAGACCTCCGGCACCCTCGGCCTCGTCACCCGCGCCAACCAGGATCCCGTCACCGGCAACCTCGAGCCGCTCCTTGGAGTAGACGCCTGGGAGCACGCATACTATTTGCAGTACCAGAACCGCAAGGCCGAGTACTTTAGTGCCATTTGGGATGTCATCAACTGGGGCACCGTCGCGAAGCGTTTCGAGAAATAAGGTCACGAATGCGGGGCGGTACGAGAGAGAACGGCGATGACTGTTGTACATTAACAAGGCTAATACACCCCTGCGTTCAACCTTGGCTTCCGATCCTGATTCTGCCACGCGACTATGGCGGCTAAGCAGCGTCGATGGGCTGCCACATGAGATCTGCACCGGCCACATGTGTGCTCGGCTCCCGATGGAGCCACATCACATGGCGACATGAGATGCGTCCCGGCCACCTCTGCCCGGCTCCCGTTGGAGCCATGCGACCAAATGATATCTGTTCCAGCCGTCTCTGCTCCCGTCGGAGTCGCTGACTGGCCACCATTCCCGTGCCGCTCATGTAGCACGGGCATATGAAAAGAAGCTGACCGCCGCTCGCGTAGCTCCCAAAAAATCAACAGGCCCGGATCCCGTTCACGCTCTGTTCGTCCCTCGCTCGTCTGTTCCGCCCGAGATGGATAAACGCCGAGTGAGTGCCAGAGGGCCCGAGCGGGCCCTCTTGAGACCAATTCGAGCGCCCCCTTACGCGGGGGGCCAGCGCATCACGCTCTGGTACGCAACCATCTCGTCGGTGTATGCAGTGTCGAGAATCTCGTCGACATAATCGTACCAATCCTGGTTCATTGGATTGGTAAAGGTCTCAAAGAACTTGACGTACTCCCACCATTTGGGGTACCAGCCGGCGCAGTCCCAGCCGATGATGCCGACGACTAAGTGGTTGTGGACGATAATGTTGCGCGGGCAGAGGTCACCATGGCACAGGACGAGCGAGGTCGACTTGGAAAAGTGCTTGGCGATGCGTCCGGCCACTGCCGGCGCGCACGACGTCGACAGCGTGGAGAGCAAAAACGCAACAAACTGCTCCTGCGTGGGCTTCTCGCGGACGGCCCAGTAGGTGCTGTTCTGGCGTCGGTCGACGAGCAGGGTGTAGCCGCCCGAGTGTACGGAGCCGAGCTGTCGCGTGGCTGCCTGGCGAGGGTTCTGCGGCGTCTTGCGCATCTGCTTCACCAGCCGACCGAGCTGGCGTGCCATGTTGTACTTGCCCTCGGGCGACATGCGAGCCCACAGGTCCTCGAGACGCGCGCCGCGGGCCACTCGGTCGACGCCGCCATCGGGGGCGATCAGACCCGCGTTGAGGGCGCCCATCGTCGGCAGGTGCAGGATGGGCAGGTTGGAGTGCGTTCGGACTATCTCGTTGATGACGAGGCCTGCGCCGCTGATTTGCAAAAAGTGCGTCCGCGCCACGGGTGCCATGTTCTGGACCGGCGAGCTCTCCAAGATCAGGCGAAATGGACGGTAGGCCAGGAGATTGGCCAGGTAAAAGGTGTCCGGGTTGGCTGGGGGCGCTGTGCAGAGTTGTCAGTGACCTTGACCGGACCGAACCGCCCACGAAGACATCAAAGTACCAAGGTCCAAGAGAGGGGCCCGAATAACCAGCAGACGCGGACCCGGCGCGACGACGTTGTCCTGCTCATCAACGGCACTGCGCGACCGCTTGAGGGGCACCACGGAGACCGGCGACTTGTTCTGGTTGGATCGAGAGCCAGCCGCGTTGGCGGCCGGCTTGCCCAGGCTGATGCCGTTGGCACCGCTGCGCTGGGGGCCTGGCTTGGGCTCCTTGTCAGCTTCTGTCTCGAGGGACCTATCCTCACCACCGGCGGCGATGTCTCGGAGCATGGACGCACGCTCCGGGTTCATGCCGGTGGTGTCCGTGGTCGGAGCGTTCATGACGCTGCAGCGCTTTGCGAGGCAGAGAGGATGAAGGGGCAGGCCAAAGATGAATCGAGTCAAGCGCGCAAAAGGCGCTATGCGAAACCAAAGACAAGGCAGCACTGAAGAAGAAAACGAGAACTGTCAACTGCTTTGCAGCTGTAAACTTTGGCGAGTCGGGGTGATGCACCTTACCCTGCTGCAAACGCGTGTGCAAGAGGAAGGAAGCTGAGGGGACGAGAGCGTGAACGGGAACGCAGAAGAAACAGAAGCGCATCGGGCTCCCTTTGCTCCCCGTTGGTCACCTCACGTGCCCGGCAGAGGTCAGACCTGTAAAAGAACGGCTGAACGGGCACAGGCCGCCAGCTGCTGACAGCTGGAGGGGCGTCTGCGAGTAGGTGCTCGTTTGTGCACGAGGCAGGGGCGGCATGGCAGCCTCCGCCCCCGATACCTCAGGCACCCGCCACTGTGGCCAGCAGCCAGCTGCTGCGAACACAGTCCGAGACTCACGCCCCCTCGAAAAGCCATCTGCTGTCCGGTGCCAACAGTTCACGACCGGACGTGCAGCGACAGGAATGCCTTCGTTACCTCATGGGTGCCAAACGGCAGTGTCGTGCACCTGCAGCATTCAAACACGGCGTCATTCGGCTCCCCATCTCCCTGGTCTCGCTGATAACGAATGCACCAAGCCATAGAAGTGATGTTCACGGCGATCTGTTGCCACGAAAGGCCAGCGAGGTAAGTGGAATCCCGCCATTTGCAATTCCACAGCAGCACAGCTGATCAGCTCGTAGAGGCATCTGCCGGTCAGGGCAAAAGTCTATGTTGAACCCGAGTGCCCGTCCTTCGTCCACGATCAAGACCTCCCTGCGAGTACAATAAAACACATTGCGCTCTGATGATGGAAGCCCAATGCATGGTACATGTGATGTTGTCCCCGGTGCCCATGCGCGGTCAACTTAGCGGCATCCTATCCCACTTTGGGACAAAGCCGTGAACGATAAACCCGGTCGGTCTCCGATCCCATCGACGCGCGTCAACATCAGACGATTTAACGCCTGACAGTCATATACAGACAACTTCTCCCTCGCATCAAACTGTGAAAGCCGGCCGCTTCCTAATTTTAATGGTGACGTTTCGTGTCATTGTCTGTCGAGATGCGCATCAAGCAGGCCCTGGCCCTCTATGCCACTATCGGCACATCGCCATTCACATGTGCCCTGGAAGAGCCACGGCGGACGGTACAGCCCGACCATGATACCGCCAAAGCTAATGCCCATCGAATATTCAACGCCATTCATTCAGCAGGGAGACAATGGGGATCTTCTATCAACCACAACGGGCTGAGCTTCTTTCCGGCAGTGATGCCGAAGGGGACGCTCATGTACCACGGGTCCGAAGCCAACAGCACCCCGCCCGGTCCAGAGTGGCTCGCCTTTGAGGTTGAGCACGCAGAAGCATTCGCCTTGTCCCTCGCTCTGCGTGGCAAGGAGCAGGGCCAAGCGTCTTTGAGTGATGTGCTGCAGAAACCCATCGGCCCTATGCGCGCGCGGCAACAATCGGCTTCCAACCTCCGAGGCTACTTCCACACTTACAGGGCCAACAGGGACGTGAACTTACTTTACGTTGACGGCATGAGCGCCGGCAAGACCCGCATGGGCACGCTCGACTCACAGGATCTCGTCCTGCGCGAGAACAAGACGGGTGATGTGTGGGATGGCTTCATGGACGAATTGCAACGTGCCAGCAGCATTTGCGACCTGATCAAAGACTGGGGCTACGACGGCTTCATGCGCATGGAGATTGGATTCGAGGTGGTATATTGCGACTTTGACGTGGGCGTCGATCTCATATCAATTAAGCGCACCGTCCTGCGTAAGGACAAGAGGGAGGAAGAGCTGATGAACCCTTACCAATGGGCGCGGGCTGTGACGGAGCGATACGACGGAATTGGCGGCGATAGGGTTCGAATCGACTTCTCCTCGATGGTGTCGGCCTTTTGGTTCCCCGTCAATATATCCAACACCGATCCGACACGACCAGATCTCCCTCGACTAGCTGCAGCCAGCCCAGATGAGTGGACGGACATCAAGGCCCACGTGAACAAGGTCTTTGTCGAGCCGAGACGGTACACTGTCAACTGGCAGGCCGTCGTGGACATGATTGTGACGCGATTCTCGAACCGCTTCGCTCTGATGGCGTCGCCGCATCTGGCACCCTTGCGGTTTATCGACGAGCTCAACGTCGCTTCCTTGGCCTACTTTGACGCACCAGCACTGCCAGACGACGTCACAGTACTGGGTCCCAAAAGCCGAAATCGAACCTCTGAGGCCATCGAAGCCTGCGCAGAGCATTACCTCTTGCCAACGTACCTGGTCCGCGACGATTGGAGCCTCGAAGACCATCTCATTCACACGGCGCTCGAGACGGTCCTGTCCAGCATATGTCGAGGTTTATATGATATGCGGTCGGTTATAGGCGAAGAGACTTTGGACCCGGGGTCGTCGGCACCAACCGACACACAGGATCTAGAGCGAGTTGTGGAGGAAAGCCGCAGGATCCTCGAAAGCCTGCGTAAGGATCTTGCCTGGACAACATGGAAGAGACCGCAAGTGTGCCCGGTGGACGAGATTCTGCTTATGGTCATGTGGCCGGTGGGGAACCCCGAAGACTACTGGAACCCTGGCTGCCGCTCCGACAGCGACATTTCGTTTGAACGACGAGGGTACTGGTGGCCCGGCCACGACGGACGCGCATGAGTGAGAGACGTGCTGGCTGTTACTCCAAAGGCTCGCGGTGATGGGCGTGAGAGGATGGAAGTCGTTGCACGGGGATCTTCGACTCATCCGTTGCGTGAACTGGCGTTCTATGCCATGGCTCCGACCAGGGCCAAACCCCAACAACAGTGCGACAGAGGCTGAGACGACGGCTCACGTCGCGTCGGCGGACTCGCTTTCACCGCTACGTTAAATCCGGCTCTTTGGAGCTGGCCCTCTGTGTGACAAGCTCGGTCCTTGCTGCCACGCACGTTGGAGCGCCAGGCTCGCTTGAGCGAAAGCCACCTGTGGCAACACGAAGACACCTGTGCCGTGTGAGCTGCCACGTAGCAAATACGCACCGCGACAGCGGCCACGGCATCTCCCAGACCAGGGTCTCTACTATTTGAGTTTCTTTCATGCCCGAACTCGCGTTGGCTTCGATGGCGGCCGCTTGTGCGACGGCGACTACCCCGAGACGGGCGTCCGACTCTCCTAGCCGGGCTCACCCCATCCCAGTTTGCGCTCAACTGGTCGAGCTCCGGTCGGAGCGAGGTCGCCAGTTCAGATTTGTCCCGCGGCTTGCGAACGTGCAGATGCTGCGACTCATCGATGCTCTGCTCTGCAAACCGTTGCTAATGGCGAGATCAGATCAAGACTTCCTCATGCCGACCTGTATGTGCCAGGAGTCGCAGTGCTTGTACGAGCTGACACACACTTGATTGTGCCACGCGTACATCAGCATCTGTGCGATACTTCCTCCGGAGACTGAAGCCGGTGCGCGATAAGTACAGGTGTTGTCCCGCTGGCGACGCAAGGAGATCCTCGCAATCTTAGATCTGGTACTTGGCTGCAGTGCCATGGTGTCGGATTGGTTTACGATGTCCCTGAGGGCGCGTTCTATGCAGAGCAGGCTCTGGATGTGAGCCAAGCCACCATGTGCAACGCAGCCGCTGTCCACTCGAGCGGCCCTGGAACGCGTCTGCTGAGACCATGGCTCCAGCGTTCTGCTTGGACAAAGCGCCAATGCTTCGACGAGCGCGCCAAGGTGCACCCCAAGGCATGGCTTCATTATTACCGCAGCAAGCCCGACGAGACAGAACGAGAGCCATGAACAGACTCGTCTCGGCTTACAGGAACAGCCGCCGTGCTCTCCATGGTCACGAGTCACGGTCGCAAGGCTGGCCACTTCCGAGCAGCAGCCGAACGAGAGTCGGGACTGAGCGGCGTGACAGAGCAAACCCAGGGTCACCCCTGAACACCGACCTAGGTTGGACAACGAGAAGCCATCGCGGAACCAAATCATATGGACCAGCTGTGCGTCCGCCTGCAGCTGCGCGTCATTCCTGCGCAGGAAAAGACCCAACGACATTCACGTCATATATGCAGCGTTACCGCCGCCCAGAAGGCTGAAGATCGACTTGTTGCGCCGGGAAACCTTCTATTTCGGCAAGACAACCTGAGCGAGGTGGACCGAACTTGTCGCACCGGGCCTAGAGTCCTGGTCGAGTAACACACGCGACTGCACATACCCGCATACGGGTCAGGGGCCGTGAGCGCCGCTCCTGGGGCAACGGGGAGTCGCCAGCGTATCACCTCGCTCGAGGGCCTCGCTGGCTGGGCTTGATGCTGCCTGTATACGCTTTTAGAGTTATTGCCTCGGCCCCTGAGGCCCTGAACAAGTCAGACTGTCGAGCGTTCCCTCGAACTGGCTCGTGTCACACTGCTTCCGCGGGACAGGCAGGTCCACGTGTATGCTGTCCTGGACGGACCTCGTGAATCGTAGTCGATTTCCGACGCGACACGTCTGAACAATTTCGTCTCTCAGCAACGCGGATACAACGTCGCGAGGTTCGGCCCCAGAGCACGGCATTACACCGCCGGACAAGCATCCATGACCTCGCGGCGTACCTGACTTCGGAGCATTGTGACGACACCGGCCCACCGGGTCGGGACGAACCTCAAGGCATTCGGGCATGGTGTCTCAGCCGCTTGCTCGGGAGCCGCCCTGACAGTTGCAACACGAGGGCCAGGCGACGCTGGCTACGCGAACATCTGCAGGATCGGTTCTCTGACCCATGCACGGATCCGCATCAGGACGCAAAACGGTCACGACGGCGCGTCGTGATTGCTCCGCCGTGGGGTTCCGAGACCTCAACTCTCACGGGCCGGGAGCCGCGGTCCACGGCATCGGTAACGGGGGCCGGATCGCGTTGGCAGTCACCACGTTTGTACGCGTCGAGCCGGCGGTCTGGATACTCTCCGCGAGCGCGGGCGGCGCCGGAGCCAATGGCGGCGGCGAGTCTTGACTCAAAGGACGTGCAGTCGACAGATTCAGCAGGCGGCCGCTTGCATGCCTCTGGTGTCTCTGGTCCTTCGGCAACGTCTTCTTAAACCATCTCCATGTCTCGAAGTCCGCCTCGATTTCCCCGAAGAACTGGCCATGACAATGGCCGATAATGTCATAAGGAAAGCCTGCGATCGCTGTCACTCCCAGAAGTTGAGCTGCAAGCGCGTCGGCGACGAAGCCTGCGAACGCTGTGTCAGACTGCACGCCGAGTGCAAGTCCAGTCCATCTCTGCGGTATAAGAAGCAGCATCAGCACCAGCACCCGCAACAACATCAGCAGCAGCAGCAGCAGCAACACCAGCACCAAGCCCAACAGAAACAACACACGCAGCATCACAATCAGCACCAGCATCAGCCGCAACAACACCAGCAACAGACACAGCAACAGCACCTGCAGAGCCAACAACATCCGTCAACTTCTGTGGTAGGCGGACAGGCAACGTTGGTGGGCCGGCGATCGCCAAAGCGGCGAAGAACGGGAAGTGACCTGGACCTACTCCAGCCTGAAGGAGGTATGCCTTCCTTGACATTCTTGTTTCACTTTCAACGACCGTCCTCGCCACATCCACACACCTTGAACTGCACGATTGCGATGGTAGAGTTCAAGCTCGACTAACGGGATATAGCGCAAATACACCCGCCGTCAGGGGACATCACAACCAGCTGTCAGTCTGTCGTTGGATCCGAGGCTGGACTCGAGCTTGGAGACTTCAACTTCAACTTTGAGCAGCTGGCCTTTTTGACGCCGCCGCAGACGGACCCCCTAGCCGTGCTTCCGGGCCCCGTGGACGCATTCCAGAACCCCTCCCCTTTTGCAGAACCGTGGGAGCAGCAGCTTGCCTCGTCTGCCGACCCTTTTCAGCAAATCGCACCGTCAGCCTTTACCCCTGCCAGCGGAGCGCAGTTTCACCGCATCGTTCCCACGTTTGCGCCGAGGAGACGGCCCTGCGCCAGCGAGCACGGAACGTCCGACCGGCGGCAGCGGCAGCGGCCAAGACACAGGGCGAGGCAGATCGCTCTGAGGCACGTCGCGCACGCGTCGAACCAGGGACGAGAGACGTCGAGAACGCATTGGATGGCGCAACTAACCGACATCAACTCCCGCCTGTTGGACCTCGCGTCCATCCTGCCCAAGCAGCAGGGGCCGCTGGCCAACGGACGAGCGGGCGACGACAGCAGCGGGTTCCCCATCGACGAGATGTTCAAGCTCACGCGCGGCGTCGCCGACATACTCGACCGGTTCCCGGCGACTAGCTCCGGCAAGGAGCACAACACGCTGGAGGGCGCGGACCCCGGCAGCGCCATGTTTGTCCTCTCCACGTACGTGCGCCTGCTCGACATGTACCAGCGTGTCTTCACCATGGTGAAGAACGAGCTCGCGCAGGCGGACCAGGGCGCCGCGTTCAAGCACTGGAAGCTTCCCGACGTGACGGTCGGCTCCTTTGCCGTCGAGTCGTCCCCGTCGCTGCAAATGTCGCTCACCATCCAGCTCGCCGAGGAGTTCCTGGTGCGCCTCCGTAACGCGACGGCCGCACTGGACCCGGCTTTGAGGGGCGCCGAGGAGCAGCTCGCCGGCGGAGGTAGCGGCTCTGGCGGCGACGCCAACTCCATGTTCTCCGAGGTCGTCGACGTCTCGTACTGCGCCGTGAGAGCCAAGGAGGAGAAGCTGGGGCGGCATCTGGCGCAGCTGCGCGACGAGATTGAGGCCTTTTTGGACGGATAAGGGCGCCCTGAAGTTTCAACGCGTCCTTTTACACGGTTATACGTACCTTTCTTTCTCCATGTGTATTTTGCTGGATATTTGGCACGGCCTTAGACTACAGGTATATGGGGTGATTGATGATTATAGAGATTTGGTACTATATACGACACGGGTTTGCGCGTGATTCTGTAAGGGGCTTGAGGTGATGGCTACGTCGTGTGTCAACTGGAGTTGCAGTCCAGCCGCCCAAGCAAAGCGCCTTGTTGAGCAGCCATCGGACCGACCCCTTCTACTTCTGTGACCCAAAGAGCAACACCGCAATAGGACCTGCGTCCTTGCCCCTCGACAGTGACACGACAACATGACTCTTCTCACGCCATAGCCAAGAGACGCTCTGCAACGTATACATTTCCAGCTGTACGTTACAGAGGTCACAAAGCATAGTACGCGTCGATGCCCGGCCTCCCACCTGCCCCCCCAATGAGCTATATCCCACTTCGCATAAAGGCCGCAAGACCCATCACGGTCACGTTGGGGGGGTGAGGGGCGCCTATCTCTGTGACGCCGTGAGAGGAAGGCCGAAGCGTGCACGCGCCTAGGAGTGTGGGATGGATGACGAAGAGGAAGATGATGATGCCATGTCATGGTGCGGGCTCGTCACCGACGCTGCCCGTGATGCTTATCTGCCATTCCGGTGCCCGGTTCTTGGGAGGGCGTGCTGCATGCGGCACTGTCCATTGGCGTGAGGTCATCTCCTTGAAACGCGGCGTGGAATGGCTGATATTCTACGACCCTGCGATGTCACTTGCGACCTTCAACTGAACTGGGCAATGGCAAGACGACGGCACATGGGGCTCGGCAGTCGGGGTCGAGAGAGTTGTCATCCAAGACGAGACCGTTGCAGTACGTCGCAGTTGCGCCAAGTTCATTGTACTCGTAGACGCCCCCGTTTCCCCGACAGGGTTCGTCCTGCTGTTGCAACTCACTCCACCGCAGGACGTCCAGCGACAGCCGTGACGAGTTGTCCAGATGCCCGGCTGAAAGGCTGCCCCGTATCGTCGCTGTCAGGGCAATCTCCGAGCCGGAAGGACGGGTCTCCGCGGGCGGCGCCGCAGGACGCCGTGGCGCGGAACCGCCAAGAACTCCGCGATCACACCCCGGCAGATGAGACGAGGCTGAGTCTTTTATCTTCTCGTCACCGGACGTGACAGGGCAGCATGGACTGTGCCCTCTCCATGGGTAAACTTCACGGGGGACTGTGATGGTCGTGGTCTTCGAGCGAGACCGCAACGTGAGTACTGGCGAGCCCCTGGTCGTGGGATTGTGATAGCCATTGCTTGCTGAATTGCCGCATGCCACCGTTATCCCAGGGGGCTGCTCAATCAAGTACTGGGCAGCTATCAACCGCTTGACCCCCCACGCGTGACTGAACGACCCCCGACCACAATGATGCCACCCACTCAAGGACTGAGGCTATTACGAGCCGGTCGGCCGGTCGGCGTACCTCGACGGAAGCACACTCCCCTTCGACGGCTTGGTGGAGACAACATCAAGGGCACCGTCCTGCTGGGCCGCTAATCGTCTTGGCGAGACAGGGCGTGAGCGGCCTTAACCACTCGGTCGGGAGCTGCATGGGTGATACGGTGGTAAGCGCCGCGCCGGGGAGGGTACGGTTTCCGTTGCGTAATACCGTTCACCCATCACGCCCATGAGCTATCCCCATGGTCTTGAGGCAGGCTGTGCCTCGGAAGGAAACAGGGCGTCATGGCGAGCGTGAAAGCCAGTGAGGCTTGACACTTCATTGGCGGTGCTCTGGGGGGAGAAATGCTGCCGCCCTTCATCGTTGACAGTTGGCCGCTGAGGCAGCCATCGGCGCAAAAGCCCCGGCCAAGCTAGCCGGGACAGATGTGGCTACCCTTGCGGGTGTGAGGCGCATGTCTTCAGCCCCGAGTGTTGATTGAGGTTGAATGCAGCCGACTGACGCGAAGCCATGCCGTCGGTGTGCTGTTGAATGAATGACAGTCCTGCGGCTGCGAATGCGCAGCATCCCTTGCCCCGCTGGCCATGCAAAGATGGCGCCGGTCGATAGATGCCGGGCAGTTGGTTGATGCCGCGTTCACCGTCTTGACGGTCACGGGCGGCACTCGGCCGGGAGCGAGACAACAACGCTTGCAAGAGGGGGATATGAACGGTTTCGCCCCGCAGCGCGGTTGCGCTTCTCACTCGGTCGTACGAGCACTCTCGTCCTGTCGGCGAACACCCCGATAGATGCCGAGCCGGCAAGTTAAGCGAGCTCGCCATGAGAAATGACCGAGAGTGAGAAGGCGGCGGTTACGCGACCCACGCAGCGCGCCGGCTCCGCGTTCGCCTCCGCTCGTCCCTTGCCCCAGTCTTCGCCCCGGCCCGCCCCTTTTGAGTTTTGCCCAGCGAGCGGGAGCATCCCGTCAAGACGCCACTGGTTTCGCATCGGTAGACCCGACGACGATGGGCACCGCTGGTGCGCGGATTGCTCGTGGGAAAGCCCCAGCGACCGGGAACAGAGCAATCTCGACTGTTGGCAAAGGCGGAAAGACTGGTCTTGCAATGTCTCAGCTCACCCAGAGAACAGGCAAAAGGGACCGGGTCCGACAGCGTCGACACCCTCCCGCGGCGCTGACGCCATCCCCCAAATCTGGTCAAGCCTGGTGCGTTCAGATCATGGGAACCAGGAAGCCTGCAAGCCTTCAGGTCCTGACAGGTGGGCCGCCCGTGTCTTCGGGGCGCCTCCTCCCCAGCTCGGCGGTAACCCTCGGCCGCTGCGCTGGCCACGGCCTGAAGGGATCTGCAGAGCCATCATGCGTTTCTGTCCAGCTCGCCATGACGGAGCTGCGCCGAAGCGTCTTGCACGGTGGGTTGATGCCACCACACGCCGCGATCCCCGCGTTGATGGTAAACCCCTCGATACTGACAACTCCGGACCTCCAAAGAGTGCGGCAGGCTGCGGCACCCACTTCCCGAACAGGTGTGAGAGCCGCTGCCAGAGGGATCCGGGTCCGCGTCCTGGGGACGCAGAAACGCAGCGCTGGGACGCCTGCTAATTGGGCGACACCGTCGATCCACCGGGCCCAAGGGTGCCTCCCATGTCTTCACGACCAGGACACAAGATTCATCATGATCCCAGCAGAGGCGCCGTTCGCGCGGCCTTCGAGAAACGGATGCGGTGCGTCCGACGGACGGGTGCCAGCCATCGTGTCAGGCGTCCTGCTCCCGGCCGTCGCATTTCCGCCCGTCAGATAGCTCGGCGGCCGTAGATCGACAGGAACTGCCAATGTCGTGGACCGAGCCGTGCTGTCAGGCTCCCTCGTGTTTCAGTGAGCCACTGGTCAGCTCCTCAGTCTTACATCTATCACTGCTACGAGTCGGCGGCGGTTCATGCACGCCGGGTGGTCAGAACTCTGTGCAAGACTTTGTCAGATGCGCCACGAAGGCTCCGTCCGTCAGTCTTTACCGCCGCAGCGTTTGAGCCTCCCAACGGTTTCGCTTGCACGGTCGTATTACCCGTCTATCGCGGGTAAGAATGGCAACGAGCCTCTCGTGCGACTCGGTTGACCAAGTTGAGCTCTGCCGCCAGCCATGGATAGGGCCTGGGCGATGACATCCCTGACGGACCGCCTTGTGAACCAGAAGGCTGGGAACGCGGCTCCCGCGGTACGCTCGTTTGGGGGCCGCAATGGGCGTTTCGCAACGGACAAGGAGGACCACGCCATCCAATGGGCCACGCTCAACCCTCGCGGCCATGAGGGATCTAGACTCACAGGTCCTGACGTTGCCGGAGGGGATCGGCTCCGTCATACCTGGACGCTGGACCGGACGAGCCGAGGATCGCGCACGACATCTGTAGCGGGTGACCGATGCAGGCAGACCGAGTGTTGGACCCTTGTCGGTGCTGGTTGACCGGTTCCTGCATTGGGAAGGCCGGCCTCCCTGGCGCTGCAGCCGTGACACCGGACGTGTTGGCGACTCCCAGCTCCGCGCGTCAAAGTTGACGGCAACGTGGAAAGTGAGTGGCTTGAAAACGTTGCTGAAGGGCACGCGGACACGTGTTGCGTTGCTCGGCATGTGCATCCACGACCTCCTTGCCCACCGATGCTGCAAGGAGGACGACGTCGACGGAGCGGAGCCATGGCGGTGAAGAACCGCGATCAAATAGCGGCAAGTCGTGCCTCTCGTCTGCACAGTGGATCTGGTGACCTGCAGGGCCGTTTCTCGCCCGACCAGCCGAGCCTGACGGCATGGAGTCACTCAACTCGAGGGGCTTGCGGGATCTCTCTCGTTTGGCCAGGTGGAAAGGATCGCTCTACGGGCCGGGGATGTCGAAAGGATCACCGTGCGAGTGTGGTAACCCAGAAACTTACTGGCGAAGATGATGCTGGCAGCTTGACTTGAAAGGATTTGCTCACGGTCGTAGACGGGAATGAAGAAACATTCGGCAGTGCACGGAGCTTGATGACCTGCGGACGGGACAGAGGCTCGGAGTGTCCGCAGCCGGACTGTCCCTGAGTCCGAACTTCCAGTCCCCTCCGATGGCCAAACTCTTGTCAGATTGGACTCACCGAGAGCGACTCGGAATGTGGTGCCCTCCTCCGATTAAGCTTGCCGGTTTGCGACGGCGGAGATAGTTTGCGTGGCGTCCTCCCTAAGTTTGACCGGGGCGCCGAGTTCAGCCAGAGAATAAATGTCCCTGACCCCGAGCTGCGAGAAATGTCGTGATTACAGGGACCATTAAAGATGGCGATGGTGCCGATTTGGCGTCAGCCTCACGGATAGAATGACCTGATGACTGGGCGTGTGCGCCGGTCCGTCGGGTCAGATGTACGTGCTCGAGGAAGCCACAACTGCCCTGGGGCCGAAACGTGAGAGCCGGCATGCCATCCTTTGATGACGCGCAATGGAGCTGGGCATTTGGAAGCCAGCTGCCGAGGAATCCTGGTGAGGGCGGCAAAGCAAGACCTTGGCGGTCACGATTCGCGAGCTGGCATCGCTGGAGCGACGCATCGGAACGCGCGGGGCTGTCTCGACGTGATTCCAAGGCAGCCGGTGACGATGGTTCTTGACACCGACCACGTGGATGAACGGTACCGACAAAGGTCCATGCGACCCTGAGCTTCGACGAGGAAGAGCTGACCGGGGGTGGGGGGTCGTCCTCGGCCGCAAGGGGTCCCAGAATAAGCCGCCTTGTTCGCCGACGGAGGGCTGAAGAGCGCCGACGACGCGGCCAACCTGGGTCCTGGGCCCGGGCCCCTTGTGAGGGACGTCGGTTGCGGAGAGACAGCAAATCAATCACGTCGGGCCTGGGATCAGCCCATGAGGCAACCCAGTCGAGACTGTGGAGAGGCCGCCGCGCGCCAGGGCAGACTCGAATCGCGTTTCGAAGCCGGGCGCAGCGGTGCGCTGAGGGATTGATTGACTGACTGTCTGAATGACTCGCCGCGGGTGGTCCATCTCGGGCGCGTCCTGAAGGCTTGGGCAAGACACGGTGCTTGATGCCCGCTTGGGTGCCTTGGGCGATGGGCGGCTCACCGGTCGAGGCGATGTGATGTCGTGCTTGACGCTGCGGTGATGTCAGGTGCTGCAGGCCGTGCCGTCCATGGAGGTGTGCTGTGCGGTGTTTGAGTGGTGAGGTGTGCCCCAGTGGTGTGCAGTGCTGTGGTGCGGCGCGGTGCGGCGGGGCTGTGACGGGGGCCGGCTGGCCTGGCCGTAGAGGTTCTCGAATCTCGTAGCAGCCACCCGGCAGCCGAGCATGCCTACCATCTCAGTCAGGTTCGGAACTTCAGATTGGAAGGCACGGAGGGCGGCGCCGTTTCCATCGTCCATGGTCCAGCCAGGTACTTTGTACTTGTGTAGTAGACCGACGCCTTGCAAACCCTGCGAAGCTGACGAGACCAGGCCGTTCCTCGTACCGCGCGGAGACTTTGGCTGCTTCGAGTTCCTTGACCCGATCAGACGTGGGGAAGGCACACATGTGTGTGTGTGGGAGAATCATACCCGTGGCTGCCCAACGACGACATCCACCATCCACCATCCACCGCCATGCCACCTCATGATTCATTCCCATCGTCGTCTTCTTCAGGGAGACCCAAGGAGGCCCAAGAGGCTCTCACTCATGGCCGCTCGTTGCCTAGTCTGTCTATGCTTCCGAAAGTTTAGGCATCCACCCTGGGAGGGTACCCGTTCCGCTCCCTGATCGGGGCAGCCCCTGGCCAAAGGGGATCGATAGTAGGCATTCGGCAGTGGCCTCCAGGCCGTCGATGTCAGCAACGGATGTGGCTAGTCGTCTCTTCGGAATCTCGGCGTGCTTCAGAATGGCCTGATCGAAGTTGAAAGAGGGAGAGGCATCCCGTGACTGGGTGGGGGATGTGCCATCACGGGCGCCCAGGGCTATTTTCCCCCAGCCGGCCGGCAATTCGTAGCGGTCGGAATGAGACCCTACATTGGATGCGACGCTGGTCTCGAAAGCTGGGACGAGGAACCTTTTGGTCGAATGAAGGTTGCTCGGACCGCCTCGAGGCGACGAACATTCGGATATTCCTCGCGGTTCATGTAGAGGGCAAGGTGGTTTCAGACTTTCAGTCGGGTGAACGGAACATTGCCGTGTTGAATGATGAATCCAGTCGATCCGCGTATTGAGCGTGCCGGGCATCGATGGGCGCCTGGCGGTGGTGCTACGCTGTACCTAGACGCAGAGTCGCCAGCAGCATCGGCAAAGATGTTCGTGTCTGGATGGCTGGACGACGCCCGACAAACCGGTGCCTCTGTGCTGCCGTAGTGCGCACTGCACTGCACGTCTCTGGGCGTTCTGCACCTGGAGGCCCGCTGACTACATGCCTACTACACCGTTCCCAAATGCAATGCCCGTGCAGGCCGACCGGACGTGCAATATCGCCTTAACGAGGTGGTCTCGTCCACGGCCTGGCGCACGCCCTGCCCGAGCGCCGTGTGCTGCCCGTCCTTGGTGGCACGCCTGGGTCTCACAGCCCCCAACCCACCTGCTAATACCCGACGCCGGCGAGAGCGGCGCCCGTACGCCACCATGGCCACCCCCCAATGCCCCCCCAGCACTCCACTGCCAGTGGCCATGCGCTTTGTTCAGGACCTCGAGGACACTCCCCCCCCGGGGCCAAAACCCTTTGGCCTGTCTCTTATACACATCTAGATGTGTATAAGAGACAGGCTTTGCTCGATGGAGAGAGGGCAAGTTTGCGAAGCTACTTCGCACCCTCACACGCCCACCCACCCATGCCCGGCATCCACCGGCCAGGGGGGGTGGCCCTGGGCCCTCATGGCAAAACGGGTTGCTCGTTCATAAGAAGAGCGGGACGTGCTCGACATCGAAGTCTCCCCACGAAGCCGAACTACCAGCCACGGTGCAGAACTCCCGATCTCTGATAAATACTACGGCCACGCTCCTCCCAGGCACTTTCGACGACACGATCCGATCAAGCAGTCCTCGGTGTTCTTGTTGGCTGAACCAAGTCATTCTCATTCCTGACGTGGTGCCATCCCCGATCAGCGTCACTCGCACTACTCGGCCTGGCCATCTGCTTCACCAACCCTCAGGGCCTTATAAGCCGTCGACGTCGGCCTCTGCCACCAGACTTGGCCTCGGCGTCAACTCATCATCACCCTCCTGGTTTTCGTATTCGACCATCGGACATCCGCCTCGTCTGCCCGGTCTACTTTCAACACCTCTTCCTCTGGACGACGGGTCCCTCTTACAGCCGCCACCATGTGCAACTACATCTATGTGCGTGCAACCCTCTTCGTGGTCCCATCACCGGGTCGACGTCCGGCAGGCCAGAGCATAGGCTAACTCAACGACATCTTGTGCAGAAGGAGCTGAGTTGCCAGCACCATTACCACCTGGTCGAGTCATGGTGCTCCAAGTACATCGAGACAGAGAGGAGGTGTCCGCCCACGGTGGTCAGCAAGCAATACTGGTGAGTGCAAGTCCGGGCTGCCGCGCGGGCGGTGCGGTGCCCAACCCCCATCACATTGTACAACGACATACTGACGTCGACCGGCAGGGGTAACGACATCTGCTGTAAGTGATGATTGCATCTGGGGCGCCACCGCGGGCCCTTCATTTCGACCCTCTGGCACCTGCATGCGTACTGATGTACTGACGGGCGTCCTATAGCCGCCTGCCGCGAACGACAGCAACCGAGCAACCACCCGTGGGCGAAGCTGATACGGCCGCCGCAACCCAGGATGACGCCGTACCCGTACCACATCTCGGCTCGGTGAGCTGTCCCACCCCGTTGGGTGCCAGCTGGCGGCCTAGGGCAGCGGGAGAGTGTGGTGACTGTGGTCAGCTGGCGCTGGGCCGGTCCGCCGCTCGCAGCAGCGCCGCCAGCACCGCGCGCCTGACGACTCGACCGGCGGGACGTAGCTGTGCGACCAAGCAGCGGCGAATCGCGCCTTGGGCCTCCGCATCATCTGGGCGGCAGCTGTGCAGCGTTGCATTGTTGGCTCCACCGCCGCCCGCCCGTCTCCTCCTGTTGTGTGGTGGTTGCGAGTTGGTCCGGCATGGACGTCGACAGATGCGGGGGCGACACGACTGCAGAGCAGCACCAACCGGGCACAGAGCGCAGCGCACCACGCACCGCAGAAGGGGGCGCACGAGGCGCCCGGGACGTGACGGGACTGTGACGGCAACCAAAAGACATGGCGGGATATCAAAACAACGAGCGTCGTTTCTGTTTTCCTCCTCATTTAGCGCGGCATATTGTGGTTTTTCTGGGCACACATAGCGATGGACGTTTTACGGAACGGAACGGCATGGACTGGACTGGACTGGATACCTACCTACATTGGAAGACGGGGCTCTTATTTGGGTGCGAACCTGGCCTGTACTGGGAGCGGCCCCGGCAGTTTGGCGACTTCTCTTGGACGGTGTATTTGCTTGTACTACCCTTTTTAGAATACCAGGTCCCTTTGAGGACGACGGCGTACAAATGGAAATGGCATTTTCACTCTAGAGCCGCTCCGAGGAATCGATGCCAATGACAGACCCCCATAATAACCGACATCCACGGGCAGACCCGAAGACGGGCCCTCCTGGCGCGGCGACGCATCCGAGCTGCATGAGACCCATTGTGGCTGGCGACACCGGCTGCCGGGACAGGGGACGGCGGCTCGCACCAAGCAGCACGCTGGGGTATCACAGAGCGAACCGCTGGCGGCACGACCTTGTTTCGTCTCCCTCGAGCAGCCCTGAGCTGCTCTGTCGTCGTGGCAGCATCAGCGAGCAAGGCACCCTGCCAAGCTGACAAGGAACCCTCCTGGGCCCAGGCCCGGGCCCTCCCTGGTTCGCGGTCGAAGGTTTGTGGAATGCGTCCGTCCGTCCGTTCGTCAACCTAGGCGGGCCCTTTGACGTGCAGTCGCCAGTTGACGCCCGGGTTCGCGGTCGGCGCAACTGAAATTTGACAGTTGATATCAGAAAACGAAAAAAAAAAGGGACTGATGGATAGTCTGTCTCGTCCTCATTACTCAGATTGCCGCAGACAGGCAAGGCAAAACGGTCTAACGGACGAAACTGGCCATCTCGCTCCCGTTGTCTGTTCCCTTCCCCTGCGTACCCTGCCCTACCATGCCCTTGTCGCTCGTACAGAGGGAGTACCACGTTTCCGATGCCATCTTGACCGAGATGCAAAGTACATGCACGTTTACGCACACAGACATTAACAAGGCTGCTGGTTTTGACGTTACCGCTGGTCTTAGTGCCGCCTCCGCCTCCCTCCGCCGCGGCCGGGGATCGGTGTTAGTCTCCCACTACCTTCCACTCTTACCACCACCACCACCACCACCACCACCATCAGTGTGCCACCACTACAAACCCCCGTCCTCCGCCATGCTGTGGCCCGTGTGTCTGCCGGCGGCGGCGGCGCGGCGCGGGTTGCGTGCGAGCGGACAGGCGGATCGAGATGCGATGGCGATGTAAGTGAGACCCGGGCCTGGACTCTTGCCCAAAACGGGGGTGGCAGCGCCGGCAACATGGCCAGAATAGTAATAGGCAATCGGTTGCTGCTTTGCCAATTGCGACCTCTAAACCCCCCGGTGCATACGTGTGCTAAGGTAATGGGTAACTATGTACGGGAAAAGGGCGCTTGTGCAACTGTGACTGCTGCGACTTTTTGCTTGCTGGAACCGCCATCACCAGCACCACCAACAGGGGGGGACAACAATCCGGAGGGGGACAACAGCGCCGCCTTCCGTCCACAAGTGGTGTTCTACTGCCTAACCTGGCGAGGAGCCCCGGAACTTAGAGGAGGACAAGCAAAAAATTTGCAGACGCGCGCGCATGCAGGAGGGAATGTGTGCATGCATGCATACATACATGCATTCACCGTTCAAACAGGCCTCACCGAGTTGGGCTCGCTCCTTGGGGGCCAGCCAGAAAACCCAGCGAAGAGACTCCGAGGGTAAAAAAAGTTTGCAATTGTTATTAGCCCGTTTCGAAGAGATCATGCCATGCCATGGGGAGAAGGGTGTGCGTTCGTCACGGCGCGGAAGCGGGCGGGCTGCGTGGGCCGGCGAAACGACATCCAGAAGCCGTTGGATACCCTATCATTTCATACAGCCCATCAGAGACGTCGAATGGCGCCGTGTATTCGACACCCGTCGGTCACCGGCGGGCTCGGCACCCTCCGTGTCTATTTCAGCGTCGAGGGTTATACGTCTCTTTTTTGTGTCCTCATCTACTGGTTTAGGCCCTGTAGCCTGTAGATGGCTCTTTACCTGTTGGCCCCACGCTTTTCGCTTCGCCTTGCTGTGTTCGGGCTGGAAAGCTGTTATGTCGTCGACTCGTCGTCCAGTCGTCGTCAGCGTTCTTGGCAGGGCTTCTTGACCTCGTGTTGGTCGGGCGGCGCCCGTGGATGGCTGGCCGGTAGGAGGTCGATGACTACTAAGCACCACACAGACAGGCACACGCGAGTAGCCATGCAAAATGCAAATGAATGATGAGACTGGGTTGGGTGCGGCC